CCCTTGGGGAAGGTTAGGCGCATCACCTTTGCATGCAGAAGGTCCCAGGATGAAACCCAGGATTGGGAGCGGCTTCTGCCTAAAACCTTGCAGAGCTGCTTCCAGACATTGTAGACAGTACTGAGATACATGGACTAATCGATTCATAGAATCAGAGAACTGCAGTATCCTGTACGCTCAGTCATTAAAAAAGAAATAAATTAAGGGAGGACAGGGGAAGACGATCTACAGCGTTGTCAATCCCGAACAACACCCCTGGACCATGTGAAATGTTTTGGGAGTGAGCTTGCAAGTACAACATCAGTCTTCCTAAGTTAGTAAGACTTGGATGGTCAATTGAAATCCTTTACAAGTTCCATAGGGTGGCCTGGACTCCCAATTTCCCAGCAACCTTAGTTGAGAACCTGAGGTGCAAAGCAGAAAGCTTGTGATAGAGGAGCTTCCCGTTAGGAGAGTTGCTAGTACAACTCCAGCAACTATATTAACTTTATATGAGTTGACGTTTTCTCTGCATGAAATACTTGCATGGAGGCAAGCCAGAGAGAGGCCGGAAGGATTTCAGATCTTAGCAGCGTTGCTTGTGTGGATGCTATGGGCGCACAATTCCATGCAGCCATGACTTTCATAGACCCAGGATTCTCACACTCAACCTAACCTACCTCGCAGGCTTGTTGTGAGGATGTACTGGAGAGGGAAGAACCTTTAAGCTCCTCAAAGGATATAGTAATGAAGGTTTATTATCAGCTCTGCATAAGACAGTTTTCCCAGGTTGACACTGTTTCGTGGTGGCACAGCTGGAGGTAATCTTAACTGCTATAGGATTCTCACTGGACCAGCTGTGGTTTGTGTTAAATTAGTGGTGGTTTTGTTGCCACGACCGCAATAAACGACTTCAGTGATAGTTTACTAGTGTTTCCCCTGGGGGGGGGGGAGGCTTGTAAAAGACAGCAAAGTCAGTTCTGCCCTGCACCATCCATCTGTCTTCCTGGGCAAAAAAATGTTTGGTACAGTGTCCATTAGAAAATGCACCATTCTCCCATGATCCTTCACTCAGTGCACAGGAATATGGGTTAGTTAGCCGCTAAATTTATTAACATGGAGGCAAAGCAAGAACTGCAACTTTTGTTTGAACCCAACAGAAAAACCGAATCGTCAAAAGTGCAGAAGTTGTTTATTGCAGGAGTTGCAAAGGGAAGGGGTAAACCCTAATTTATTCCTTGGTGGCTTGCTAAAGTGAGTCCATTCACACCATTGCTTTCTCACCAAGTGATCAAGTTTCTCAGTCGCTTTGGGATGGCGGTTTGCATCACCGGTCATTTGGCCAAGGTGAAGTCTTCAAAAAGTGAACTGTTGGATTTCTACCGAACTTTTCAAATGACCCCGTTTCGTACAGAGCTCTCAAAACGCCATCCGAAAACCATGGGGTCGGGGAGGAGGGATCGATTGAGTTGGCGGCTTCCCACAGCTTAAGTTGCATTTAGCTCCGCCACATAAAGTAATCTCAAAAAAGAAATGCTTTTGTAAAATGAAGTGGTTGCACTGAATTTCTCCCTACGGCACATGGATGTCCACTTCTGCTGAAGAAACATCTTGCAGGTGAGAAAACAGCTATTTGAATCCACACCGAAGCTTTTCAGCTATCTTGACAATCAGGCCCTCCGCGTTAATGGGGTAAGTGGCAAATGTGCCCAAATAACCTTTGCACGCCACTGAAATTCAACACACTTAATGGGGCACCCTGGCCCTATGCAGAGTTAGACTGGGCCTAAGCCCAGTGAAATCAAGGAGCGCTGAAGCTTCTAATTCTGCCTTAGACTGGACTGTTAGTCGCATTAAAATCGGACGGCACAATGTGCTTTTGTGCTCGATGCTACGAAAAGGGCTACAGATGGAGAAACAGTCCTATGCATCCATCAGAATGTGCTTGGGCCCTGATCTTGCCATGCGCTCTTGGAGAGACCAGCCCAGGAAAGACCCAAGGGCCTTTCCTCCTTACCAGGAGCATTTTAAGTTGAGGACAAGACTGCCACATGCAAAGCTAGCATACCAGCAGAGCGGGGTGGGGTGTGTGTGTGGAGGAATTTATCATCTTGCTACTGTAGTTCTCCAACCCTACGGAGATCAAACATCACTTCCTAGAACGATGCATTCGGAATTGAAGACAATCACCCTGAACATGGTGCCCATCACTGGGATGTGGGCACACACATCTGCCACCCCCCATCAAAGTGGACCAGGGGCAGTTCTGTGAGAGAGATGGCGGGAGGAGAGGGGAGGCAATGGAAGCTGCGTTTTGGTGCGACTCTCATGTGCTTCCATGTGTCCAAGGAGGCCTGCCCCCACGATACATTCTCGCCCGTATATCCAAAACCATCTTTCCTTTTCCCCTCCCACTGCTTCCCTTTCTTCATGGTACCCATTCCCAGGCATCTCCAAATGTTGTTTTGAATTGTTTCTTCTTTTTTTGTCTTTTTATTTCTTCCTTCTGATGCCAGGCATTAATGCATAAGTGTATTTTGAAAAGTTAAAATGGGGAGGGGAAAAAAAAAAGATTTTCAGTCTATCACTTGTAACCATATATAAATAAATATATATAAATATATATTAAAAAGTGTTTATTTGCAAAAAAAGAAAAAGGAGAAAAAATCCAACACAAAAAATTAAAAAAATGTTTTAACTGTAAACTCTCTTATAGACTTCTGATTTGTGACGACCTGTCCTTTTGGTAATCATTGACAAAATAATTCCTCAGCTTGAGTACTGTAATAAAATAAATATTAATATCGGCGCCACTGAAAACCCTTGAAGGGAGAAATCTATGTACTGTATGTATTTAAAAAACAACAACAACCCACAGCTGTATGAAATAAATGTTTATTGCCTTTTTTCATACTTGGCGTGAGTTTCCTTGTTGGTGAAAAGAAAGCGTGGCAGAGCTTGACCCAAAGAGCCTTATGCACAATTATGTATTGTGCTCTGATTCACAACTTTCAGGAAGTATTTTAAGGTGGCATCTGCTAATGCATTCACCTCACATACAACTACAAGCTATAGGGCTGATTCACACATAATACTAAGCAATTATTCTCCAACCTTGTGTAGGACTGCAAATCTCACCAATCATGGCCGATGGTCGGGGTTGATGGGAGTTGTAGTCCAAAATCTCTTGAGGGACCTAGGTTAGGGACACCTGCACTAAACAACGGAGGAGCCTTCAAAGTTCATCATATCCATGTTCTTTCTGTTCCCCACTTGATGGACACCTGTCATTCGTGGACTGAAGCCAACCATCGTTTGCTGCATTTTCTGAACTGCTGGGGCACTGCTTGTTTCCAAAGGATTGGGAACGAGTCTGGTTTTTCAAGCTGATTAAGATGAAATCACGTGGGTAGCGCTGTGGGTTAAACCACAGAGCCTAAGACTTGCTGATCAGAAGGTCAGCAGTTCGAATCCCCGTGACGGGGTGAGCTCCCATTGCTCGGTCCCTGCTCCTGCCAACCTAGCAGTTCGAAAGCACATCAAAGTGCAAGTAGATAAATAGGTATTGCTCTGGCGGGAAGGTAAACGGCGTTTTCGTGCGCTGCTCTGGTTCGCCAGAAGTGGCTTAGTCATACTGGCCACATGACCCGGAAGCTGTACGCCGGCTCCCTGGCCAATAAAGCGAGATGAGCGCCGCAACCCCAGAGTCGGTCACGACTGGACCTAATGGTCAGGGGTCCCTTTACCTTTACCTTAAGATGAAATTGCATGCCATGGTTTGCCTTAAAATTTGAGGAGGGACGAAATTGCCACACGTCAGAAAGGAATGGATCTCTGGCTTGCTGTTTCTCTGTGCAAATCCGAGTGTTTCACCACATGCCATTCAAAGTTACACACGTCTTGCCATTTAAATTAGGCGCATTTTGTATCTTGAGTTGAGCTGGTAAAGTGAACAGGTTTCTTGCTGCTAGAGAGAGCGGAAATCCCATGGAAATCCTTGCAACATTATGGTCTGGATCACAAATAATGCTAAGGCATGGCATGTTTAATAAATCACAGATTAACCACAAACAGACAAAAAGTTTGCTTTATTTTCCATCTGCTCCTGCCTTATGTTTAATGTAGTTTGGTGAGCTTCCAGAGTGGGGTGATCAAACAAGCCATAGTTAATGAAGAGTGCTAGGTTCACCAAACCATAGTTAAAGGCTTGTAAGCCAACAACCAACCATGGTTTCAGACGGTGGCTTGTTGGCAGTAAACAAACTGAGCAGGGTTAACACATAATGCTAAGCCAGAGTTCAATAAACCATTGTTTAATAAGCCATGGTTTACTGATTTCTGCAAACCAGGCCTATTTCCACCCAAATATTTTTTTTTAAAAAAATGGTGCAAAATGCAGGCAAAGCTGCTGGTAGTGTTTTTGGGCGGCAAATTCCATGTGTAAGTTGTATTTTACATTTTTTATAACCCCTCTGTGTTTACGCTGTTGGCTGAAGAACGAGAAGCACTCGAGAGACGAAATTGACGCGGCTTTTCCATCTGCTTCCTGCAGCCGAAATCTGACAGCTGTCCTGAAAGCTTGTAGTTGTAAAAACCAGAGCTGTTTTCGTGGAATAAACATGGCGCATCAGGGAATGGGTGGCTGGAGCCAAACAGCGGCATCAGGTGGAAGCTGACTGGAGCTTGCAGCTCTCCTGGGGATGAACTGGGAACACGAGAGGGGTCTCTTGGGAGATGTTGTTCCTGTCGTTCGCAACAAGGGGGCATGGATGGGAGGGCACAGAAATGTTTCTGCCTAACGCCAAGCACTTGTTTGTTTGCTGTGCCGCTGGGAAGCTTGCCAATCTGGCAAAGACTGACGATTCTTTCCGACGCTGACCATGGCGCCGCAAAAATTAAACATACCACCGTGGGGTTTTCAGGGGAAGCGACAGGAATTATTACAGAGGGCACTGAAAAGAAAATTGGCATATTCTGTTACTGCTGTCAGCTTATACACAAGGCCTTTCCATTCACATCAAGCTTCTCGCATAGCTCAGTTGGTTAGAGTGTGATGCTGGTAATAGCAAGGTCACAGGTTTGATCCCCGTATGGGGCATATTCCTGAATGGCAGGGGGGGTTGAACTAGAATCGGGTCAGCAGACTTTTTCAGCAGGGGGCCGGTCCACTGTCCCTCAGACCTTGGGGGCCGGACTATTTTTTTGGGGGGGGGGGGGAATGAATGAATTCCTATGCCCCACAAATAACCCAGAGATGTTTCTTAAATAAAAGGACACATTCTACTCATGTCAAAACATGCTGATTCCTAGACCATCCATGGGCTGGATTTAGAAGGCGATTAGGCCAGATCCGGCCCCCGGGCCTTAGTTTGCCTACCCAAGGACTAGATCAGGCACCCCCAACCTTTGGCCCTCCAGATGTTTTGGACTACAATTCCCATTCTCCATGACCACTGGTCCTGTTAGCTAGGGATCATGGGAGTTGTAGGCCAGAACTACTGGAGGGCTGCAGGTTGGGGGTGCCTGGACTAGATGATCGTCGGTGTCCCTTGTGCCTCTTCAGTTCTATGACCTCCTACATGAAAGAATATAGAAGACTTGACATACCAAAAGGAAAGGAAAAAACAAACCGCAGGTACCACCTTAGATTACACTCTAATGGGCCGCAAGTTCTCATTTTTTACTTTGCAGTATTTTCTATGGAGAGATTGAAACTTACCTTGTAATACTGGTTTAAATAAAGAGAGTTATCTTAATTTGGCTTGATTGCCATTTGTGTGCCAATCAGAAGGTCGGTGGTTCGAATCCCTGCGATGGGGTGAGCTCCCCTTGCTCGGTCCCTGCACCTGCCAACCTAGCAGTTCGAAAGCACGTCAAAGTGCAAGTACAGTGGTACCTCGGGTTACATACGCTTCAGGTTACATACGCTTCAGGTTACAGACTCCGCTAACCCAGAAATAGTATCTTGGGTTAAGAACTTTGCTTCAGGATGAGAACAGAAATCGTGCTCTGGCAGCGTGGCGGCAGCAGGAGGCCCCATTAGCTAAAGTGGTGCTTCAGGTTAAGAACAGTTTCAGGTTAAGTACAGACCTCCAGAATGAATTAAGTACTTAACCCGAGGTACCACTGTAGATAAATAGGTACCGCTCCGGTGGGAAGGTAAACAGCTTTTCCCTGCGCTGCCCTGGTTCGCCAGAAGCGGCTTAGTCCTGCTGGCCACATGACCCGGAAGCTATATGCTGGCTCCCTCGGCCAATAAAGGAAACGAGCGCCACAACCCCAGATTCGGTCACGACTGGACCTAATGGTCAGGGTTCCCTTTACCTTTTACACATAGAAGGCACCTCAATTGGGATGCTGCTACACAGAGCAGGCATAGGATTTCTCATGCTGAGGGCATTCCTCCAAGGTGAGGGATCGTGGCAATAGGTGATTCGATCAATAGGTACAATTTTGGCTGGGTGTGTGATGGGTATGCAAAATAAAGAGGGGGATGATCTCCAGGGTGCCTTCCAACTCTATAATTCTGTGATTCTATGAAGTACCATCAGCCAATCATGGGGTTACAATAGACCATTCTACATAGTAATTACAACCCACTCCATTAAATCTAAGCCAGTCAGATGTTCAGATTTTACACAAAGATTTCAAACTACGTGTGTGCCAAGAACCTTTCAACTCCTCAATATAGTGCTCTTATTCATTAACTTGCGATGGCGCATTGTGGTTATCCATCACTGATTCCTGCATTATTCTGTCAAGTCCATGTGCTGGCCATACCGGGGGCAGTGTTCTTTTTCAATCTATAAACTTCAACATCCTTTTCCAATACCTCTTGATTCATTATCTTATTCATTAGCTGGATTCCATTCTTATCCAAGAACAAACGATTCAGTGAAATAGTTCCGCGTAGAGGATTCCCTGCATTCCTTTGCCGGAGACGTCTGCGCTTTTGTGCCAAGCTAAAAACTACCAAGAAAACGGGCGTCTTTAAGAAAATGCAGTTTTAAGGAAACAAGAGTTTTCTCCTCTGTATGTTCTCACCTTTGTGCTCTAAGTGCAGCACGAGCTTTCGTGGAAAACGGCCTGTTTCATGAGAGGCATTTGTTGGCGCATTCAAGACGTCTCTCTCACAATTCCCATCAGGCCACTGGGTGGCGGTCTTGACACAGCTTCTAAGGCATTGCACAAAGGCTACAGTGACTGGTCACAAGAAATCTGAATTCTCTGCTTCTGCAAAGCTAGCTCTAGCTGTGTGGTCTTTTCGGGCCGAAAAGGCTAGCTTTGCACCTGGGATAGCTCAGTTGGTAGAAGGTTGTGGGTTTGAGTCCCACCTTCAGCAAAAGATTACTGCCTGGCCAGGGGTTGGGCTAGATGATCGTCGTGGTCTCTTCCAACTCTATAATAATAATAATAATAATAATAATAATAATAATAACAACAACATATTATTTGTACCCCGCCCATCTGGCTGGGTTTCCCCAGCCACTCTGGGCGGCTTCCAACAAAGATGAAAAATACACTAAAATGTCACATATTAAAAACTTCCCTGAACAGGGCTGCCTTCAGATGTCTTCTGAATGTCAGGTAGTTGTTTATCGCTTTGACATCTGATGGGAGGGCATTCCACAGGGCGGGCGCCACTACCGAGAAGGCCCTCTGCCTGGTTCCCTGTAACTTGGCCTCTCGCAGTGAGGGAACCGCCAGAAGGCCCTCGGAGCTGGACCTCAGTGTCCGGGCTGAATGATGGGGGTGGAGATGCTCCTTCAGGTATACTGGGCTGAGGCCATTTAGGGCTTTAAAGGTGTGCTCGGAAACATACTGGGAGCCAATGTAGGTCTTCCAAGACTGGTGTTATATGGTCTCGGCAGCCGCTCCCAGTCACCAGTCTAGCTTCCGCATTCTGGATTAGTTGTAGTTTCCGGGTCACCTTCAAAGGTAGCCCCACGTAGAGCGCATTGCAGTAGTCCAAGCGGGAGATAACCAGAGCATGCACCACTCTGGCGAGACAGTCTGCAGGCAGATAGGGTCTCAGCCTACGTACCAGATGGAGCTGGTAAACAGCTGCCCTGGATACAGATTTGACCTGTGCCTCCATGGACAGCTGTGAGTCCAAAATGACTCCCAGGCTGCGCACCTGGTCCTTCAGGGGCACAGTTACCCCATTCAGGACCAGGGAATCCTCCACACCTGCCCGTCCCCTGTCCCCCCAAAACAGTACTTCTGTCTTGTTAGGATTCAACCTCAATCTGTTAGCCGCCATCCATCCTCCAACCGCCTCCAGACACTCACACAGGACCTTCACCGCCTTCACTGGTTCTGATTTAAAAGAGAGGTAGAGCTGGGTATCATCCGCATACTGATGAACACCCAGCCCAAACCTCCTGATGATCTCTCCCAGTGGCTGCATGTAAATTCTTGAAAAGCATTGGCCTTTCTCTAGTCCAGGAATGGTAATGCTTCACAGAAGCAGAGATGCACCTAGGGGTCCTTTGCGCCCTTAGAGGAGGAATGACCGGCTGGGAGGAGCACAGAAAGAAGAAACATCATGGTGTCTCTGCAGCAACACAACCAGATGCCTTCATCTGCCTCGGCTGCAACAAAACATGTCTCTCCTGCATCAGTCTCTACAGCCACAGCAGGCGCTGTAACTCTCAGACAGTTTGACTTCACTCCCAAAGGTGCCCTCTTCCATTGTCTCCCAAGACAGATGGGTGTGTGTGTGTGTGTGTGTGTGTGTGTGTGTGTGTATATATATATATATAAAATACAGTGGTACCTCTGGTTGTGAACGTGATCCATTCCAGAGGTCTGTTTGCAACCTGAAAAGAACGCAACCCGCGTCTGCGCATGTACGTGGGTCGTGATTCACCACTTCTGCGCATGCGCGTGACATCATTTTGCTCGTCTGCGCATGTGCGAGCGGTGAAACCTGGAAGTAACCCTTTCCAGTACTTCCGGGTTGCCATGGGACTCAACCTGAAAATGCTCAACCTGAAGCAAACGTAACATGAGGTATGACTGTAATCATAATTTATTATTTAAAACCCCTCCCTTGTTGGACGGCTTCCAACAAGAGATTAAAAATACATTAAACGTCAGTCATTAAAAATTTCCCTAGATGCCCTGGACACAGAATTGCGCCTCCATAGACAGCTGTGAGTCCAGAATGACTCCCAGGCTGCGCACCTGGTCCTTCAGGAGCCATTCAGGACCAGGGAGTCCTCCACACCTGCCCGCCTCCTGTCCCCCCAAAACAGTACTTCCGTCTTGTCAGAATTCAACCTCAATCCGTTAGCCACTATCCATCCTCCAACCGCCTCCAGGTACTCACAGAGAATATTATATATAGATATTATTGTGCGAAGGGAGATATTGATTTGTTCTTGTTTTGTTCTTTGTTACGTATTTCGTGTTCTTATTTTGCAGCTTCCTGCTGTGAACCGTCCTGTGATCTTTGGATGAAGGGCACTATACAAATTTAATGAGTAAATAAGTATTCATTTGGTTACCCGGAAGCGAAGCCATGCTGGGCTTCAAAAACAAGCACATGCACTTTGGATTATGTTCCCCCACGCTATTTATTATTATTATTATTATTGCAAATATAGCAAAGGAAGAACAATGCAACTTTGGATTGTGCTTGGAAGCAGAGCAGTTGCTGCTGGCGTTCTTTCAACTCAGGCGAGATATGTTCCCTCCTAGCACTTCATAACAGCTGCATTTTATACAAGCTGCAGTTTCCAGGCCATCTTCCCGCCCCGTGTGCATTGCATTGCGGTAGTCCAGCTGCACATTTGAGGAAACCATTGCCTTGCGCTTTCGCTGTGCTCCCCTCCAAAGTATCAGAGAAATTCTGAGACCCGGACGACCGGTGGAGATGGCCTGAGTTTAAAAAAGGATGCCTTGCGTTCCCAAAGTGAAATTTCCATTATTCAAATCCTTGTGCCTCCATAATTTGCATGCTGGTCTTCTTGTGCCCTCACGAGAGGCTATTAATGGCTCCCCAGGACAGCTGCGCTGACAGTCAGAGAGATACCAGAGAGCGGGCTGTGTTGCTTGCTGCCTTCTTGACTTCAGCTGGCGGCATGTGTCTTTCCTGCAACAGCAGATAATATTCTATCAGCAGGGAGGGCGTGTATGTAAAAACAGAGGAGTCTCTTGTTCCGGAATCAAGCAGAGAGCACCCTTCCTTTTGCAGGAACGCCTCTTCTGCTCGACAAATGTCTGGCGTGTGTGTAATAAGAGTCCGTTTGGGAGAGAGTGAACCCTTTCAGCTCCAGAAACCCAAGTGGCTGGTTAGACAACTCAATCCCATTCACAACTTGGCGGCATAGCTGTCAAGCGTCCCTTATTTGGCGAGACAGTCCCTTATCCCAGCGCCATGTCCCGCTGCTGTCCCTTATTGACGAAGCTTCGTTTGGCTGCTGGCTGGGCTTTCTGCCTTTGTCTCGGAGGGGCTCAGAAACTGAACATACCTGTGCCCTGAAAATCCCTTATTTTGACTGCTGATCCCTTATTTTCAAGGCTGCTGGTCCCTTATTTTCAAATCTGTAAGTTGACAGCTGTGCTTACCGGAATAATTTACGGAACGCTAGAAGCCGCAGAGATCAGGAGCTCCACATTGGTGCTCCCCCTTCGAGGCCTCACCCCACTGCTAGGCCCCTATGTGGGGACACAGCTGTGCTATATAAATATCTTCAGCAGATCTTGGGGGGGGGGTTGAGGGCAGGGGGGACAAAGTCTCCATACTCTTTTTTTTTTTAAGATATTTATTAAAATTTTCAAGATATTACAAAATGAAAAAAGAAAAAAGAAAAATACAAAATAAAAATAGTTAAAAACAACTCAATCTTTCCATTACTTATTTTTCATTAGCTTGTTTCCCGGACCTCCTCGCGCCTCCCTTTTTTTGTATTCCAGTTCAGTTTGTTAATTCAGCAAATCCTTCCCCTTTGTTTATCCTAGTCTTTAATCTTAAAATATTGTAACATTAAATTTTTACCTATTCGTAATCCATTTTTCATATTCCCTTATAGTATTACAGCTAAAAACCACTTAATTTCTATCCAACATCATTCTAACATTCATTAATCTTACAATATTTCTGTAAATAGTCTTTAAACTTTTTCCAATCTTCTTCCACCGACTCTTCTCCCTGGTCTCGGATTCTGCCAGTCATTTCCGCCAATTCCATATAGTCCATCACCTTCATCTGCCATTCTTCCAGGGTGGGTAGATCTTGTGTCTTCCAGTACTTTGCAATAAGTATTCTTGCTGCTGTTGTGGCATACATAAAGAAAGTTCTATCCTTCTTTGACACCAATTGGCCGACTATGCTCCATACTCTGTATCTTGTGGGTCGTTGGTCAGCCAGGGAGACAAGAATAACAATGCAGCCCAGCGCTCCCGTTTCCTCCCCCCCCTTTTTATTAACATATAAAACACATACATATACATTTACACAATACACGTACACAACACACTACCTAAATTTCATAACATAAAACATATCTACATTACTCTATATAATACCTACCTATACTATACATGGGGGATGCGGGTGGCGCTGTGGGTTAAACCACAGAGCCTAGGACATGCCGATCAGAAGGTCAGCGGTTCGAATCCCCATGACGGGGTGAGCTCCCATTGCTCTGTCCCAGCTCCTGCCAACCTAGCAGTTTGAAAGCATGTCAAAGTGCAAGTAGATAAATAGGTACTGCTCCGGTGGGAAGGTAAACGGCATTTCCTTGCGCTGCTCTGGTTCGCCAGAAGCGGCTTAGTCATGCTGGCCACATGACCCGGAAGCTGTACGCCGGCTCCCTCAGCCAGTAAAGCGAGATGAGCGCCACAACCCAGAGTCGGCCACGACTGGACCTAATGGTCAGGGTCCCTTTACCCTTTTAAAACACATACATATACATTTACACAATACACGTACACAACACGTGTAATTTTCATAACATAAAACATACCTACATTAATCTATATAATACCTACCTATACTATACATATCAACATGCCTACACATCTACCCCATACGGACACCCACCAAGTGACTTGACTTCCAGCCGTTCTTGTTACGCTAGTTTATTTTTCCAACTAGCTTAAATGCATTTCATTATTTCTTTAACCTCTTCTTTTATCTTAACTTTACTCTCCTTTCACTCTAATCATTTTCTGGATTCACTCAGTATCTGTCAGATATTCTACTTTTTCCACATAAATTTTGATGTATTCCTTAAAGATAGCCCACTCCTTATTCACTTTTTGTACCATATCTCCTCTTATCCTCCCTGTTAGTTTGGCAATATGGAAGTATTCCTTCATTTTAGATAACCAGCCTGTTTTAGTTGGGACGCTGCAGCTTTTCCAAATTTTGGCAATCAATAACCTTGCCGCTGTAGTTGCATACATAAAAACTTAGTCTGGCCATTCTTTCTATTTCCTCTGACATGATACCTAGGAGAAAGGATTCTGGGTTTTCCCCCAAATGAAAATCTAAACATCTTTTCAGTTCATTATAGATATTTTCCCAGAATCCCACTATCTCTTTACACTCCCCACCACATATGTAGAAAGGTTCCTGCACTCCTGTTTCCTAAAGGGGTTGGGTAAACTCTGTTTCCACCCGAGGGCTGGATTCTCTTCTGGACAACTTTCCAGGGGCCACATGGCAGAGGCGGGCAGGGCCAGCAGCAGATATAATCGTCCTCTTTGTACAGTAGGATACTTTCTGCATTCGCCTCCTTATCTTCCACCCACCAAGCAAAAGGCATTATCAGAATTCAAGGACGTGCTTCAGCCAAACAAAGGCACCCAAGGAAGGTGTGAAGCAGGGCTGGTGGTTATGGCCATGGGAGACAGCACCAAGGGCCAGGTGAAAAGGCTTAAGGGGCCACATTGGGCACCCAGGCCAGAAATTTTCCCCACCTCTAAAGGGATTTGGCGGAGACCTCTGGCTGTGATTGGCTAAGCTGCTGTGAGATCACAGAGAGGGCAGGCGCTGCACTCTTGCAACTGTGGCGATAGTGGTGAGCCAGCTTATCGTTCAGGAAAGCGTCTGCTGTGAAGGAGAAATTTGTGATATACGGCATGTTACTGAGGAACTATTTCTCAGAATAGTGGGCTAGATAACTGGGCTAGATAACATCACAGGGATTCCTTTGAAGAAAGAAAAGTTACGTAATAGATGCACATTTAACTATCACTTAAAACTTAGAGCCATTGTGTGGTCGTGGTTTGAATGCAGGATCAGGACCTGGGAGATCAGGGCACAAATCCATGATGTTCACAGAGTGCCCTTAGGCTAGCCACAGTTTCTCAGCCTAGCCTACCTCACCAGGTTTTTTTGAGGATAAAATAGAGAAGGGAAGAACCACGAAGCTCCTTGGATGAAAGGCACAATATAAATATAACAACAAATAAACATGTATTACGCATCTGGTTAGGTTGTCTCTAACATATGTATCTACTAGCATATATAAAAACAGACAAAATATGTATTTTCTGTATATATATATTTTGACACAGCTTGAGAGGGAAGAATATATGGCATATAAATTTTACAAATCCATTAAGCTATTATTCAAATCACCTCAATCTACTCTAAATAGGTTGTACCGACCTCTTGGGAACCCCATAAACCATGGGAGAAGTCTTTGTGCTCAAGCCCCATTGGAATGAATGGAGCTGCCTTAAAATGAACGGACATGTGGCAAGCTGTGCTTGGGCAATGGTTTAACCATCCAGATGAAATAGTTTCCCTCTAAACATTGGGGTTGGACTAGATGACCCCTGGGTTCCTTCAAGCTCTATGACTCGGTCGTGTTTACTTCCCCATAATAAACACACCGAAGGTCTCAGATGGAAAGTTTTACGGAATTAAGTTCCACGACAAACTAACCCGTGATGGTGACTTAGCTTGAATCATCCAGAATGGAAAGAAGTTCATTGCACAAGCACTTTTTCCATGGTCCAACAAGCTGTTGAGGCTTAGAGCAGCCAGCCCTACAAAGACCACAATTCTTTTCCTGCCCCCAGCCTAAGAAGGCACCCAGAGGTTCATGTAATCCATGGGTAGGCAAACTAAGGCCTGGGGGCTGGATCCGGCCCAATTGCCTTCTAAATCTGGCCCACAGATGGTCCAGGAATCAGCATGTTTTTACATGAGTAGAATGTGTCCTTTTATTTAAAATGCATCTCTGGGTTATTTGTGGGGCATAGGAATTCATTCTTTTTTTTCCTTTTCAAAATATAGTCCGGCCCCCCACAAGGTCTGAGGGACAGTGGACCGTCCCCCTGCTGAAAAGGTTTGCTGACCCCTGATGTAATCCAATCCCTGCAATGCAGGAATATGCATCTGTTCCATGCAGGGAATCAAACCTGCAACCATGGCATTATCAGCACCATGCTCTAACCAACTGAGCTATCTGGTCTCAGGTGTTATGTGAGCCTGGTTTTTGACAGCTTTCATACATAATTTCCAGATGACGAGGTTGGATAGATCTTTCTATATCCTTTTTTGTTTTTTTAACATTAAATTTTATTAGATGTTACAAAAAAATGAAAAGGAAAAAAATGAAATAGAAACAATACATTTATCTACACAGTTTTCCAGAATGTAGACTAGAAAAGATGAAAGATAAAAGAAAGAAACAAGAAAAAGAATGAAGAGAAAAATACTTTTCATAATCAATAATTCCAAATTCATACTTCAAACATTACAATACAGTGGTACCTCGGGTTAAGTACTTACCGTATTTTTTGCTCTATAAGACTCACTTTTTCCCTCCTAAAAAGTAAGGGGAAATGTGTGTGCGTCTTATGGAGCGAATGCAGGCTGCGCAGCTATCCCAGAAGCCAGAACAGCAAGAGGGATTGCTGCTTTCACTGCACAGTGATCCCTCTTGCTGTTCTGGCTTCTGAGATTCAGAATATTTTTTTTCTTGCTGTCCTCCTCCAAAAACTAGGTGCGCCTTGTGTTCTGGTGCGTCTTATAGAGCGAAAAATACGGTAATTCGTTCCGGAGGTCCGTTCTTCACCTGAAACTGTTCTTAACCTGAAGCACCACTTTAGCTAATGGGGCCTCCTGCTGCTGCTGCACCGCCAGAGCACGATTTCTGTTCTCATCCTGAAGCAAAGTTCTTAACTCGAGGTACAATTTCTGGGTTAGCGGAATCTGTAACCTGAAGCGTCTGTAACCCGAGGTACCACCGTATATAAATCCTAATTAATATCCTTTTTTGGTTTTCGTGGCTCTCCTCCTTAGGAACATCCTTGCTGGGATTTAGCGGCCTAGGAAAATAAGAAGCTGTCTTATGGGGAGTCAGGTTACTGGTTCATTGTGCTCAATGTTGTCTACACTGACTGGCAGCAGCAGCACCAGCTCTCCAGGACCTCAGGATCTCGCAGCCCTACCTGGCGAAGCCAAGGGTTGAACCTGGGACCTTCTGCCTGCAAAGCAGCTGCTCTGCTGCTGTACTAGCCTAGTTGATATTCCTGCATTGCAGGGGGTTGGACTAGATGACCCCTGGGGTGCCCTCCAACTACAGTTCTGTGATTCAAAGCAAGTTGTTGCTGCAGGTGGGAATTAAATACACTGGCACAGGGGACCTAACAGGACTCCACCAAAGTCAGCATGCTCAAATTCAGCAATGGGGCGGGGAGAGGGGCTCTGCCTTCTCCCTGCTGATAAGAAATCTACTCATCTTCTTGACCCAGGTTTGAGATCTGTAACGCCAAGCAAAGCATAAACCATTCCTAAGGACGAAAGAGTCTTGCAGGGCCAGGGCCTTTTCAGTGATGGCTCCGACCTGGTGGAATACTCTGTCCCTTCAGGATTTAACCTTCTTCCGTCGGGCCTGTAAGACAGAGCTATTCTGCCTGGCCTTTCATTTGAATTCAGCCTGATCTTTTATTTCCCTTCTCTTCCCTCCCCCTCCCCTTTTATGAAGATCACCTGCTCTGAGACCCCACAGCTAATTCTCCCCTGGCCTCCTCGCTGGCCCAATTAGGACCAATTCAGCCAGCTAGCCCTGGGGATTATCTAATTGATTTTTGAATTTTATTGTTATTCACGTTTTTATACTGTATTTTATGCTGCTTTTATAATTAAGTGTTTTAAATTGGTTGTTAGCCACCCTGAGCCCAGTTTTTGAATCGGGAAGGGCGGGGTATAAATAAAATTTATTATTAATATTATTATTATTAAAGATTCACAGATTTGTTATACGGCCCAAGGCTCCTTGCAGTAAGTAACCTGTCTACCTTTTGTTTTGTTTTTCAAGTTTTTATTTATACTTTTCAAGTTTATACATTTTATTAGTTTTACAATCAATCTAACATTTCAAAGTCTGACCTCCTTCCCCCCTCCTTCTGCAGTTCCTTAAAATTTATTTTTTAATATCTCTTGCATATCCAAATTCATTATCTACCTTAAATATATACTCTTATGAAACTGCAGGTTATTACAATAATCCCGCCAATTTTTTTATCTGTTTGCAATTTATCTGTAAATATTCAACCAACTATTTCCCATTCTTTTATTAAAAAGTTTGTTATCTTGATTTCTTATTCTTCCGGTAAGTTTCACCATTTCTGCATATTCCATACGTTTTTGTATCCATTCTTCCTTTGCTGGGACTTCTGCTTCTTTTCTGTTTTTGGGCAAGTAGCAGGTAGTTCTGTCCCTATAATTCCCAAAAGAAAAGCTTCTGGTTTGGTTTGGTTTTTACAAAAGTTATTTTGAACATCCTTTTCCATTCATTGTACGTACATCATCGATAACCTGGCTACCTTTTGGGAATCGTATGAAGATTTTCAGATCCAGGTAAGCAGCTATTTCAATAGGAAACAGGGGGTCATCCTCTGGTGGCCTTGGGAATGTTTGCGCCTGGATGAGAAAGGCAAACAATGGAAGGCAATTTCAAGGAATGCCAGAAAGAGAGGTGGAAGCTGGAAGCTGGACAAAGGCTAATCAAACTAATAGTTTCAGTTTGCTGCACGATAAGGACTGCTCCAAGGCTGCATCGGTGGTGAAAAATTTAAGGTGGCGGGGAGAGGGAAATGCCACAACGGCTGCTTGAATTTTACTAGCTAAGAACTGGAAAATACAAGAAATACCAACTGTGGAAGATTGGCAGATGAAGAGGATGGATTTTTCAGAGCTAGCTGACCTGACTGGAAGAATCCGTGACCAGAAAGAAGAGGAATACCAAGAAGACTGGAAGAAATTTAAAGACTATTTGAATAAATATTGTAATATAAAAAAATAGGAATCACTTGAAAGTACCAAATAGGCCTAGGATTAAAATAGGATTTACTAAATAAATGGGGTTCAGAAAGTAAGAAAAGTGAATAAGTTAGATAATAAATAGAAATATTTTTGTTTAGGAATGATATTGGAAAGCTGTTACATTCAGATACAAGGAAATTCAGAAGGGAGGGACTAGAGGAAGTCAAACAATATGTAAATAAGGGTGGGTTTTTAAAGGATTAAGTTCGTTTTTATTGTTTATTTCTTTTATGGTGGTGGGTAGGATGATGTTTATTGTATTGTTTTCTTTGATGTATCTTTTTTCTTTTCTTTGTGCTTCTGTTATGTGGTATAATTGTGGAAAACATAATAAAAAATTTAAAAAAGAAAAGAAAAAGAAGATGCCTTGCTCTCATATAAAAAGCACATTATTTAAAGTCAGGGGTGAAGAACAGTTTTCCGTCTGAAACTGGGTAACTTTTGTGGAGGCAGCCGGGGGCCATGCCACTGATGGATAAGGCCCTGGGCACAGCCAGGCTTTTTGTTAGGGGGCTGGGCTTTTGTTAGTGGGGAGTAGAACCATGGGTGTAGCCAGTATTGGGGGCCCAGCTTTTTTTTATTAAATCAAAGCTGTTGAGCTTTCTCGGGAAATCACAGGTAAAAATACCCCATAAATAGGACATTGAGGGGGGCAGGTTTCTGCTGGAGGGGCAGAACCTCAGATAACTGAGCACTTTCTATGCTTATCAATAATATTTGTGGATCTAAGGGGGGGGAGCTGCCTCCCTCACGCCCCCCCTTGGCTATGCTCATGGGTAGAGCCTCAGATTTGCATTTTTATTTTGTGATGGGGGCACGCTCCCCCCCCCCATATGGGCATAGCCAGGATTTGGGGGGGGGGCAGAACCGACGTGATTGGTCAGTTAATTAAGTATTTCTATTGTTTTACTTGATCTGGGGGGAGGCAGCTACGCCCATGCCCTCTGCCCCCTTGACTATGCCCATGGGTGAGGTCACACTTTCCTAGGAGTAAGCCCCACTGGCTTAAGTGGATCTTATTTCTGAAAAAATGTACATAGGTGGCTACAGCTCTAAATATCTTTTTAAGCTCAGCCCTCTCTTAAAATGCAGAACGACAAACTGCTTGACGCTGGCATTTATTTAAGCAGAAGTAATGTCAGGCGATGATGCGCCGATCTGCCTTTTGGAACCAAGAAGCACCCAAGTAGCTCAGTCGGCAGAGCAGGAGACGCTTCGTCTTAGGGTCGTGGGTTCGAATCCCGCGTTGGGCAAAAAAGGGCGCTTGGACTAGCGATGACCCTGGTGCTCCCTTCCACATTTGGCTTCTATTATTCTCTTCTACCCAACTAATTCCTCTGCAAAGGCCGAACTCTTTCAGTTTCTATTCTCTCCCTTTGCGTAAAGCTCTGCTTTGGAGACCCTCCCAAGGCGCACAAAACTACAGTTCCCGTCGTGCACCGGACAGCAAAGCTTCCGGGTGCTTGTAGTCCTCTTGCGCTCCCTCTTGCCATCGTATCGGGGGAGCCGGACCCGCCTGGAGAACTACAACTCCCATGGTGCCGCGCGGCGCGCCTCCGCTTCGCCCCCCCCTCTGTCTCCCTTTGCCTCTCCCCGCTTCGCGCTCCGAACAGCTGATCGCGAGGCGCAATGGCTGCAGCAACCGCCGCGGCTGCGGGGCGCGGGACGGCGGAGAGCGAAGCGGGAGGCAGGGATCTCGGGGGCGACAGGTAAGGGGAGAGACCCCCCTTTCGCAGACACGCACCTTTGGGTGGGGGGGAAGGGAGGGAAGGAGCCCAGGTGGCTCTTCCCGCACGGGGGTTCCCCGGGGAGAGGCGCGCTCCGTTGCGCCCGGTTGCGAAGGGCGCCTGGGGCGGCTGGATGCGCGGAAAACGGAGCCCCGGCCGGGCTGAGCTCGCTCGCCTTCTGCGCGGATGGTCCCGGGTTCAATCCCCGGCATCTCCCGGGATTTGCGGGGAGCGGATCCCATCAGGAGAGCGACTGCCCATTGGCGCAGAGAATGCCGAATTAGAGGGACGCCCTGGCAAGGGTGCCCACTGGAATAAAACATCGGGGAGGGGGGAGAGGTAAGCACTGTCCCACATAATCGTGGCGCAGGTACACCGTTTGAATGGCCTTGCCTATCAACTTGGAGGGAGGGGGCTCAAATATTTCGTTTGCGCCCTGGCACCTTCCTTTGCGCACCTGAGCACTGCCTCTCTTTGGGTTTCAGTAGTTGGCATGTGGAAGGGCTCAGTGGTCATGGAGTTGGAAGGTACCATGAGGGTCATCTTGTCCAACCCCCCCGGCCAGGAATCATTTGGGCCAACCTGGGGCTCGAACCCACAACCTTGAGGTTTAGAGTTTCATGATCTAGTGACTGAACTATGTGGGAAGACTAGGAGCCCACTGGGGGCATACAATGGAGCTGGCGAGTTTGGCCTCTTACCAGTCATCCCCAAACTCGTCCCTCCAGCTGTTTTGGGACTACAACTCCCATCATCCCTAGCTAACAGGGCCAGTGAGAATTGTAGTCCCAAAACAGCTGGAGGGCTGAGTTTGGGGATGCCTGGTCTCTACCATAGGAACCAACTCCTAGGGGCCAAGGTCCCTTTGGCCCCCCCCAAAAATAAAATGCCCCCCGAGTTGATGGGCATTGCCATTGAAATGATGTGCATGCACTGCGTCATGTGATTGATTACATGGGGTGGGGTTTACCTGCCCCCGTCAATCTTTTATTCAAGTTGGTCCCCCTGGTGCTTGCCAAGGAAGGAGGCCCAGAGGGGCACCCAAAAACGCATCTCTCACCTCTGGCTCACACGCTCCCTGGGCTGTCTGAGTGAGGCACGCAGGCTCCTTTGGGTGCCTTGGCAGAGAAGTACAAGGTGGGGGCAGCAGTCAGGATGACAACTTGGATAAAATATTTGCGGGGGGGGGGGGGGAGGCGGGTAAGCCCTGCCCCATATAACGGATCACAATCCACATACAGCATTTGAATGGCAATGCCAGTCAACTTTCTTGGGGGGCTGGCCCCCTGAAATACTTTATTGGGGGGGGTGAAGGGTGTGTGCACATAGCTTCTTGAAGGGCCTAGGAAGAAGAGGAATTTAGGCAGAAGGAGAGATTTAGACAGGCTAGGAGACCTGAATTTCACATAACATGTCAAAAACAACGAGGCACTTTTGACACCTTAAAGACTAGTCAATTTTATTACGGATTAAACTTTTTGCAGACCAGGGCCCAATTCATCAGATGTAGCACACTTATTAAAATCTGTTCGTCTTTACGGTGCCCCAAGATTGTTTTCGCTACAGCAGACTTAACACCCTTTGAATTGTGTTTGCAAGTTTTGAGTGCTTGTATATATCATTGTCCTCATCCGGTGATGACCTTTGGGATAGGATAGGCGTTTAAACAAGCAAATAATACTGACCACGGACAAGGTCAAACATTGCTCTTTCTGTTGCCGCAAACTCTCTTCACACCAGAGTCGTAGCTGAGTGATCTTGTGCCCCTGGCAGAACTGTCCAGATTGGGCCCCTAGGTAAAGGTAAAGGGACCCCTGACCATTAGGTCCAGTCGTGACCGACTCTGGGATTGCAGCGCTCATCTCGCTTTATTGGCCGAGGGAGCTGGCGTACAGCTTCCGGGTCATGTGGCCAGCATGACTAAGCTGCTTCTGGCAAACCAGAGCAGCGCACGGAAATGCCGTTTACCTTCCCACTGGAGTGGTACCTATTTATCTACTTGCACTTTGACGTGCTTTCGAAATGCTAGGTTGGCAGGAGCAGGGACCGAGCAACAGGAGCTCACCCCGTCGTGGGGATTCGAACCACGACCTTCTGATCAGCAAGTCCTAGGCTCTCTGGTTTAACCCACAGCACCACCCGCATCCTATGTTGCATTCATAGCTCAGTGTAGAACATGGTTCACCTCCCATCCTCAGTTAATCCGCACAATGACCCTGTGAGTTAGGTTAAGAGGTTGCTACGATCACCCAGTGAAACTTCATGGCTGAGTGGGGATTTGAACCCTGATCTTCCATGTCCTAGTCCGACACTCTAACCTCTACACCACACTGCCTTCCTGGAGTTATTCTGCTGTGGGCCAGCTCTATAAATCAAGCAAGTGAATCAATATGGGGAAAAGCCAAATGTCACTTAGAGAAGGATCTGAAATGCCATATGTTTCGGTCTATAAGACGCCCCCATGTATAAGAGGCCCCCTATTTTGGGGGGACTCAGATTTAAGAAAATGGGGGGAGATGTGTCTGTGTATAAGACGCCCCCTAATTTTTGACATTATTTTTTAGGGAAAAAACCTAGTCTTATACATGGAAAAATACAGTATTTTCATTGAAGCTTGAATTTGTTTACTTCTGGATTGTTTCATTTGATGTTTTCATGCGTTGTAAACCGCTTTGAGATTTTTCCCCTTTAAAATATAAAGTGGTATAAAAATGAAATTATTAATAATAATGGTAAATTTCACCACGAAAAGCTGCCTAGACATTCCTTTTTTGTGTCTGTAACCTAGGTTTAAGGTGCCATTTGGCGATTAGCTTATATATCTGAATTCCTAACACTGTCAGCTGGGCTGGGCTTTTTCTTTGTTTTGCCGCTGTAGGTCTGGAATTTAATCCACTGTGGGGATTAGCCTTCTGAGAAGCATGGGCAGTTTTAACCTTTTAACTTGCACGCCTGGCTGTTTTCGAAAACACCTGTGATGTTGTCCTGAATATCACGCACAGGGCTCTGGAGTTGCACATTTTGGCCAACAAGCCAAAGGCAAATGTGTGTCCCGCCCCACCATACCCAAAGTTTAAAAAGAGGAAGCTTCCAGCATGATGTCAGTGCTCTGGGAGTTTGTCCGTCTCTGTATACATACATACATACAAAGAATATATCTGAATGACAAAAAACAGACAACACACACAAAGAGAAAGGCAAAACAACTAAGTTCAACGAAAAGAGCTTTAGATAATGAAGTCAAAAGAAAAAGTAATATCAAGAGTGAATGAAAATGATGCAATTATGAATCTACAACCGGGGAATAAAATACAGCTTGCATGGTGCAATGAAAGAGATAGGCAATTCCCTCCCGCCTCTTTTTTTTGTATTTACAGATGCCACCAAATAAAATCATATTTCTAAGGGATTTGTGACACATGTGACAGTGCTGTGCTATATTTAATAAATAAAATCCCCACAAACAGAGGTGAAATGAGAAGGCTCAACATCACCCCAGCTGCAGAAAAATAACATGCCATTTTTTTCTGAAAAAGCAATGAACATAACTGTTTTTAGAGAATATTTACAGTCATACCTCATGTTGCGTACTCTTCAGGTTGTGTTTTTTCGGGTTGCAGACTGCCGAAACCTGAAAGTACCAGAACGGGTTACTTCCGGGTTTTGGCAGTCGCGCATACTCAAAAGCGCCGAATTAGGCTTTGCACATGCGCAGAAGCACCAAATCACAACCCGTGTGTGTGCAGACATGGGTTGTGAACGTGCATCCCTGCAACTTTCTTGCACAGCTTAGGGGCCGCCACAGAGAAGGCCCTCTCCCAAGCCACCCCCCAGCCTCTGAGGGCAGAGGAACTAGTAAGATGGCCCCATCTGCCAATCTTAGCACCCCAGAGGGACTGTAGGGAGGAAAATTTTCAGATATTTGTTTGGGAAAATGGCCTCAGGCCCCAGGATCTCGATGGAGGCCCTCCCAGCCTCCATATCTGGGTTCGTGCAATATTTTGAACAGCTGCACAGGTGTGTGGAGGGCAGGGGAAGACCAGCAACTGGCTAAAATGTCAGTGCTTTCCAGAAACTAATGCTAAACCATTGACTAACTTCCTGCTGAGTTACAGTATGGACCTATTATTCCTCCAGCCCTTCCTCTCCAGAGATTGGAGCACTCTCTTAGCCTGACAACAAGCCTGCGAGGTAGGCAAGGTATATGTTGCACTACTGCGGAAGAAGAGAAGGATGTGTTGTACGGGAAAGGAATCCAGTTTCTCAAGAACGTTCAGCTTTTAAAAGGAAAAAGAACCCAAAGCTTATCTCCGATGGTTTTCGTGTAAATACATTTTCAAGGCGTCGTTCCAAATCCTGGCAGGTCCGCTATCTGGGGAGAAAAATCACATTTTTCCAAGCAACAATAGCCTGCAATTTGAATGCTGGGGGGGGGGGGAGCAACATCCTTGAAAACAGAAGCATTTCCTTGAGGGGTAATTTCTGAATTCCACGCAGTTCAGTTAAAAATAGCCCGTTGATAGATTGGGTGGAGCTCCACTGAGCCTCCAAGTTCCCAGTCCATATGGAACATCTCTCTGAAGCAAGCCATGCTGGAACAAACCGGGGGTCTGCTGGAGCCCAGCCGCCCATGAATCCCCTCTGGTTTAGCAGGCGTTGTGCAGGAGATCTTCCTCCCGGTGGATCGCCCTGAAAAGTTCCTTTAAGATGTTTCAGTTCTTGCAGTTCTGCTCCAAGGAAAGCTTCCTTGCTTCTCCCCTCTTCCATTCACTGTTGAAATTCAGATTGTTGGCACTTGGGACTAGGAGGGATGTGTTTTGGTCTTATTGACAAGAGTGTGACATATGCACTGATGGTTCTATGCACTGAATGGCCATGCTTCCTACTCTAAAGGCAACGAAGGCCTGTGTCCAATGCTTGCCCTACTCACGGTAGGCCCATTGTAGGTAATGACTGGAAGCGGTCATTGAGACCACATAACACCGGTCTTGAAAGACCTACATTGGCTCCCAGTACGTTTCTGAGCACAATTCAAAGTGTTGGTGCTGACCTTTAAAGCCCTAAACAGCCTCGGTCCAGTATACCTGAAGGAGCGTCTCCCCCCCCCCCATCGTTCTGCCCGGACACTGAGGTCCAGCGCCGAGGACCTTCTGGTGGTTCCTTTGCTGTGAGAAGCCAAGTTACAGGGAACCAGGCAGAGGGCCTTCTCGGTAGTGGCACCCGCCCTGTGGAACGCCCTCCCAGCAGATGTCAAAGAGAAAAATAACTACCAAACTTTTAGAAGACATCTAAAGGCAGCCCTGTTATTGTATTTTAATGTTTTGTTGGAAGCTGCCCAGAGTGGCTGGGGAGACCCAGCCAGATAGGCGGGGTATAAATAATAAATTATTATTATTATTATTATTATTATTATTATTATTATTATTATTATTAGCATGGTTACCTTACTGCAATCTTAGGCTTGGATTCAGCTATGTACCCTACCCTGGAAGTAAGACCCATTGCATGCTATGGGCCTTCTGAGAAAGCATACCGAGTCTCTGTGACTGCGAGAACGACTTTGGAAACAAGTGTTCCTGGATATTGTTTCTCTTACCAAAGCATGCAATCGCATTCCCCTGCTGCTGGCTTATTTTCAATACTTGCTTTTTGGCAGCGGGAGCAGAGCAGAGACACTGGCAGGCCTCTGGACAGATCCTGTAAACAGATCAGTTTTGTTTGGCCCTTCGCAATTTTTCAGCTGTGTTTGCTCGGAAAGGGGGAGGGATATTTCCAAGTCGTAAATGAGAGGCAGACGCCATGCAATATTGTTCTCTCGGTGTATGGATGTGATGGCCCATCTATAGCTACATGCATGGAGATCTCGCATGTAAAGCTACCACTGGATGGCACCAGCTTCATATGGATTGCAGAAGCTGTGAAGTGGTCAGTTTGTGGGGTGAAACGGCTTTCTCCCGGCCTCTAGAGCACTGTCTGGAGAAGGCAGCGATGCCCAAGAAAATATAAGTTGATCCCTGAAATAGAGACCTAGTTCTCACTGAAATAGTAAACTGGTGTCCTGGCAGTACCACTTCGTATTGCCAGTAGGGTTTGCATTACTGGCCATACACCATTTCCCCACCTCATAGAAAGCTAGCATCTCAGCCCTTCTCCTGGACAGCTAAGTTTCTTTTTGCAGGGAATTGTATTTTATTTTTATTGTTTTCTAGCAAGGAGACACGCGAGCCTCTACATGCATTCTGAAGTGGGTTGCAGCCCAGATAAAAGGTAAAGGTAAAGGGACCCCTGACCATTAGGTCCAGTCGTGACTAACTCTGGGGTTGCGCGCTCATCTCGCTCTATAGGCCGAGGGAGCCGGCATTTGTCCGCAGACAGCTTCCGGGTCATGTGGCCAGCATGACTAAGCCGCTTCCGGCGAACCAGAGACGCGCACGGAAGCGCCGTTTACCTTCCCGCCAGAGTGGTACCTATTTATCTACTTGCACTTTGAGGTGCTTTCAAACTGCTAGGTTGGCAGGAGCAGGGACTGAGCAACGGGAGCTCACCCCATCCCGGGGATTCGAACCGCTGACCTTCTGATCGGCAACTCCTAGGCTCTGTGGTTTAACCCACAGCGCCACCCGTGTCCCTATTGCAGCCCAGATAGCTCAGTCTAAAAGCACGAGATTCTCTTAGTCTCAGGGGCACGAGTACAAGCCCAATATTGGCTGAAAGATTCCTGCATTGCCTGGGCCAGAGGGTTGGGCTAGATGACCCTCGCGGACCCTTTGTGACTCAAGCTTCGAGCCACAGCTTGAATCCCTTCATGAGAACCAGAGCATTCGCTGAGATTAATGTGCCGTTCAACAAGACAGCGTCCTTTCCGCCCACTCTTATTTGGACGGCGCTGCTTTCAATATAAACCATTAGCCTAGGCAAACACCCCTTGCTTATCTTTTGTGGTTGGTGCCAAGCTGCCATGAGTCTGCATTTTTGTGTGTGGCAAGTGAGGATCCCAGTTGCTTCACCATGTGTTTACTGGAGACAAGGCGGCTGGCGTCCCTTGTTTTGTTTCTTTGAGGAAGGTGCCTGGTTGCTCTTGTGCCACTAGGGGGAGATGTAAATCCTGCAGCTCGACTGGAGAGAGGGCCACGATTCAGCAACTCTCACTCAATGTACAGTAGTACCAGGGCCGTCTTAAGCATATGCGGTGCTGGGGTGCAAAGATCTGCCCAGTGCCATCCCCTCAGGTTCCCCAGAGTTGTCAAACTTTTCTTTTTTTAGGGGACTAACACCATGCTTTTCCCAGTAGTGATGTATGGAAGTGAGAGCTGGACCATAAAAAGAAGGCTGATCGCCGAATAATTGATGCTTTTGAATTATGGTGCTGGAGGAGACTCTCGAGTGTCCCATGGACTGCAAGAAGATCAAACCTCTCCATTCTGAAGGAAATCAGCCCTGAGTGCTCACTGGAAGGACAGATCCTGAAGCTGAGACTCCAATACTTTGGCCACCTCATGAGAAGAGAAGACTCCCTGGAAAAGACCCTGATGTTGGGAAAGGTTGAGGGCACAAGAAGAAGGGGACGACAGAGGACGAGATGGCTGGACAGTGTTCTCGAAGCTAGCAGCATGAGTTTGACCAAACTGTGGGAGGCAGTGGAAGACAGGAGTGCCTGGCGTGCTCTGGTCCATGGGGTCATGAAGAGTCGGACACGACTAAACGACTAAACAACAACAACACCATGCTTATCTCTGCTCAGGAAAAGAAGAAAGGAAACAGGTGCCTGGGGCTGCAAAGATGAAGGAAACGGACTATGTGGGGAGCAGGATTTAAATCCAGACTCACACGCTTAAAAAAAAAGAAATCCCCCGTAAACGCTGCTAATAGAATCCAGCCAGATGGGTAGGGTATAAATATATTATTATTATTATTATTATTATTATTATTATTGTCAGGGGTTCAGGGACAGAGGCACAGGGTAGGCAGGAGATGGAGAGCGATGGGGATGAATCCCAGGACAGCGAGGAAGAGGATGACAATGACTCAAGAGATTCCATGAGTCTTTCCAGCGAATCAGAGGATTCCCAGAAGGGGGCGCCGGTGGTCAAGGCCAGGGGAGCCCCAGGGGGGACGTGTCAGGAGCAGGGGGCCAGCGGGGGATCCCAAAGTGGCAGCTGGGCGTCAGGATAGCCTCCCCGCCAGAGTGCAGTGAAGGGGGTGGAGGTTTCAGTGTATCAGGGGAAGCGGCTCCGGCAGCAGAGAAGGGAGGGAGGTCGGAGCAAGCCATCCTCCCGGAAGGGGAGGGGAGTAGTGAAGGGAGTAGTGTAGCTGTTAAAAGGAAGGTTAGAGGCTGGGCGCGCGCGCAAAGTAAAAATGAAGAGGCGCGCTCAAGTAAAGGGAGCCCGGAGGAGGGGCCAGGTCCCAAAGCCCGCAGGAGGGGCAAGAGCAGTCTGGGGATTCCGCGTCAGAGGAATCCAGGAGGGGCGAAACCCCAGCGGGCAGAAAGACCCTGCGGAAAAGGAAAGAGAGAAAGAGGTGGAGCAGCGCAAGCCTCTTAAACTGGTGCAGGGGAGGGACTGATTCAGAGGGGACTTCAGCGGTCTAAGCGTAGCAGACGTAGGGCTGCGCGCCTCGGATGTGAAGCAAACAGTGAACTGCAATAAACACTTTTGTATATAAGAAGAGATAGGCGTTGGTCTTTTGTGAGCTGAGACTTGAGGCAGCCCTGACAATTATTATTATTATTAATAATAATAATAATAATAATAATATACCACCTTTTCCTCCAAGGTGCTCAAGGTGGGGTACGTGGTTCTCCCTCCCATTTTATCCTCAAAACAACAACCCTGTCAGGTAGGCCAGGCTGAGAGATGGTGACTGCCCCAAGGTCACCCAGTGTGCTTCATGGTGGAGGGGGGATTCGAACCCTGGTCCCAGTCCGACACTAACCATTACACCACAGAGGCTTTCTGTTTCAGCGTCACACATCTTAAATCTTTAATCTTATGGTGAACATCGTCATTATTTTTAAAAATCATTTTTATTGGTTTTCCCAATACAAAGTCGTAAACAAAGAATAAAAAAGTATATTCAAATAAAGAGATTCCTCCAAATATCCGGACTCTTCCCCGCCCCATCCACCCTGTGGTTTCCCATTTTGAACACTTATTACTGCATATTCTTTCATACTCCATTTTTTTATATCAAACCACTTTGTCCATGGTAATTGCTAAACTACAAGTGAGATCAAAATCCTGCTAATGTTTCCATCTGCTTACAGTGGTCTCCTAAGTAACTTATAAATTTTTCCCATTCTTTTATAAAGTTTTTGTCCTCTTGGTTCCCAAGTTTTCCAGTCAGTTTTGCCATCTCGGCGTAGTCCATCAGCTTGATTTGCCATTTCTCTCTGGTAGGGACTTCTTTCCATCTCTGGGCCAGTAACATCCGGGCAGCTGTTGTTCCATTCATAAAATGTCTCTTCTGTTCCTTTGAAATATCAGTACCTATAATTCCTAATAGAAAAGGAATTAACAAAAGTTATTTTTTGTTAATTTGGGTTCTTAACAAAGAAATTTGGTTTCTTAACAAAAGTTATTTTAAACATTTTCTTCCTTTCATTATATATCATCTCCCAGAAAGCTTTTCTTACCTTACAAGTCCACCACATATGATAAAAGTTGCCTTCTGTTTCTTTACATTTCGAACAAGTATTTGTAGTTGTCCTATATACATTACGGTGAACGTCATTTGATCCATCTGTCAAGCTGCCCCACGCAGTTACTTCCCACATGCTTTGTGCGATTTGGAATCAGTGTTCCCATTTTTTATGTGTGGAAAACTGAGGCCAAGATGTTACACTCATTCGTTGTGTCTGTAGGTCACACCCAAGCACACCTCTGTTCTTCTGCATAAACTAGAACGCATTGTGCCTCTTGGATAAAGGGCAGGTCAGCCAACATAAGCTTTGTGGAAACATCTGAACAAAATGGGGCGAGCTCAAAGTTAGGCTTATTTGGGACAGTAGCCTTGCCACCCACAGAATTTTTTACTGGGGAGGGGGAAAAGGGGGAGAGCAGGCTAGTTTTCTCACCCGACCCCAATATAAGGAGCATTTGCTCTCGTATCTCAGGTTCTACAAATGCTAAAAACTTTGGCAGTCTCTTGTTCAATGAAATCTTGCCCCCCACCGCATGCCCCAATCAGCTCTGGGGATGCCCACTAATACTCAAGCAGATTTGAGGAAGGCGGAAGGGGGCCAGTTCTGTGGACCATAAGTGTTCTAACGCTTTAAAGATGCTCTCAAGGCAGAACTTTTTAAAAAATGCAGTACAGTCACAGATAACTGGGAAACACTGGCCTGCAAGTGCTCCAATTGAACAGAGCTATTGCACAAGCAACCTTACTGTATACTTGTGAAACATGGACCACTTATAAATGCCATCTCCAACTCCTCAAAAGATTCCATCAATGGTGTCTCCGAAAATTTTTACATATCACTTGGGAAGGCAGGAGAACTAATGCCAGTGTACTGGAAGAAGCAAAGATCACCAGTGTTGAAGCAATGATTCTTCAACATCAACTTCGTTGGACTGGTCATGTTGTGTGAATGCCTGATGATCGTCTTCCAAAGCAACTACTCTGTTTCGAACTTAAAAATGGAAAGCATAATGCTGGTGGTCAGCAAAAGAAGTTTAAAGACTCTCTCAATGCAAATCTTGTAAAAATGCAGTATAAACACCGACAATTGGGAAACACTGACCTGCGAGCGCTCCAATTGAAGAACAGCCTCTACCAAAGGTGTTGTGGGTTTGAAGACGCTTGAACTCAGGACGCAAGGAAGAAACGTGCTAAGAGGAAGGCACGCTTGGCAAATCCACACCGTGATCAACTCCCGCCTAGAAACCTATGTCCTCACCTTGGAAGGACATGTGGATCTAGAGTTGGCCTCCACAGTCACTTATGGACTCAGTGTTGAAACCATGTTTATGGAAGACAATCTTACTCGGCTACGAGTGATCGCCAAAGAAGAAGATACGTTTTAACAGAGGAAGAGCACTGGATGATACCATTAAGGGGGTGGGAATTCAAATGAAAGCTGGGGATTTCACCCCTTGGCACCCATTGATAGCAAGCAAATTTCTGCCTTTCATAGGCAAGGGTTGCACAAGGCGGAGAGGCCTTCTCTGATTTTGGCGACATGGTGGAATCTTCCAACTCATCCATTGGTTTTGTTAACTGAGAAAGAAGGAACTGAGCAGTTAGTCTTGGTATCTATTCAATTTTTATTTAGCAGGATTTATATATCACTTTGTCAAAATAATATCATTCCCTCAACGGTTCACGTAAAAGATGGAAGATAGTCACAAGCAAATACTTCTGAGATCAAAACACATTTTGAAAACACCTGGCCGTAATAAAATGTATCACAGTATAGGGGAAAATCCTATATTTTTAAAGACAAATGTGCACCATAAAAAATGCACAAGTCTCAGTAGGCTCAAAAAGCACTTTTTAGCTGGCGCTGAAAACAGTACAAGAGGTTAATATTAATAGGCTGGGAGTTCCAGAAAACAGGGGATGCCAATATTGATTTCTTGCAAGTGCGTTACAAACAAAGTGGTTGAGTATTGAGTGCTTTTCAAATGGATCTGGAGGCAGAGGAATTGAGTGTGGGTTTGGTTGTTGTTGTTTTGTATCTTGTTGTTTGGCAAAAACTTTCAAGGCCACTAAAAGTCACAGTCCAAGGATGTGAACATTAAACTCTCAACTCACAAAACGACAGCAGTGATTTCATGGAATGCTCTTTGTGAGATGGCTCTGTTTGCCGGCTGAAAACATTCCCTCTCTGCGCAGGCTTTGGGGGGGGGGAGAATAATAATAATAATAATAATAATAATAATAATAATAATAATAATTTATTTATACCCTGCCCATCTGGCTGGGCTTCCCCAGCCACTCTGGGCGGCTTCCAACAAAGATTAAAAATACATTAAAATGTCACACAATAAAAACTTCCCTGAACAGGGCTGCCTTCAGATGTCTTCTAAATGTCAGGTAGTTGTTTATCTCTTTGACATCTGATGGGAGGGCATTCCACAGGGCGGGTGCCACCACCGAGAAGGCCTTCTGCCTGGTTCCCTGTAGCTTTCCTTCTCGCAGTGAGGGAACCGCCAGAAGGCCCTCGGCGCTGGACCTCAGTTTTAGGGCAGAATGATGGGGGTGGAGACGCTCCTTCAGGTGTACTGGACCGAGGCTGTTTAGGGCTTTAAAGGTCAACACCTATATTATTAGAAAGGCAGTTCTGAACATCAGAAGAGCCATCCTGCTAGATCCAGCCAGTGGTCCATATTGTCCACTGTTCTTTCAGTGACCAACCAGCTGCCTCTAAAAAGCCTGCAAGACAGATCTGAGAAAAACAAGAGCATTCTCTCTACTTGCAATCCCCATCAGCTTGAATTCAGAGTGGCATCTTTGGCTCGGCGTTTCAGCTGCTCCTCTTGTTCCATTAATTGGATGGCAGTCACCTTTTATAGTTTGAGGATTTGGCATGCAACCTCTCCCTGCAAAATACTGATGCAATCAACGGCACTTCTTGGCTGAGTAAACCTCACCTGGGAATTTCGACTGTGCTGTTTCAGGTAAATGTCTCGTGGTGAGGTGGAGTGATTGCCTCTGGCTTTAAAAGAGGCTGTTGCACGACCGCTCCTAAAGAACACAACTTTGGGTGAAACTGGGGCGAATGTTTATTGCCCAGTTGCCAACATTCCTTTTGAGTACAAGGCGATCAAGAAAGTAGTCGCAGCACAATGATAGAGACAGGCTTGGAAGATACAGGTTATCTTGACCCATTTCAGTCTGGTTTCAGGATGGAACTGGCCTTGCCGTCCCTGACAGAGAACCTTTATCAGCAAAGGGACGTCGAGAGTGTGACCTTGCATTTAGCACAGCCGCACCAGAAATTTGCAACACTGCTCCTAGGGAAGTCAGCCAGACTCCCACAGCCCTGATATTTCATTTTCAGCTGAAAATGTATCTTATTTCTTTTGCCAAGTGTTTGATACGATTCAGCTCAGTTGGCAGAACACAAGGCTCTTCATCTCAGGGCTGTGAGTCTGAGCCCCGTGTTGGATTCTGTGACTCTATGTAGTGTTGGTTGCTTGTTCTGTGTTTAATAGTTTTATGGTGTTTGAGCGATTTCATTGTACATAGACTTAATATTTTTATGAGCTGCCTGTTTATAAATATTAATAATGGCAGCAATAAAAATTAGCAGCGTAGGAGAATAACATTGTCTTCACCAGGCAGAAGGCCTTCTTGGTAGTGGCACCCACCCTGTGCCCTCCCATCAGATGTCAAGAAAATAAACAACTATCTGACTTTTAGAAGAAATTTGAAGGCAGCCCTGTTTAGGGAAGTTTTTAATGTTTGATGTTTTGTCGTGTTTTTAATATTCTGTTGGGAGCTGCACAGAGTGGCTGGGAAAACCCAGCCAGATGGGCGGAATATAATTAAAAATTATTATTATTATTATTACACTCAAGAGGTAGCATAGTAAGTTTCTCTTTTGAGTGTATTGTACACAACCCAGGTGCCACCAGTGAAAAGGCCCTGTCTCCTCACTTCCTATAAAGGACTGTGGAATGGAAGGTGAGATTCAATTCTGATCTCATCTTTGCGTGATGGATCCCAGCAGAAGTCATTGTGGCCACTTTGCCTTGTCATTCATATTGTAATCCTCCTGAGGCAGGGACCTTCTTAACTCACGCCACCCAGTTATGTTAGTGGTATATGCTACAGTACTAACACTGTTTAAGAACAATAGATGATATGCCTTGTGGGACACCTTTGGGAGAAGAAAGGGCTAAGGAGTAAGCCCTATACAAATCCGGAACAGAATTCTTAAGATGGTTGGATGGCATCTTGAATGCCTCCTTCCAGCAGCTACGGCAGCCAAGCCGGTGCCAAACGTATTGCTTTCCTTTCTTTGGGACCACATCAGCGAGGCCGAGAGGAGGGGTCTTGTCGTCTGGACAGACCAGGACCTCTGGACACACTGCCCAGGCTTGCACCCTAGGGGAGTCACTACAAAGACAGCAGGAAAAAAAATCTGAATTACATTAAATAACATAGTCACTTTATAGCCACAGATGCAGGTGGCGCTGTGGGTTAAACCACAGAGCCTAGGACTTGCCGATCAGAAGGTCGGCGGTTCGAATCCCCGCGACGGGGTGAGCTCCTGTTGCTTGGTCCCAGCTCCTGCCGACCCAACAGTTCGAAAGCACACCAGTGCAAGTAGATAAATAGGTACCGCTCTGGCGGGAAGGTAAACGGCATTTCCATACACTGCTCTGGTTCGCCAGAAGTGGCTTAGTCATGCTGGCCACATGACCCGGAAGCTGTACGCCGGCTCCCTCGGCCAATAAAGCGAGATGAGCGCCACAACCCCAGAGTCGGCCACGACTGGACCTAATGGTCAGGGGTCCCTTTACCTTTACGTTTACTTTACAGCTCTTCCCTAGAGTTATGGGTTGATTTAGCAAAAGATGTGTTAATATGTGTTAATATCCCTCCCCCCATAGATGGTGTTTCTTGCATAGCTCATCATCTTTGTAGCTCATCACGGCTGTGAATTGCACAATTGTGTACTTCTCCATATTAGCTGGCCTGGTCATGTGAGGTTGGTCAATCAGTGGACTGACCAGAAGACATCAAGTATTTGAGCAATTTAATTTCCAAACTTGTTTAGGTACTGCTGCTTTGGTTCCATGAACTCACCCCAAGGGCCCCCTGTCCTGCCCCAAAAGAGGACGCTGCTTCAGCACCAGTAATTACAGGCCGCTTAGTTTAGGTCTCGCCAACCAAATGTTTGGACTACAACTCCCATCATCCCCAGCCAACGCAGCTAATGGGAGTTGTCCTCCAAAATGTCTGGAGGTCACTAGGTTGGCAAAACCTGATGTCGTTGATGTATTGCTTAGGAAGAGGAAGAGTACAGGAAAGGATGAGACAATAGTATGAGACATCACCGCTAGCACACTTGCTGCTGCTTCCTGGCATGTGACCTTGGGGGGGGGGGACCGCAAGGGCCCCCAAAATATGTTTTGTATGAGAAACCTATAAAAAGCCCCAACTGAATGAGATATTGGCATTCTGTTAAAATCCTTGGTTCATAATAGTTTCCATTCGTTCATAAAAGACGCATAGCCTAGTTACTGCTTGTACGAAAGAAATACGAAAGATAAGGCATTTGGGGAGGGAACTTCTGAAGAGTAAAATTATGGGAGTCTGGCTGTGCCAGCTTACCAAGTACGACTCCCCTTATGTAGGCTTGTTATCTAGGTGAACATAAATCTCGGACTACAATTCTCCTTTCTTTAGTATGTAGGCTTGTATCTATGTAGGCTTCAAAAGTTTAGAAGTGAGGGGCCCTAGAGGGGCTGGACACACGTCAAGTTGCAGGCTGGACATCCAGAAAGTTGTACCCAATGTGTTTTTGCCAACTACCATCTGCTAATGTTTGCAGCATTTTGATTGGATCTTATGTGAATTCTTTGTCTGTAAACCCATCACTTGGGAAGACAGGCAGACTAATGCCAGTGTACTAGAAGAAGCAAAGATCACTGGTGTTGAAGCAATGATTCTTCAACATCAACTTCATTGGACTGGTCATGTTGTGCGGATGCCTGATGATCGTCTTCCAAATCAGCTACTCTATTCTGAACTTAAAAATGGAAAGTGTAATGCTGGTGGTCCACAAAAAAGGTTTAAAGACTCTCTCAAGGCACATCTTAAAAAAATGTAGTATAAACACTGACAATTGGGAAACACTGGCCTGCAAGTGCTCCAGTTGGAGAACAGCCCTTACCAAAGGTGTCATCGACTTTGAAGATACTCGAACTCAGGACGCAAGGGAGAAACGTGCTGAGAAGAAGGCACGCTTGGCAAATCCACACCGCGATCAACTCCCGCCCGGAAACCTATGTCCCCACTGTGGAAGGACGTGTGGATCCAGCATTGGCCTCCACAGTCACTTACGGACTCATTGTTAAAACCTTGTTTATGGAAGACAATCTTACTTGGCTACGAGGGATCGCCAAAGAAGAAACCCTATAAAAGGTCCGGGGTGTGTGTGTTTGTAACACACGCCCGTTCAGCCTTTGTGGAAGTGACTGTGCTGAACCTATTTACTGCAGTAAATAAATTTTGTTTTGTTTTTAATTTTTTTTTTAAAATTCAAAATTAAAACAAAACATATTATCCAGGAACATATCATCCTTATTCCCCCCCATTTTTCCTCCCTCTCCCAACCCTCCCACACAAAACCCACCCACCCACCCACCCCGACCCCCCGGTTTCCCTCAGTTCCAGTCTTTGATTTCTCTGAGAATGCTGTTTTCTGCATGCTACAAAGTTGTACTTAGCTGATTATTATCAATAAAAAGTTTGTGAATGTTTATTCAAAGCCAGCCAAGGAGTCCAGTTCGCTTTGTTGCGTCTTCAAATACTTTGTAAAGGGTTCCCATTCATCCATAAAGTCACAGTTATCCTTGTCCCATAGCTTATATGTCAGTTTTGCCAGTTCTGCATAGTCCATCAATTTTTCTTGCCATGATTCTTTAGTTGGGGTTTCTTCAGTCTTCCATCCTTGTGCTATTAGAACTCTCGTGGCCGTTGTCGCATACATGAAGATGTTTTTCAGCTTTTTTGGCAGATCTTTCCCTACAATCCCTAACAAAAATGCTTCAGGTTTTTAAACAAATGTTAAATGGAACATTTCTTCAATTCGTTCTATATCATTTCCCAAAATTTTTAAATTACATTACAGTCCCACCACATTTGATAAAATCTCCTCTCCTTTTCCTTACACATATATTTTGGGCTCTTTCTTCAACCCGACTCATGAGTAGTTAATGGTACTAGTGAGACAAGCAGATTTGCCATGCAACAACCTGATCAGCTTTTCCTTAGTCCCCATTTTTGGCAGCTCGGTTTGCTTGGACAGCCAGGGCTCCGACAGGCATCCTGATTGGCACCATGGAGAAGTCAACTGATATAATAGGTAAAGCACGGCTTCAGTTTTCCAAACAACTAGCTTTTTAAGCTGCACAACAGGTTATCAACAATATCAGACCATGACTCCATGGTGGAGATAGTTACAACTTTATTTTTATTTTGTAGATGGCAGGAAATATTTATTAACTTCTGAGGGATGCAAATAAGCCAACATTAAAAATGCAGCATTTCTTGTTAAAAATGGAACAGGATCACCACTTTGCTGCTTGTTGTTGTTGTTTAGTTGTTTAGTCGTGTCTAACTCTTCGTGACCCCCTGAACCAGAGCACGCCAGGCACTCCTGTCTTCCACTGGTCAAACTCATGCTGGTAGCTTCGAGAACACTGTTCAACCATCTCGTCCTCTGTTGTCCCCTTCTCCTTGTGCCCTCCATCTTTCCCAACATCAGGGTCTTTTCCAGGGAGTCTTCTCTTCTCATGAGAAGTATTGGAGCCTCAGCTTCAGGATCTGTCCTTCCAGTGAGCACTCAGGGCTGATTTCCTTCAGAATGGATAGGTTTGATCTTCTTGTAGTCCATGGGACTCTCAAGAGTCTCCTCCAGCACCATAATTCAAAAGCATCGATTCTTCGGCGATCAGCCTTCTTTATGGTCCAGCTCTCACTTCCATACATCACTACTGGGAGAACCATAGCTTTAACTATACGGACCTTTGTTGGCAAGGTGATGTCTCTGCTTTTTAAGATGCTGTCTAGGTTTGTTGCTAATCTGCATTTGTTTATTTGGAACAGAATCTGTGTGCATATCCACTCTGTGTGCAAAAGACTTTCTGTGCAACTGGAACCCCTATTTGTCAGGGCTCTCAAAATGTATCTCCAGTTGAATGTGCCAATGGTGGGGTGGTACCAGCTGTTACGTTGCCCACTGAGCGTTCCATGTTTGCAGTGCTTCTCTTTGCAATAACAGTTTCATTAGGGGAAAGCTTGCAGGAATCCCCTTTTGCCGTTCTATCTCTTTACCGCAATGCATTCCCATCCTCTCAGGCAGATCCACCCTTTGTATCTGATGGGTTTCGTTTCCCACAACAGACCCCGGGGCATGTGATGGCTGTAACTTATCCGAGAGGGCAAGCGGCCAGTCAATTTGCTGAGAGTGCAGAGTGAGGAAGCTGCACTGGGTGGCGATGAGGGGAGTTTATTCTTAGACGTCTTGATGGCCCAGATGGACGGCCTACGTTGGGGCTTATGCAACCATCTCAAGGAGGAACATCCAAGGCTGGGGTAGCTTAACCTGAGGCTAAGCATGGAGGAGAAATTCGACTCAAGGCACATTTGAAGGTGGACTTATCAGCTTTGCACTCTCCAAAACAGTTATCCTTCCAACTTTGAAATTACCCAAATTTTGCAATGCAAAATTCCAACCAAGCAATGTTTGCAAAAGCACATCTGTTAGGAGGAAGTGTGTGTGTGAGAGAGAGACAATATCAGGGAAAATAACATATTGCAAGGCGTCATAGAAGGAAAAATTGCTTCTGAAAATGTGCATGCTAAAATGCATATACAATTGTACCTTGGATCTCGGATGACTTGCAAGAAGAACATTTTGGGTCCAGAACGCCGCAAACACGAAAGTGATTGTTCCGGGTTGCTAACATTCTTTGGAACCTGAACGTCCGACGGGGCTTCCGCAGCTTCTCATTGGTTGCAGGAGCTTCCTGCATCCAATCAGAAGCCGCGCCTTGGTTTCTGAACGTTTTGGAAGTCAAACGAACTTCCTGAACGGATTCCGTTCGACTTCCAAGGTACCACTGTAAAAGCATGCTTGTTAGGAGAAATTCACACTAAAATGCAGACTAATTTTCATGAGAATTTTAAAATTATTATTGCATGGAGAGCTTTGAGAAACAGAGAGAACCAAAACTCCCATCTCCACCCACCTCCTCCCTGCAGGCTTCCAGTCGTTGTTGGACTGTCACCAGCCCAGCCAGCCAATGTTCATGGATGATGGGAGTTCTAGCCCCGCAAAATCTGGAGGAGGGCAGATTAGCTGCCCCTGCGCTAATGATTTGCTTTGCAGCAAGATAATTACAAGCTGAGGAGCCTCTGCTCACATTAGCGCCTAGGATCTGGGAGTGTAGGACTAAGGCGGCTTTCCCAGACCTGGCGCCTTCCAGGTGCCTTGGACTACAACTCCCATCTGCCCCAGCCAGCTTGGCCCATCTAGTCCAGCATCATGTCCTCACGGTGACCCAACCAGATGCCTGTGGGAAACCCAAAAGCAGGATTCGAACCCAAGAGCGTCCTCCCCTCCTGTGGCTTCCAGCAACTGGTACTCATAAGCATTGCTGCCTAATCCTATTTTAAAGCGATCTGATTTGTTGACCACCCCTGCGTCCTGTGGCAGTGAGTTCCACAGTTCATGCTCTTTCTTTTATACGTCCCGGATCTTCCAACATTCAGCTCCACTGGCGTTCTCATGCTGAGGAGGGAAGAAAAGCCTTCCTCTGCCCCCTCTTCCCATGCCAGGCGTGGGCCCACCTCTCTTGTGCATTGCCCTTCTCCGCCAGGCCCCGGACACGCTCCAAATGTCAGGAGCGGCTGCCTGTGGCCCTCCGCCAGCCATGTTTTGGTGTCTCCGGAGCAGAGGGGCTGCTTGGGAGGCTGTGCCGTGCGACTCCTCCTCTCTTTACAAAGTCAGTGCTATTAATATCAGGTAATGAACATAATCTCTAGGTTAAGCTATCCTCTTATGCGTGTTGGCTACTCTCTCGTTCCCCGGGCAGGGCTCTCTTTTCCCTCCTTCTCTCGCTGTTGACACCACACTGGACTTTTTCGGGTCTCCTTGAACACTACCAGTTTGTAGGTTCTCCCAAGCCCCTGGGTGGTGTTTTCCACCCCTTTCCTCCGCTTGTGATCAGAGTGGCGAGACCCACGTTTCGTTTCACTGTAAAGGCCAGAATGCATGTAGTCAACTTCCTAGGGACTCTGAATTCTTTGAGGCTGCGATGAGACACACACACACACACACACACACACACACACACACTCCACAAGCCAGCTCTCCCAGAGTCAAAAACACCTGAAGCCTTTCTGCCACTTCCACAGTCACCCCAGACCCTTCTCTGGCTAGGGGGAGATGAACAGATCCCCTGTATATTCGGGGGTGAGGATTTCTGGCTGCTGGGCCCTCGGACCTGAAGGCAGGTGAGTGCTTTTGTCCCGTACCTCCCCCCTTTCCGGATGTAAATTAACTCTCGGATGCAGGATGGACGAGTTTTTAGAAGGCTTAGAAAACAGAGGAGGGGGTGGCGAAGAGAGGAGAGGGGAGATCCGCTTTCTGGATTGCAAAACAAAACACTTGTTTTGGGAAATTTCAGGAGCAGCGCAATAGAGAACTGGCTGTTTCGCAGATATCAGGAGGGTGCAATGCAGGGGGGGTGCAACTGGGCTTTTTTGGGGGGTGCTGCCTTTCATTCACCTGGGCTGGTTCTTTCTTTTGTGAACTGATTCACTGCCCCACCCCCTTAATGGTAACTAGGGAGCAAAACGTGTTTCCGCGGGAGAACGTGCTCTTCATAAAACATGCATCCTTTGGTCAGCCGGAGGCAGGTGGAAAGGTTCTTAACTTGCCCCTTACTGGACCTATGAGCTATCTGGGGAGATGAAAGGTGGGTTTTGATGCATCATTTGAGCCGAAAGACTATTCTGCGCTGTACTGATGATAACAGGTGCATAGTAAAGGGGTTTGGATGTTATTCCGGATTAAATCTCAGAGGGTGGGGAGAATGATCGTTCCCTCTAATTCTGATGTTCAAGCTGTGAGTGCCATTGCTTGTGTAGTCAGAATAGACCCACCCACACACGTAAGAGAGAAGTATCTGCAAAATTGGAGGATCCCAAAGTTTGCAATAGGAAAAAAAATTTGCTTTTTTTAAAAAAAAATGGTCAGGAGTTGGTGGGGGGAGGGCAATACAACCAAATGAGGAACTGGGCATGCCTACTTATTGCAGAATGCTGACAGATTGTGGTTGAGACGGAACAGAAAACTGAGCAGGAGGGGGAATGGAATGGAGTATCCTGGAGGAACAGAAACACTCCATACTGCAACATTTTGTTGCAGATCCTACTTGTCTATTTATGGATTTGTGTGTGTGTGTTTGCTTGTGTTTCTGTTGTTTCTTCCCACCCCTGTTTTCAAGATGGAAAAATAACAGTGTTTTTAAAGAATCATAGAATCATAGAATCATAGAGTTGGAAGAGACCACAAGGGCCATCGAGTCCAACCCCCTGCCAAGCAGGAAACACCATCAGAGCACTCCTGACATATGGTTGTCAAGCCTCTGCTTAAAGACCTCCAAAGAAGGAGACTCCACCACACTCCTTGGCAGCAAATTCCACTGTTGAACAGCTCTTACTGTCAGGAAGTTCTTCCTAATGTTTAGGTGGAATCTTCTTTCTTGTAGTTTGGATCCATTGCTCCGTGTCCGCTTCTCTGGAGCAGCAGAAAACAACCTTTCTCCCTCCTCTATGTGACATCCTTTTATATATTTGAACATGGCTATCATATCACTCCTTAACCTCCTCTTCTCCAGGCTAAACATGCCCAGCTCCCTTAGATATCACTTCACTTCGCCCTAGCGAACGCCGTACCTTCCAACTCTCTGATGAATAGCTATTTTTTCACTGCATATTTGGCTTGCGGGTGTATCTGATGCAAGAGTTCATTCCCTTTCTTTCTCCTTTGACAGCGGAGACAATAATTTTTGGCAACCTTGCTGGTGTCTCCTGAATTTTGACCTTTTCACCATTAATGGTATTTTGGAGAACAGGTCGTTCGGCGTATACTCGGTTCTGATGTATATTTTGCTGTAGGAGGCTTAGTTTGGACAGAATTGAATACAGTGGTACCTCGGGTTACATACGCTTCAGGTTACAGACGCTTCAGGTTACAGACTCCGCTAACCCAGAAATAGTGCTTCAGGTTACGAACTTTGCTTCAGGATGAGAACAGAAATCGTGCTCCGGCGGCGGCAGCAGGAGGCCCCATTAGCTAAAGTGGTACTTCAGGTTAAGAACAGTTTCAGGTTAAGAACGGACCTCCGGAACGAATTAAGTACTTAACCTGAGGTACCACTGTATACTCTTTCAGAGTTAATGCCAAATACATTACTTATGAGAAATGAGCCACCATGGTTGCTAGAAGACCGTGAAAATCTGTGTCCTGGGCTTTTTAGACTCGTCTGCCCATGTACTATCTGAAACCAAAGGGGCGTATTGCTTGTCACATGTGAATTCCCTGCCCCTCAGCTCTCCCACCCCACTACCAGTGGGAAGTAGGGGCAGCAACAGGGACAAAGGCATCTCACACAAATTACCTGTAAATATTGGTGCTGCCGAGGTGCCCAAAGTCCCCTCTGTGTCCCTCTGGAGATTCCAGTGTTCAGATGCAGCAGAAGCAAACTCCTTGCGCATGAGTAACAGCTACCAGCGAGCGTCATGGATTCCTGCCTTATTCCTGTTGGAATTCTGCCTGGGTCAGAGGAATGTGCCACAGCGTAGGCACCGGCAGATATTCCTGTCGACCTCCCCGCGTCTCCACTCTGCTGATAAGCAGGCGAGGTCCGGCGATTCTTCTCAGATGTATGAGAGGAACACACCGTTCTTCCTCTCTCCCCTTTGGTGTCCCCAGGGAGGGGAAAGAAGCAGACAGAAAACTATTTACATCATTTATTTCTGCCTCTTACATCAGTACAGAGAATCATGTCTGCACTCAACAACAGCAAGAAGAAAACTCCTCCCAAGTACATCCAGTACGGGTCATATGACACACACACACTGAGCTAACATCCGGTGCTCAGTACAGAATGGACTGCCCCTTTGTTCCCATGGCAACAGTCACAAACATCCTGTCTGGCTTTCCAGCCACAAGCAGCTGGCTGAGCTGCTAGAGCCTTTGCTTGCTGCAGCATTGGTGCTTTATGGTAACATACTCCCCTAAAGTATCAATGTGTGCCGCGAGCAAAGCGTCATCCAGAGAAGAAAACAAACAGTTGTTATATTTATAACATTCCCCTGTTGTTTCAGTTCCACCCTTGGAACTACCCGCCACTGGTTTAACCAATGTACCTCTCTGGTTGTCTGGCTTCCAAGGAATGAGTGCTTCTGCATTACCTTGGCTAGCTACCCTCTGTTGTGTCTTTGTCTCTGACGTAGACACTGCTTCAACCTGCTTTGAGTTGTTAACAATAGCAACACATGCAACAGCTAAGTTAGCAAACTCTTTTGAGTACCTCTTTGGTGGTACACCCTTTGTAACTCTCTCAGACCTGCGTATGAGGTTCTGATCTTCTGTGCTCACTGGTTCAACCTTTGGACTCTGTTGAGAACCAGTAGCAATCAGTGGTTCATCCTCCTCTTCTGAGGGTCTAGTCATTATGTGAGATTTCCTCTCAATGACTGTGACAACTGAGCTGTCTGAGCTATCGCTGTCATCATCAGTACTACTGAACTCAATAAGATCAAACTCATCATCATCATTATCATCAGAATCGTTTCCTGTGGGAAATGTCTGTACTATCCGCTCTTGCTTTGGAGCACTCTCTAGGAACTTTGTGAGAATCACCTGACCAGATTCAGACAAAATTACTCTGTAGAGACCTTTTTCATAACCCACAAAAATGCCTCTGGCATTCTTTACACCACCTGGAGCTTCTGTTCTCACATGAGACCCGAAAACCTTGAAATAGGCAACAGAAGGTTTTCTATTGAACAGCTTCTCAAAAGGAGAACATCCCAACTCTGTTGAGACTTTTCTCAACCACACATGAAGATAGGACGCTAGCGATTCGGCCCAATATTCATGTGGCAAATGTGAACTCAGCAATTGCGCATTCATCCCCTTTTGCAATTCTTTGTTCACTCTCACACAGACCCCCCTGTTCCACGCTTCTTGCGAAACTGCCACTTTGTGGTCTATCCCTTTTCCATCCAGGAACTTCTGAAACTTCTGCAACAGAAAAATTTGCTTCTCATCTGTGAAAAGACAATCAATGTTAGCATCATGCATACTTTTAACCTTGTCACAAAACTCCTGAAACTTTTCTAAAGTTTCTTGCGGTTTCTCCATCATATAAACCCAAGAATAATTAGTGAAACAATCCACACACACAAGGTAATATTTTGCACCGCCTCTAGATGGTTCTAGAGGACCAATCACATCAGCATACACCCGCTGAAATGCTCTGTCGACCTTCTTGGTCTTAGTCACCTTCCTGGTGCTCACACTGGTCACACCTGCAAGAGAGATTTCGTTAGAATCAGAAGAATTACATTTCATGTAATCACTTTGATCAAAAGTCAACAAATACAGTCCATCTTTCTCTTTGGCAGTAAGAAACAGTTCTCCATCTTTGTAGATCTTGCAGCTTTTAGCATCATAGGACAGTTTCAGTCCTTTCTTTGCAATCTGCGACACGCTCAGCAGATTAAATCTCAGTTCTGGAACCAGGTAAACATTGCTTATAGTCAAGTTCAGACTTTCAAGATACACAGTCCCAATTCCAGTTGCTTCCAACTCCTGACCGTTGGCCTGTTTCACAGTGAAGCTTTGCTTCTTCAACGTCGAAAATAGTCCTCTGTGCGGGCACATGTGAACCGTTGCGCCCGTGTCAATTATGAACGAGTTCCCAACATCTGGCGTGGTTCCTTTCGCCATCATAGCCTTTGCAGGTTTCACCTGGCACTTGGTACGGCTTTTGCCTGACGCCTGAGGCTTCGTAGAGCTGCTCTTTGCTCCTCTTGACTGGCGCGGCTTCTTACAGTTCCGCTGTAGATGCCCAGTCTGTCCACAATTGTAGCATCGGACAGCACTCAATGCTACACCATGCTCTCCAGTAGCATCAGCAGTGGGGAATTAGAACTCTGTTCTTCCCTCCCCTGTCTTTTACTTCCAGTGCAGCAAGTCTGTCGTGTTCATTCAGGACCACAGCACAAACTCTCTCCGCGGTCAGCTGCGCGGCCGGTAGGGAACCAAGCTGACTGGCAACAACCTTGTAGGTGCGGCTAAGGCTGTTTATCATCATGAAGCAAAACACTTCCTCCTGAAGACGGAAATTGCGTTCCACCATCTGTTGACGCAGAAACTTCATTTCTGTCAGGTGCGCTTGAACATCTCCATCAGGCGCAAGTCTCAGATTGGTCAATTTCTCAAAATACAGCAACGCTGAAGAACCAGCATCTCTCTGATGCGTTGTACGCAGCGTGTCCCATACCTCTTTCGCATTTTCTAAATGCTGAACATGCACCAACTGATCATCTGAGACACACAGAATTATAGCAGTCCTGGCCCTTACATTCTGTGACTCCCAACCTCTGGTTGGTGCTGCAGGGATGGGGTTTTCAATTACATCAAAAAGCCTCTGATTCTGCAGCAGGGCCTTCATCTTTACAGACCAAGATGAATAATTGTCATTGGTTAAGGGAGGTGGGCAAGGCAAACCTCCCCTTTCTTGGCATCCATCTTGAAGCCAAGCCTCCAGCTCACAATGTCAAACAAACTGTAAAATCCAACAGTTGTTTTTTTCTTTTCTCACGCAGCAAACTGCAAATTGTTTACGCTCTTTGCACCTGGCAGCTAAACTCAGGCTGCTATTGAAAAGTCCCTTCCAAGAGCTCGTAAACCTTGTAGCCAAAACATTCTCTGGTTTTGTTTCGCTTTCCCAGGCTTACACTCAGAGTCCAGCCCCTTGCCAGTAACTTTCCAGGACCGTTGCCTAGCAACAATGCATTTCAATGGGACTCCTTATCTACCACAAAAATTTGTGGAATGCAGGCTTCAGCCTTCAAGCTGCAGGCCTCTTCCTCTCGGAGCTTTTGTTTTCTTTGAAACGCAGCTCCGTGAACCAGGGAATTAATCTTCCTGCGTTCACACTTTTAGCCCGAAATGCAGCATACCTTGAACTTTGTTGCTCTGGAAAACACCTCTTCTTTCCACCAGCTGTCTGTGGAGCCTCTGGCTTCTTTCAGACGCTTCTATTCCTCCTTAGGAGCAGTGGAGGACAATCCACCAGCCTCTCATGCAGATGTCCGATGAATCGCAACCATCCGAAGGCTGCCACTGTTGGAATTCTGCCTGGGTCAGAGGAATGTGCCACAGCGTAGGCACCGGCAGATATTCCTGTCGACCTCCCCGCGTCTCCACTCTGCTGATAAGCAGGCGAGGTCCGGCGATTCTTCTCAGATGTATGAGAGGAACACACCGTTCTTCCTCTCTCCCCTTTGGTGTCCCCAGGGAGGGGAAAGAAGCAGACAGAAAACTATTTACATCATTTATTTCTGCCTCTTACCTCAGTACAGAGAATCATGTCTGCACTCAACAACAGCAAGAAGAAAACTCCTCCCAAGTACATCCAGTACGGGTCATATGACACACACACACTGAGCTAACATCCGGTGCTCAGTACAGAATGGACTGCCCCTTAGTTCCCATGGCAACAGTCACAAACATCCTGTCTGGCTTTCCAGCCACAAGCAGCTGGCTGAGCTGCTAGAGCCTTTGCTTGCTGCAGCATTGGTGCTTTATGGTAACAATTCCTCCCTCCCTCCTGTTGTTGTCGTCGCTTGCTCATGTCAGCGTCGCTCTGGGAACAAAGCACACTTGTTAATTGCTGCCACAGCGTTATTCTCTCTCTCTGGGGGAGCCGGTTGGTGATTGTTTTGCAGGTGAAATGCGCGCATGCTTCCCCGGCCCCCAGTGCCCGATTCCATATTCCAGTGGATCGATGTTGTTAGGAGCAAATTACGAGCTGCAAGGCGCCTCTGCGTTGCGCTCATAGAGATGCCCTGCAGCTGCCCTGGCAAATTGTGAGGCGGCCCCAGCATTGTGCTTAAAAACCACCTGTCAGGTGGCAGTGGTGGTTGCTCGTGAGTAACCAGTCAGGGCTCCGACCTGTCTTTTACAGGTTTTTATTTTGGTGCAAACTATTTACACTGCAGAACCACAAGTTCATGGCTGCCTCAGTCACTAGCAGAATCTAGTTGTCGTTTCTGGGTCCTCCCACAACATAATACCTTAGTCACCCCCAGCCTTTTCCTTCCTTCTTTGCATTTTACACCTCTGTGCAGGGTGGGCGATGGAAGAGGCGTGTCTCCCCTCCTGGCCGGCTTGACCAGGAGAGGTGCTGAGGCTCCCGGCAGCATCCTCTGGTCCTTTCCCCTCTTCCCCATTGGAGGTGTGGCTTTCTCCACCACAGAAAGAGGAACTGCTTCTCAAGATTTTCGGAGGTTCCCTGTAACCCAGCTGCCCCTCAGCTTCCCTTCCCTGTTCCGATGGCAGTCCCCTGACACCACCCTTTAAAAACAGGGGTGCCAGGAGTGGGGGACCATTAGGCAGAGTGAGGCGACCAGCTTAGGCTGCTGTTGATGGAGGACACCAAACGGTAGCAAACTGTGGGCTATTTATTATGATAAGAGTCCACTGGATCAGGCCAATGGCCCGCCTAGCGCAGCATCCTGTTCTCACAGTAGCCAACCAGAAGCAGGATTTGAACACAAAACCACTTTCTCCTCCCGTGATTTCCATCAACTAGTATCCAGAACCGTGGCTCAGCTTCAGATTTAGGGTGGTGCGGTCTGAAGGCAGCCCTGTGTAGGGAAGTTTTTAACATTTGACCTTTTGTTATGTTTTTATATGTGTTGGAAGCCGCTCACAGTGGCTGGGGCAACCCAGCCAGATTGGCAGGGTATGAACGCATTATTATTATTATTCTTCTTATTATTATTAATATTCAAAATTGAGAATACAGTCATACCTCAAGTTATGTTTGCTTCAGGTTGCGTGTTTTCAGGTTGCGTCCCGCGGCGACCCAGATGTACCGAAAAGGGTTACTTCCGGGTTTCACCGCTCGCGCATGCGCAGACGTGCAAAATGACATTGCACGCATGCGCAGACACAGCGAATTGCGCCCCGCGCACGTGCAGATGCGCAGACATGGGTTGCGTTCTTCTCAGGTTGCGAGCGGGCCTCCAGAATGGATCCCATTCGCAACCAGAGGTACCACTGTACCCATAATTGAGAAGATTCATTTGGGGGCACCAAATTTTAGCCTTGCTCTGGGCACCGTTTTACCAAAGATGATCAAAGTCTGTCTGTGGCGGCAGAGGATATCCCTCATGGCTAGTAGCCACCCGTAGCTGTTATGGGTACATTGATTTATTATTACTGCTCCGTAGTATACACAAACCAAGGGACCATAGCAACAACACTGCTTTCTGGCTCTTGGGCCCTAGTCACTTCCCAGTCCTCTCCAGTGGTTGCGAGAAGACAAAGCTTGAAGGTCCCTGGGGTAGCTCTCAGTGGAGGCCAGGCTACTGATTCGGTGTCTGGATAGACGCTCCGAAAAGGAGGCTTGTGTGAAAATCTGGATCAAAGGAGGGGAAAGTGTGGGAAGGCAGTGATGTGGAGAAGAACGTCATACAGACATCGGAGAATTAATGGAGGAGGTGCAGGAAGAGGACTATTCTCATGAAACAACAGAGTGGATGAGCCCTTTGTCTGTGCGCACGGGCAGTATCAACACACAGTGAACAAGGGATGGCTAGCCTTTGGATTCCAACCCCCTCTTACCCCCCTGTCTTATTTTTCCTGCTGGTTGGGGCTGATGGAAGTTGAGAGTCCTGCAATTTCTGATGGACAGCAACTTCCCTGCTCCTGCAGCTGCTGGAGCAGACCTTGAAGTGACATGCGACTGTGAAGAGTGTTCGCATGTTGCAGCAAATGAGTGTGCACTCGAAAAGGGATGTTCGCATGTTAACGTTCAGCAGGTGTACAATCTTTGTCCTTGGTCTGGGAATACCACTGTCATAACCTCACCCTTCTGCTCATCGGAGAAGCTGGATATTTATTTATTTATTTATTTATACATACATACATACATACATACCCCGCCCATCTGGCTGGGCTCCCCCAGCCACTCTGGGCAACTTCCAACAAAATATTAAAATACAGTAATGCCTCAAACATTAAAAGCTTCCCTAAACAGGGCTGCCTTCAGATGTCTTCTAAAAGTCTGGTAGTTGTTCTTCTCTTTGATATCTGGTGGGAGAGTGTCCCACAGGGCAGGTGCCACTACCGAGAAGGCCCTCTGTAACTCCCTGTAACTTGGATTCTCGCAGTGAGGGAACCCCCAGAAGGTCCTCAGAGCTGGACCTCAGGCTGAACGATGGGGGTGGATACGCTCCTTCAGATATACTGGACCGAGGCCGTTTAGAGCTTTAAAGGTCAGCACCAACACTTTGAATTGTGCTCGGAAACGTACTAAACATCAGGAATAACTTTTTGACAGTAAGAGCTCTTTGACAGTCGAACGGTCTCCCTCAAGAGGTTCTGCACTCTTCTTCTTTGGAGGTTTTTCAACAGAGGTTGGGTGGACATCTGTCATGGATGCTTTAGCTGAGATTCCGGCATTGGAGGGGGTTGGACTAGATGGCCCTTGTGGGTCCCTTCCCACTCTACTATTCTGTATGAGGCCTCCGCTCCAGGCATATACTCTTCCCTGAAGGGAGCATGAAAATCTTTTCTCAGTGGACCTGGAATAAGCCAAAAGCCGAGTACTGTATGCATAATGATACAGTCATACCTCATGTTACGTTTGCTTCAGGTTGCGCATTTTCAAGTTGTGTCCCGCGGCGACCCGGAAGTACCGGAAAGGGTTACTTCCGGGTTTCGCCGCATGCGCATGCGCTCAAAATGACGTCATGCGCAGAAGTGGCGAATCGTGACCCGCACACGCGCAGACACAGGTTGTGTTCTGCTCATGTTGTGAATGGGGCTCTGGAATGGATCCCATTCGCAACCAGAGGTACCACTGTAGTAACTTCGTTATGGGAACCCAGGGAACTCCTACAAGGAGCTTTCCAGATGTTGAGTTTCCTAGATCAAAGGCAAGGGGGAGCACTTTGCAAGACGGTTGTCCAGCTTTGCAAAACCTGAGCAATCAGATAAGAAGAGGGGAGGGAAGTTCGTGACTGCTTTTGTTTCCCTTGGTACTCCTTGTGCAACTTTGAAACCGAAACACATGACCTGTCCTTAATGTAATAGGCAGAGCTGTCCTATACACCAATTACAGTGGTACCTCGGGTTACAGACGCTTCAGGTTACAAACCCCACTAACCCAGAAATATTACCTCGGGTTAAGAACTTTGCTTCAGGATGAGAACAGAAATCGTGCTCCGGCGGCACAGCGGCAGCAGGAGGCCCCATTAGCTAAAGTGGTGCTTCAGGTTAAGAACAGTTTCAGGTTAAGTACGGACCTCCAGAATGAATTAAGTATTTAACCCGAGGTACCACTGTCAGTCCGAGGAGGAGACAGACACTGCTTCCATGCCCATGTGGTGGGACTGCAAATTCGTGGGGAAGAGAGCCATCCATGGCTGCTCAACATGTTGGCCCTGCCCTGCCCCTACAGTCGGAGGCAGCGATGCTTGTGAAGAACACTTTCTGGAAACCGCCGGAGGTGAGAGGGTGGCTCTTGTACTCGGATCGCGCTTGCAGGTTTCTCTCCGTGGTCAGCCACTGTGAGAACAGGGTGCTGGACGAGCTGCCGGAAACCCACAAGCAGAAAATGGCAGCAAAAGTGGCCTGCACGCCCCCTGTCATCGTTGGAAACCATGGGTGATTTTCTTGTACCAGTGTAATGAAAGTTCCACTCACTCTACGTGGGGCTGCCCTTGAGACTGACCCAGAAACTCCAGCGGGTGCAGAATGCTGCAGTGAGGCTCCTTATGGGGTCTTCGCCGCGCGGTCACATTCACCTGGTGCTATACTGGCTCCCGGTGGAGTACAGGATCAGGTTCAAGGCGCTGGTTTTAACCTTTAAAGCCCTCTACGGCCTAGGACCCTCGTACCTACGGGGCCGCCTCTCCTGGTATGTCCCACAGAGGACCTTACGGTCTGCAAATAAAAACATCTTGGAGATCCTGGGCCACAGGGAGGTTAGGCTGGCCTTGACCAAAGCCAGGGCTTTTTCGGCTGTGGCCCCGGTCTGATGGAACACTCTGCCACAAGAGACCAGGGCCCTGCGGGACTTGACATCTTTCCGCAGGGCCTGCAAGACAGAGCTGTTCTGCCTGGCCTTTGACCAAGGCACAGTGTGACCCCCTCTAGCCCAATGGTTGCCATTAATTTGATTTTGAATTGATTTTAGAATGAATTGGTTTTAGAATGCTGTGTTACTTTTATTGTTGTTAGCTGCTCTGAGCCTGGCTTTGGCTGGAGAGGGTGGGATATAAATAAAACTATTATTATTATTATTATTATTATTATTATTATTATTTCAAATCCTACAGTCCCATGACCGGGATAGGATCATGCCCCACAGCTGGGAGAACTTCCATTCTAGAGAGAAGACTTCCCCTCTCTATCTTTTCTCCTACTGCTCCTCTGCCTTTTCACAGCAGCCTGGCACGTGGAAACCAAACAGGTGAAGCTTCTCTTGTCAAGAAGACCAAAGCTTCACCTGTGCAATTTCCACCCGGCAGGCTGCTGTTAAATGCACAGGTGTGGGGCCAGTTCAAGTTTCGAAAAGGAGGTCACCCTAAAACAACCCCCAGGTATAGGAACACAATCCCAACCACCTCTTTTCTTCAATATTTCAGCCTGACCTTGGGCTTGGAGACCACGTTTTTGACTCCCAGATAATCCTGGAAAGGGGAGAAACTTTCCCCGCAGTTACTGGGTAGGGGGAGGGTTTGGATCTCCTTACCTGTACGCAAAGGGGAGGGGTCCCCCCTCTCTGCTTTCATTTGCAGGGCACTCTTATAAAGTCCTGTTCCAGGGCCCTGGCTTTTGCAGTGTTGCTGTCGCCATCAGTGCATTGGCAAGAGGATGTGAGCCCAGGGTGGAAAATGGGAGGCGGAGCAGAGAGAGGCCGGCCGAGGGGAAAAGATCAACTATAAATAACCTGTCCTGTCCTGTCCCCGGCTCAATGAGCTGCTGTTTTGCTCCAAGCGGCTTATCCCGCTGGCCTGGGTCCATTGGGGGTGGAGAGGGGCGTTTGCGTGCCTGCTGTGTGTTTGCCAACCGCGAAAGAGCTCGTTGAGGAAGTTTATCTGCCCTGCTCCCAAAACCGCGCAGGGATTGATGGCTGAGAGAGAGAGCCTGCTTCGCTGACCTTTGCCAAGTGCTTCGTATCGTATAAATATCAGAGAGACGGTAGCCTGCAGAGCTGCATCGCAGCGCCACGGTCCGGCTGCGATGGCCACGACGGTGCCAAACACGCCGTTTGTGTCCCTCTCTGCCCCCTCGGCTGCCGGCCAGAGGGCAGGGTTCGAAATACAAGCTGCAAGAGCCTCTGTGGCAGAAGAACAGGGGCTTTCTCTGGCCCCCAAGACAGCATCCGCACTGTATTTTATTTTATTTTTTAATTTTATTACCAGTTTTCACATAACAAATTAGTCAAACAAATCATCTTCATTATTTCCCCCCCACCCATTTTTTCCTCCCACCTCCCCAACAAACCTCTATGGCTTCCCTCAGCTCCTCTCTCTGATTTCCCTTCTGCATATTATAAAATTGTATACATCCTTATATTATCTATCTACTATGTTGACCCTCAATAAATTTGTGTACGTTTATTCACAACCTGCCAAGGAGTTCAGTACATTTTGTTGTCTTTTTAAATAGTTTGTGAAAGGTTCCCATTCTTCTTTAAAGTCACAGTTGTCTTTGTCTCGTAGTTTGCATGTCAATTTTGCCAGTTCTGCATAGTTCATTTGAAATACACTCGGAGTCGAGAGTGGATTTCATGCTCTTTATTCAGCTCATAGTGGTGAGGAGGAATGGAAGTTCCCCCATAATATCTGCTTTATATACATTATTTACACAATGGGCCCCACGTGATTGGCTAATTCCGGGATTCTCCTGTAGGCCAATCAGGTTGTGGATTCACTTCCACCTGAAGCTGGATTGGGTGGCTCCTGCGGACCAATCATACTGCTGCATTGTTCTAGGACCAATCAGACTGCTGCATTCTGGATCCTATTCAACTCAGTACATAACATCATTCATTTCTCTTGCCACTGTTCTTTTGTCGGGATTTCCTAATTCTTCCATCCTTGTGCAATCAAGACTCTTGCCGCTGTTGTTGCATGCATAAATAATTTTTTTCTTTTCCTTGGCAGGTCTTGTCCTACAATCCCTAACAAAAATGCCTCCGGTCTTTGTGTAAACGTTATTTTGAACATCTTCTTCAACTCATTATATATCATTTGCCAGAATTTTTAAAATTTCATCCGCACCGTATGTTTAAAGCGCTATGATACTGCTTTAAACCATCATGGCTTCCCCATGGCCACCCAAGTATTCCGGGAGCTATAGTTTGTTCAGTGTGCTGGGAGTTGCCAGGAGATTCCCCAGTCCCCTCCCCAGAGCTACAGTTCCCAGAGTTCCCTGTAAAAAGGGATGAATGGTGAAACCACTGTGAATTGTAGCACTGGGACTGACATGTTGGGCGATTTGAGCCCCTCACCTGAAGCAGTCCAGGCCGCAAATAATTTAATAGCCGTTCTTTCCCCACTGAGGAGATCAGGTTGTTATTTCTACTGCCCTTCATTTGAGGGCCACAGGGCAATTTACAGGTACCTGTTACAATGGGGCATGTTCACTTTTTTCAACTTTCAAATTCCAAAAGCAAACAAACAAAGTTGTAACATGGCTCAGGAATTCAAAAGATAATTTTGATTAAATTAATATAATTTCGGTTTGCTTGGTAAAAGTAAAACGTACATAAAATTGCATGGAAATCTTTAAAACTGATTGCCAGGTACTTTCAATCAGAGTATTATATTATCTATTATTATTATTATTATTATTATTATTATTATTATTATTTATTGTTACGATTCAGCATCACCTGACGTTCTCAGAAGGCAAAACTGAAATTCTTTGGCTTGCTGAAACAGCAAGTAGACTTACCAATCTAAATGTTGTCCAGACACAAAAATAATAGCAGGTTTTAATTCCTCACACCCAAAAATTTTATTTATTTTTTAAAAAAACTCACTGAAGAAATTATCAAAAAAATTATTTCGCCGCTTAAAATGGTGCACCCTACTGTTAAAGTTACCCTGTTGCCTGCACAGGCTCAGATTTGTTTGTTTCATTACATTTAAAATAGAATAGAATTTATTATTTATACCCCGCCCATCTGGCTGGGTTTCCCCAGCCACTCTGGGCGACTTCCAACAGAGTATTAAAATACAGTGGTCTGTTAAACATTAAAAGCTTCCCTAAACAGGGCTGCCTTCAGATGTCTTCTAAAAGTCTGGTAGTTGTTCTTCTCTTTGACATCTAGTGGGAGGGCGTTCCACAGGGCGGGTGCCACCACCGAGAAGGCCCTCTGCCTTTTACACCTTACACCTTTTACACCTCTGACTTTTTCTGCTAAGGAGCTTGAGGTGGCATGCGTGGTTATCTCCTTCCCTCCTCCTTTAATCCCTCACAGCAACCCTGTGAGGTAGGTTTCCCACCTCACCCACTGATGTAGGCCTAGACTTCTCCCTCTCCTTGTCTCCTTAGCAACAGCAGCGCCGAATCCCTGGACAGGCTGCTCCCCGCAGTGGGTTCCACGAGGTCGCCGCGGAAACGGACCACCAGCCAGTGCAAATCTGAGCCGCCCCTGCTGCGGACAAGCAAGAGGACGATCTACACAGCCGGCCGGCCCCCCTGGTACAACGAGCATGGTGCGCAGTCGAAGGAGGCCTTTGTCATCGGTAAGACACCTCACTCTGGGACTGAGGGCTGGTCGCGTTTTGGGAATAAGACCATAGCTATCAAGCGTCCCTTATTTGGCGGGACAGTCCCTTATCCCAGCACCGTGTCCTGCTGCTGTCCCTTATTGATGATGCCCCTTAAATTTCCCGGGTTTCAAAGAAAGCAGCTCCTCTCCCTCCCTCCCTGCCGGCCAGGGAGGAGGGAAGCTCCAGCTGTGTTGCTTCGCTGTGTTGCTCACCCAATAAGGAGTCTAAGAACAACTGGGGGGTGGAGCTTGCATGCCTTGTGCCGATCAAATCGGCTGCATTGCCTGGGGACTTGCCTTTGCTCAGCGCTTCCCTGCGGAGGGGTGACGGTGGTTTTCCTTGAGTTTTGAGGCTTCGTTTGGCTGCTGGCTGGGCTTTCTGCCTTTGGCTCGGAGGGGCTCAGAAGCTGAACATACCTGTGCTTGGAAAATCCCTTATTTTGGCTGCTGATCCCTTATTTTTGAGGCTGCTGATCCCTTATTTTCAAATCTGTAAGTTGAATAAGACGGAGAGGCAGTTCATCATCATCATCAAATCTTTTATTGGCATTGCATACATACATCCAAAACAAATCAATACAGAATTACCACTTCCCCGGTGGCACAAAACATTTGCTAAAAGGAAGGAGGCAGAGCAGTCTATCATCACATCTCTAGGTCTCCAGGGAGATCAGACGTCCGCAGTGTATTTCGACGACAACAAACCAAATAGAGATATTTAGCCACTAACTTGGTGAGCTCCTGATCATTCCCCAGTAACAGAAAATGTATGACCTCCAACTCTGGTTTCCATTTGGGGATACAGAGTTGATCTAGAAATTGCTGGCGGAGATCAGCATATAGTTTACAATTGAGAACCATATGTGTGAGGGTTTCCACCAGGTGGTCTTCACATAGTCAAATTCTTTCTCCTTCCACCCTGCCTGAGAACCTTCCCCAAAGGAGGTTTGATGGATTTGAATTAAACCTGGCCAGCGAAAATGCCCTTCTTTCTTGAGGGTTAAGCAGAAATTCAAGGTAATTGTGGTTAGTTTCATGTGCCCAAGAAAGTTTAAAATAAAGAGGGGAACATGTTTTCTCTGCTGCTACTGTTAGTTCTTGGCGTTCAATATCCCACAACCTAGTTTTTATTATAGCCTTGGCAGATGGTAGGGACATCGATCCCAAAAGTTCCACTGACAGCCCGAGTTGCTGCCCCTTCTTATTAAACTGTTGTAGCCCTGGGGAAAAAAGGGGGTCTAACGAAACTTCGCTGAGGAGAGGATCTTTATCAGATGTAAGGCAGATGTTTAACCAGCATAGAAGAAAGAGGCAGTTCAGTGCTGCCTTCAGAGATCACATCTGCTAGAGTTACGTGAGCAGAATTCCTCCATCTTGACTCCGTGCACAGTTTGGGTCAATGAGCTCTCCACCACAAGAAAGTGTTCCCGAGTTTACTGCAAACTGTCTTAAACTCGTTGCAAAAAAAAAGTTGTAAGTACAACTCAACACACTGCTCTTAAACAACCAGCAATGCATTCCGGTTTTCTTTAACTTATTGCCTGTTGATATAGTCCAAGAACTGGGACCAGAGAGAGAATAACAATAACAATAACAACAACAACAACAACAACAATAATAATAAATTTTATTTATACCCCACCCTCCCCAGCCAAGACCGGACTCAGGGCGGCTAACACCCGATATAAAAACAAATTGATTGAAATACAACTTAAAAACAATATTAAAATACAACATTAAAACAGTAAAAACATTAAAATGCAGCCTCATTTCAATGGAAACTCAAATCAAAAACTTTTTTGGGGATGAAAACGTCAAGTCTTCACCAGGCTAACTATCCAGACTGGTCCTACATGGGCCAGAAAAAAGCCAGGGAAGTCTCCAAATAGGAGTTCCATCACAGGAGGAGAAAGGAAAAAATAAGAGGGGGAGGGAATCAAATTGATTCAGATAAGCAAGTTGCTTCCTCAATATGCTGGCAATATTCGGGGGGGGGGCATAGACTCCCAGGACTGAGCCATCAGTAAAACACAAGATTGAAACGAAGTCTGCACCCAGAGGTGGAGAGAACGTTCTTCCACATGTGGTGGACTTGTAAAAGGGTAAAAGAGTATTTGGAAATGATACATAATGAATTGGGGGGGGGGACGTTTAAAAGTACGCCCCCCCCCAAAACAGAGTCCTTTCTGTTGGGGATAATTCAGACTGAAATTCCCAGGTGTCAAATAAGGTTTTTTATGTATGCTACTACTGCGGCACGTGTTTCGTTAGCCCAAAAATGCAAAACGAGCGAAGTCCCAACCAAAGGAGAATGGCAACTTAAGTTGACAGAATGTGCACAATTCGCAGACTTAACATATAGAATAAGAGAACAAGAAGAACATGCATTTAAAGAGGATGGGAAAATGTTTACTGAATATATGGGAAATAATTGTGTACAGCTGAAAACATTGGCAGCATTAAGATAAATTCAAGAGTGTAAATAAGTTTTGATGGATGTAATAATGGAATACTGAATGGTATAGTTTTTTGTAAAAATATGCAGGGGTTTATGATGTGTAAAGGGACGCGGGTGGCGCTGTGGGTTAAACCGCAGAGCCTAGGACTTGCCGATCGGAAGGTTGGCAGTTCAAATCCCCGTGACGGGGTGAGCTCCCGTTGTTTGGTCCCTGCTCCTGCCAACCTAGCAGTTCGAAAGCACGTCAAAGTGCAAGTAGATAAATAGGTACCACTCCGGCGGAAAGGTAAACGGCGTTTCTGTGCACTGCTCTGGTTTGCCATGCTTAGTCATGCTGGCCACATGACCCGGAAGCTGTACGCCAGCTCCCTCGGCCAATAAAGCGAGATGAGCGCCGCAACCCCAGAGTCGGCCATGACTGGACCTAATAGTCAGGGGTCCCCTTTACCTTTATGATGTGTAAAACAAATCATGGGAAGAGCAGAAGGGAAGTCATTGATATCTTAAGGATGTAAAAAGTAAATTATAAAACAGAAAACTTAATAAAATTATATACAAAAAGAGAGAGATAAGAAGCGAAGGTTGCACCCTCCGTCTCTTTGCAGCTCCAACTGCAAAAGCATCCACCTGCGCTTGCTTTCTGCAAAAAGATGAAGGGCAGTATGCAAATTTAATCAATAAAATAATCAATAAAAATAGGCTTCCTATTCTGCCCTGGGATCTGCCAGGATAAAGGAAGGTTGGCAAAAATACGTTTTTAATAAACAGACGGAACTGAAACTAAGCTGATTCCTTTACGTCCCCTGCACCCCCAACCCAGGTCTCGGCGGAGGCAGTGCCTCGGGGAAGACCACCGTGGCCAGGATGATAATCGAGGCCTTGGACGTGCCCTGGGTGGTTCTCCTTTCCATGGACTCCTTCTACAAGGTGAGAGAGGCAGAGCTCAGCATCATAACCTTCATTTCTGTTTAATTTTCTTCTTTTAGGAAAGGGAACGAGGTAAAAGTGTTAGAGAAAGGCATCCTATTTGTCTATTCAGAGACATTTGTTTCATGCCTTTTCTCTTCAGCTGGAAGAAACTCCCTGGCTGCTTAGAGCATATACCATATTTTTTTGCTCTATAAGACGCACTTTTCCCCTCCTAAAAAGGAAGGGGAAATCAGTGTGCGTCTTATGGAGTGAATGCAGGCGGGAGGCTCTGCTCAGCGCTCCCTTTAAAGAGCCGCGTGGAGCGTGTGTGCGGCTCTTGGGGGCTTTTCCCTGAGGAGGGAGAAAACCATCACCACCTATTTTGGTAAGAAGGCTTCCAGGACGATGATCCGTCCCGGGATTTCAGCCTCGACAATGGACCCACCTCAGTTTCTTCTTGCCTGCGAGTCTAATTAAGAGGCCACCCAATTTTCTGCAAAGCTGTCAGGCTTTATCTTCCAAAGCCCACACAGTTTAATTAGCTGATCATTGCTTCTGAAGTTATCTTTCCATGCCTTCAATCAGATCCTCCCATATCTCATCATCGCAGCTAATCCATTTGTTCAACAGAACACGCAGCTCATTTGCCGCTTTTGTTGTTCCGTCTTCAGCAGCTCAGTGGGAGGGCGGGTGCTTGGCACGCAGAAGGTCATGGGTTTGAATCCCCTTAAGCAAGAATTGGGTAGCAGGCGATGGGAATGAGCGTTCTGAGCCTTGAGACTCTGGAGAGCTGCTGTTGGCCAGATTGAGCAATACTAGGCTAGATGGACCAGTGGGCTGAATCGGTGTAAGACAACCCTCTATGCATTTAGTTTTCTCTTCCATCAATACGGTGCTCTAAACCTCTGTTTTCTGATAGAAACATTTCTGTTAGGCCTCTGAGGTGGTGAACCTGTGACCTGCAGATCAGATCCAGCTCACGAAGCCAGTAGACTCTCCTTTTTTGGTTTTAAAGCAGAGGTTAGGGACACGGGTGGCGCTGTGGGTTAAACCACAGAGCCTAGGAGTTGCCAATCAGAAGGTCGGCGGCTCGAATCCCCGCGATGGGGTGAGCTCCCGTTGCTCGGCCCCTGCTCCTGCCAACCTAGCAGTTCGAAAGCACGTCAAAGTGCAAGTAGATAAATAGGTACCACTCCGGCAGGAAGGTAAACGGCGTTTCCGTGCGCTGCTCTGGTTTGCCAGAAGAGGCTTAGTCATGCTGGCCACATGACCCGGAAGCTGTACGCCAGCTCCCTAGGCCAATAAAGCGAGATGAGTGCCGCAACCCCAGAGTCGGCCACGACTGGACCTAATGGTCAGGGGTCCCTTTACCTTTGCCTTTTAAAGCAGAGGTTGGATAGTCATATGCCATGGATGCTTGAGCTGAGATTCCTGCATTGTAGCGGGTTGGACTAGATAATCGTTGGGGCCCCTTCCAACTCTACAATTCCTGCCCTCGGTCTTTCCTCCCTCCTTCTCAGTGGTATTGTTATGAGTTTGGGGTGAGGGGGAAGCAGGCTTTTATGCAGAGAGCCTTCTCACCCTGGGATCCAGCAATAGAAGCCTGTCTAGCTTCCTGGGTTGAGGCGACTGCCTGGGCGATGGGCCATTAAAGGGAAGGGGCTCTGTGTGAGATGGGCAATGGGTGGGAAGCCCCACTCTGTCAACGGGCTGGTAGTTAGAAAAAGACCAAGGCGAGTGTTGAGACTTGGCAATGATGTGACCTAGAAGTAAAGCAGCGAGCAGGAGAGTCACGGCACCATTTGAGAACAACACTTGATTTCTCTTTGAATCCAAGCGAGAAACAAGATCCTTTCAAGGTGTTAATACTGTGAGCCCCTCCACCGTAGGCTCAGGTTATATATGTGTGTGTGCAAATAAGCCATATATCACAAGGACGCCACAGTCTCCTGTGTTCCTAATAATAATAATAATAAAAATAATAATTTATTACTTAAACCCCGCCCATCTGGCCGGGTTTCCCCAGCCACTCTGGGTGGCTCCCAACAGAATATTAAACACACAACAAAACAACTCACAGTCCTGTCTGTTAATATCATCTCCTACAATGCCGAGTAAAAATGCTTCTGGTTTCTTAATAAAGAGAGCGTAGAGATTCAAGGAACAGGAAGCACTTCTAGACTGTAGCCTTATTAGACTTTACTGACTGGTGGGGTCTGCGTTGCTCCCGGGAGGGAGGAAGGAGGTCAAATGACACCGAGGTTGATTCAGAGAAAGAGTTTATTCTGCTCTCCGGATAGCAGAAGGCACTTGCAAGTCCACAGTTCACAGCAAGTCCAAAGAAATGAGAAATTTCATGCAGTATATATATCCTCCAGGCACCCTCTCCCCCCTTCCCCAGGAATCCAACCACGTCAGCTTATACACGTAAGTTGACATCCATGCCCATAAACAGATATTCCTGTTCCGGTACTCTTGACCATAAAAGGTTGTTCCTGTTCTTATACTCTTATCTTGGGGCAGGAGGTCACCAACTCTAAGAGCGCTCCTGGCGCCGTTCCCGGGCCTCTTGTCAGACCTGACAAGGTCTGTGCGTCTTTTGTGGTCAGGATGTAAGATAAGACCCAGACGTGCCATCCCTGCTCCGCTGGAACTGGCAAGGTCATCCATTGCCGTCACGGACTGATAAAGGAGAGGGCTTTGAGCACTTGTTTATACAGCTGGCTTTCTGTTTATACATTGACTCAAGAGCTCAGGTTAATGCATTTTAGAAATGCTCCCTTGGAGGAGGAAAATGAGGATTTTGGGTCCCATTTCAGACTGATGGAACAGAAAATCCATTCCTTCTCCCTTCAAGACCGTCTTATAACGGAACCACACCAAAAGAAGTGTTCCTTTTCCAAGGGCTTTCCTGCTCCCTGATTTCCCACCCTGCCCTGCCTGTCCTCCCCACGGCTGCACTTCGGAGGGTGACCCCCTCTTTCTTTCTCCGTCAGGTCCTAACTAAGGAGCAGCAGCAACAGGCATCCAGCAACGATTTCAACTTTGACCACCCCGACGCCTTCGACTTCGACCTGATCATCTCCACCCTGAAGAAACTCAAGCAAGGCAAAAGCGTCAAGATTCCCATCTACGACTTCACTACCCACAGCCGCAAGAAAGAATGGGTGAGCCACGCCTCAGGTTGTCTTTTAAGGGTTATTATATACTGTATTTTTCGCTCTATAAGACGCACCCGACCATAAGACGCACCTAGTTTTAGAGGAGGAGAACAAGAAAAAAAATTCTCCCTCTCTGCACAGCGCCTCTCCAGCAAACCGGGAGGAGAAATGGAAGGGGCTCCGTTTCTCCTCCCGCTTCGCTGAACACAGCGAAGGCACACAGGTGGTGCTGTGGGTTAAACCACAGAGCCTAGGACTTGCCGATCAGAAGGTCGGCGGTTCGAATCCCCGCGACGGGGTGAGCTCCCGTTGCTCGGTCCCAGCTCCTGCCAACCTAGCAGTTCGAAAGCATGTCAAAGTGCAAGTAGATAAATAGGTACCACTCCAGCGGGAAGGTAAACAGCGTTTCTGTGCGCTGCTCTGGTTTGCCAGAAGCGGCTTAGTCATGCTGGCCACATGACCCGGAAGCTGTCTGCGGACAAACGCCGGCTCCCTCAGCCCATAGAGCGAGATGAGCGCCGCAACCCCAGAGTCGGACGCGACTGGACCTAATGGTCAGGGGTACCTTTACCTTTACCTTTATATACTGTATTTTTCGCTCTATAAGACGCACCCGACCATAAGACGCACCTAGTTTTAGAGGAGGAGAACAAGAAAGAAAATTTTTTTCTCCCTCTCTGCGCAGCGCCTCTCCAGCGAAGCGAAGTCAGAACAGCAAGAGAGGTCGCTGGGCAGCAAAAGCAGTGATCCCTCTTGCTGTTCTGGCTTCTGGGACAGCTGTGCAGCCTGCACTCGCTCCATAAGATGCACACACATTTCCCCTTACTTTTTAGGAGGGGAAAAGTGCGTCTTATAGAGCGAAAAATACGGTATACATTGTGGGGTATTTAGCGTCCATCCGCTTGGAATCGAAATCCCTGGGGGAGAGGAGGCTTAAGGTCTTGCCCCCTTCCTTGGGGCGGCGGAATGAAACTGGCTTGCAAGCGATGCCAGTGGTTGCTCAGAGGGAATTCTGGGAAATCAACGTGGGGGTGCCACCCAGCTGGGGGGCACTCTTGCCTCCCCGCCCCACTATTGGTACGTTCCTCACCCCTGAAAGAATCGCCAAAATACACTTCCCATTTTTATCATTTTATCCCTCCCAATGCGTGCAGTGAAAATTGGGGAGTGGGGGAGCATGTCAGCTCAGCTGTAGAATTTCATTAATTTATTAACATTTTGCTATCCCACCTGCCCTCCAACAGGGATTTGACCCCTCATCTCCCAGGTCTTTCCCCCCAATACAGTGGTACCTTGGTACTTGAACGGCTTGGCTCCCGGACCATTCGGCTCCCGGATGCCGCAAACCCAGAAATAAGTGTTCCGGTTTGCAAACGTTTTTTGGAAGCCGAACTTCCATCACGACTTCCACATGAGAGCAGGAAGTTCCTGCAGCCAATCGGAAGCCACGTCTTGGTTTTCGAACGCTTTTGGGAGTCAGACAGCTCCCGGAACAGATTCAGTTCGAGAACCAAGGTACCATTGTACTCTAAACCACTACACCACACAGAATGACCCACACCTGTAACAGAATGGATGAGTTTGGATCTTCTCCTATCAATATTCAGTGAATCTTGGGGGTGGAACAGAGATGTTACTTGCAGAACACAAAACTCCCCCTGATCCATAAGATTGGATCCTGCGCCACAGTGGTGCTTTTTATACAGGATATTTTAATTGTTTAAATATGTTCCTTTGGCATTACACATTTTTGTTTGTTTGAAAAGATTTCTTACATGGTAAGGTCCCAGGTTGGGTTGCAGGAATAGAATTGCACAATAATAAAACAATTTTGCGTTGCTGTGCACCACTTAAATATTGTTAAAATAGTAAGCGGTCTAGAAATACTTTAAATGAATAAATTGCATGTGCACTCACATGCATCTGTATATCTGTATGTCCACCCGCATCGTTCTGCCCGGACACTGAGGTCCAGCGCCGAGGGCCTTCTGGTGGTTCCCTCCCTACGGGAAGCCAAGTTACAGGGAACCAGGCAGAGGGGCTTCTCGGTGGTGGCACCCGCCCTGTGGAACGTCCTCCCACCAGATGTCAAAGAGAACAACAACTACCAGACTTTTAGAAGACATCTGAAGGCAGCCCTGTTTAGGGAAGCGTTTAATGTTTGACGGACTGTTGTATTTTAATATTTTGTTGGAAGCCACCCAGAGTGGCTGGGGAAACCCAGCCAGATGGGCAGGGTATAAATAAATTATCATTATTATCATTAGGATGATGAGATGAGGGTGCTTGCAAACATTTGCGAGACGCTGTGCCCTTTTTATTATTAAAAATAATAATAATAAATTTATTAATACACACGCAAACATACTTGGGCACTTGGCAAAGGGGAAGTTCTGGTGGTTGGCAGGGATAGTGAGCTTATGGGGCCACCCTGGTGCTTTTGGGCTCCCAATAAACAAATGAAATCAAGGTCTAGAGATGAACATAATATATTTCCTCAACACAGGCATGCAAGAACTTAAACCAGTCGATATCCAGGTGCAATCTATGACTGATAGCCAACTGAGCATGCAATCGTAGCTGTATAATCTTTTATGGTTTGACGCATACCGTACGGCCCGAATATAAGCCTCGCCCACAAATAAGCTGCACCTTTAAAATTCAAGGGGGGTGGGAAGAGAAAAAGACAATGTCCGAATATAAGCCCTTAAAATTCTTTTTTTTTTAATGATATTTATTAAAGTTTCAAAGAATACAAAAACAAAAAATAAAAATACAAGAAAATACAAAATACAGAAAAAAGAATAAAGTTTTTAAGATATAACAAAAAAATGAAAAATAAAAGGAAACATACAAAATAAAAACAGTTAAAAACACGTCGTTAATTTTCCATAACATATCTTCCTTACACGTATTTCCCCGGACCTCCTCGTACCTCCCTTTTTTTGTATTCCAGTTCAGTTTGTTACTTCAGCAAGTCCTTACCATTAAGCTTTTACCCATTTATAAAACCTTTTTTCGTATCTCTTAAAGCATTACAGCTGGAAACCACTTAGTTTCTATCCAACATCCTTCTAAAATTCCTTAATTTTACAATATTTCTGTAAATAGTCTTTAAATTTCTTCCAGTCTTCTTTCACCGACTCTTCTCCCTGGTCTCGGATTCTGCCAGTCATTTCTGCCAGTTCCATATAGTCCATCAGCTTCATCTGCCATTCTTCCAGAGTGGGTAGATCTTGTGTCTTCGAAATTTTTCAGGCACTCACACCCGTTTCATTTTACCGTATGTCTGTTTCAGCCGCAATATCAAGAAAGCCAATTTTTGTAATCTTTTACCTAACTATTATTACATTCTTGTCATTTTTGTGCCATACTTCCCAAATCACATCTTAAATTTTATTATTTTCCCAATTGCTGCACCTTAACTTTTATCTTTGTTTTCTTAATTGTAAGTGTTTACTCAAATCCTGCTAGTGAGTCCACTTCTTTGCAATACTTCTGTAAATACAGCAGATTACAAAATTAAAGTAGAGTAAAACAGGCAGGAGGAATAAATATTTAAAGAACCAGAAGGGGAAGTTGAGGGAAGTCATGATGATTGTGTGGAATATAAAGTAAAATTCAATAAAAATTATTTTGAAAAAAGAAGAGAAAGCCCATTTTTGTAAGGGCGTGAATTTAAGCCGCACTTTTAACTTTTCACGGTCGGAATTTGGAAAGAAAAGTGTGGCTTATATTCGGGCCAATACGGTAAAGTTAGATGTTCTTTACATTTGGAGCGCAGCTCTTGTGATCTCAGCATGTTTCAAGGCTTTGGACAAGAACACCTTTGTTCGTGTGAGATAACACACTGCTCTTTGCAAGGAAAAGTTGTAAAAGCCGCAGAAGGTCGTTCCGTTTTGATTGCACATTCTTTTGGCGGTCAGCCTGGAGTCATATTCTGACGGAAGGTTTACATCCTTGCATACATCCGCTGCAGAAACATATATTCCTATGTTCATACGTGCCTTGACTCCTCCACACTTTTCTCTGTACTTAGTGTCTGGCTGGGGGGAATTGCAGACTCCACGTTTGGTTTGGGGGCTGGCAAAAGTTGAGAGCCCAGCAACATCTAGGGAAGCAACAGCCTCACCCCCAGGACCTGATCTCACCAAAGGCCACTTCCCTTTGACAGCTCTCCTAATAATGATGATGGTGATGATAATTTCATTATTTATTTACTGGGTTGCCCCGGCCACACTGGGTGGCTTCCGACAGAATATAAAAACATAATAAAGCATCAAACATTAAAAACTTCCCTATACAGGGCTGCCTTCATAGGTTTTCTAAAATGCGTCTATACCGTATTTTTCGCTCCATAAGACGCACCTTTTTCTTCCTAAAAAGTAAGGGGAAATGTTTGTGCATCTTATGGAGTGAATGCGTGGTCCCTGGAGCCGAATTGCCATGCTCTATTTTTTGAAAGAGGGAAGTGGGTGTTGAAACAAAGCCGCTGATTGTTTGCCGATCGGGGAGAAAGATAAGGGACGCTAGAGATAAAGGAGGCTGCCTGGGAGGGGGGAGGTAAAGACAGCAAACTTGCAAAGGGGGGAAACAGGAAGACTAAAGCAATAAGGAGAGAAATTAGAAGAAAAGGAGGAGCAAGAAACTGCTCCAACTAAGGAAAAGACACTAAGGCAAACGAGAGGGAAGGGAGTGTTGAAAGGAAACAGCTGATCGGTGGGATCGGAAGAGAGATAAGGGATGCTAGCGGAGGCTGCCTGAGAAGGAGGAGGTAAAAGCCCATGGATCCTCAGGATTTTTGCATTGGGTCAGCCCAAATTCACCATCAGATCACAAAGCATGTCCATGGCTACAGCCTGCACCAAAAAAATCACGCACCCACTGTTTCGTTCAGAATATTTTATTTCTTGTTTTCCTCCTCTAAAAACTAGGTGCGTCTTATGGTCAGGTGCGTCTTATGGAGCAAAAAATACAGCAGTTTATCTGTTTGGCATCTGATGGGAACGTTCCCACCCTCTTCCTTTCTCTCTCCTCCTTGCTTGCAAGCATTTTCACGCCTGTTTAAAATCCAATATTTCTTACAAGCGAACTTCCGCTCTCCCCCTTGGAAGCTCCTTGTCCCCTCCTTCCCTTTTCCCTTCTCTTTGTATTCGGATTAGAAGTGGCTCCCAGGCGGCTGTTGCTTCTTGCGAGGGAGTAGAGGGCCGAGGTGGTAGGGAAGCCTCCGCTGGGGAAACACTGCAGGCAGCGTGCCAGATGTGCTCGGCTGGCACATTTGAACCAGCTTGCCCTCCTCTCTTAGCAAATCAGTCTCTTAAGCTTAAGCCAAGAAATAGTTATATAACCATAATAATCATAATAATAATTTATTTATACCCCACCTATCTGGCTGAGTTTCCCCAGCCACTCTGGGCAGCTTCCAATCAAGTGTTAAAAACAATACAGCATTAAATATTAAAAACTTCCCTAAACAGGGCTGCCTTCAGATGTCTTTTAAAGAGAAGACAGCTGCTTATTTCCTTCACATCTGAAGGAAGGGTGTTCCACAGAGTGGGTGCCACTACCGAGAAGGCCCTCTGTCTGGTTCTCTGTAACCTCACTTCTTGCAATGAGGGAACCGCCAGAAGGCCCTCGGCGCTGGACCTCAGTGTCCGGGCAGAACGATGGGGGTGAAGACGCTCCTTCAGGTATACAGGGCCGAGGCCGTTTAGGGCTTTAAAGGTCAGCACCAACACTTTGAATTGTGCTTGGAAACGTATTGGGAGGCAATGTAGATCTCTCAGGACCAGTGTTATGTGGTCCCGGCGGCTGCTCCCAGTCACCAGTCTAGCTGCCGCATTCTGGATTAATTGCAGTTTCTGGGTCACATTCAAAGGTAGCCCCACGTAGAGCACTTTGCAGTAGTCCAAGCGGGAGATAACTAGAGCATGCACCATAACTAGAGTATTCTCTATAAAACTGAATATCAATATATGTCTCAAGACTTTGAGATTAGACCATTGAAGAAGCCTGGAAAACTATCTTGGGAGTTTGCTACCGGCAAGCTCCAGTAAAAGGACCCCATTTGGGGGCGAACAGCAGCCTCTTGGTTACTTGGACTGCCAGGGCGAAACAGGTGCAAAGCGCCGGCACGCTGTCGTCTACAACTTCATTGTCTACAACTTCATTAACATCTATCTACAACTCCACTAGCATCTCTCGGTATTGTGAACAACACTGAACTTGCCTTTTGTTGGTATCTTATCTAAAAGATTGAGTTAAGCATTTGAAAAATCTATTGAAAGCAGACATTATAAGTTCATCTTAGGTTGGGTAATTCGCAAGTCTCTGTGGCTTTGTAGAAGGTTTTGTCTTTTTCTCAGAAGGTTATTAAAGAATGTATAATTTTTTATTCTGTGTATATTAATCGCCAGCGTGTTGCTTGAGTCGCACTACTCCTCTCCTTTCCAGCAAGCACTGGCAACCCACCTGAGGAGGACGTTTTTTTCTCCCTTTCAAAGCCATGTTTTGTTTCATTTTGCTTGTTTATCCGGTCTTCATGGCGTGCCTCTCTCTTTCCAGAAAACGCTCTACGGCGCCAACGTGATCATATTTGAAGGCATCATGGCGTTTGCAGACAAGGAACTCCTGAAGGTATGGCAGGATCCCTGGTGTTTCAGAAATGGCCCATTAACCCTGTTTTTTTAATTGGTATTTTTATCTGCAAAGAAAGTGAAGGCCCTTGCCAGTGCTCAGGTGCGCCTCTTTTTTATTTATATATAGAAGTCGTGTAAAAAAGGAGGCAGAGGACTCCTTTTAGGGGAGGGTCTGTTTCTTCATCTTAAGGTAAAGGTAAAGGGACCCCTGACCATTAGGTCCAGTCGTGGCTGACTCTGGGGTTGCGGTGCTATTCTCGCTTTACTGGCCAAGGGAGCCAGCGTACAGTTTCCGGGTCATGTGGCCAGCATGACTAAGGCGCTTCTGGCGAACCAGAGCAGTGCACGGAAACGCCGTTTACCTTCCCGCCGGAGCGGTACCTATTTATCTACTTGCACTTTGACGTGCTTTCGAACTGCTAGGTTGGCAGGAGCAGGGAGCGAGCAATGGAGCTCACCCCATCATGGAGATTCGAACTACCGACCTTCTGATCAGCAAGTCTTACGCTCTGTGGTTTAACCCACAGCGCCACCTGCGTCCCTTCTTAGAAGGTCCCTGGTTCCAATCGTTTCCAGATTTAAATGCTCACGTAGCAGGTGGTGGGGAAGATTTCTCTCTGCCCGAGAACTCAAAGATCTGCTACTGCCGGTCCGAGTTGACAGAGTAGGGCTAGGTGGACAAATGGTTTGACCTGGGGCACAAAGTGTGTCTCCCCACAAAGAGTGACCACAGCTCCCTAAGGACTGTTGTTGTTGATGCTGCTATTATTATTATTATTATTATTAATTATTACTATTATTATTATTATTTCAGTTTATATACTGCCCCTTTATTCAAAGATCACAGGGTGGTGTTCAACATTAAAAACACAATTTACTACTATTAATAATAATAACAAACAATAAACCGATCACAGAAAAAAATCATAACGTATCCCGGACGTTCCTTTAATGGTCTGTTTCACAGTCAGGCAATCTTGGGGCAACAGTGACCTCCAGTGGCCAGCTGGGGAATTGTCAGCAGAGAAGGATCTGCACTAGAGAGAGGGGAGTGGGTGGTTTGGGGCTGCTTCTCTTGCTTAAAAGACAAATCTGTGAATGGAGAAAGCCTTGGCACTTCCTGCCCGCAGCCCAAGCGCTCCAGGGTGGGCTCCACTTTTGCAAGCAAGTCTTCTCAGCTCCCCTGTTTCCTTCTTTCTGGATGCAGCTTTTCCCTGCTGTTGAGCACTTCAAACTCTCCCCTAACATTGCTCTCCTTTAAAACGTGGAGTTTGCAATGTTGTTAAGGGCCGGCTTTGATGGATTCTGAGCATTATCCACTAACAGCTGTTATGGAAATGGGGGGGGGGCGCATATCTTTAAAGTTGTTACAACGCTACAAATATTATGCCAATATACTTTCAGTATCCTTTCGACTTGACAGCTCAGAGAAGATACCTAGCTTTATAAATTCGTAGAAAATCCATACTTTAACCGACTCTCCTCATTCCAATGCCATTTTAACCCTTAAAGAAAGGTGAATTTGGGCTCCACCTCCCTCCATGAACCAAGAAGCAGGAAGTCACTGTAGGCAGCAGGATCAGGGCATCCTGTCATAATTCTCCAAGCAACAAGAGACATCCACAGAGGCAGTTTAGCAAGTCAGGTGTTCTGAAAGCCCATCTCCAGACAAGTCCTGAAGGCAAGGATATGTAAAGAGTTTTATTGTTATTTCAGAGATGAGTACTTAAGAGGTGCTGGGAAAGGTGTCTGATAAAGTGACCTAATGTTGAATTTGCGTAACCCTTGTGTAAAGGTAAAGGGACTCCTGACAATTAAGTCCAGTCGCGAATGACTCTGGGGTTGCGGCGCTCATCTCGCTTTACAGGCCGAGGGAGCCGGCGTTTGTCCGCTTCCGCAGACAGTTTTTCTAGGTCGTGTGGCCAGCATGACTAAGCCGCTTCTGGCGAACCAGAGCACAGAAACACCATTTACCTTCCCGCTGGAGTGGTACCTATTTATCTACTTGCACTGTGTGCTTTTGAACTGCTAGGTTGGCAGGAGCAGGGATACAGTAATGCATCAAACATTAAAAGCTTCCCTAAACAGGGCTGCCTTCAGATGTCTTCTAAAAGTCTGGTAGTTGTTTATCTCTTTGACATCTGGTGGGAGGGTGTTCCACAGGGCGGGTGCCACTACCGAGAAGGCCCTCTGCCTGGTTCCCTGTAACCTCGCTTCTTGCAGTGAGGGAACTGCCAGAAGGCCCTCGGCGCTGGACCTCAGTGTCCGGGCTGAACGATGGGGGTGGAGACGCTCCTTCAGATATACTGGGCCAAGGCCGTTTAAGGCATAACGAGTGATTCCCTGGGAACACATTGTACTGTATTCAGTAAGTGGAATATCTGCGAGTGCATCATCCCCTCTCCCTTCTTCCAGCTTCTAGACATGAAGATATTCGTCGACACAGACTCTGACATCCGCCTGGTCCGGCGCCTCCGCAGGGACATTGGCGAGCGCGGAAGGGACATCGAGGGCGTCATCAAGCAGTACAACAAGTTTGTCAAGCCGGCCTTTGACCAGTACATCCAGCCTACCATGCGGCTGGCGGACATTGTCGTCCCTCGGGGTAGGTGTCCTTTCTCTGGTCTCGCCTGGCGGGACAACAGCTTGTCCAGTGCTTAAATTCTGCGTGTTTTCTGCGCAGAATAAGGCTCTCCATGGTTGTGAGACATGATGGGTAGGGTGAGCCTCAGGGCCCACACAAGTGCCAGGGGCTGGACTGAGGAGGAATGGCCCTTTTCTGAACCTTCCCAAGGGCAGGAGGGCAGTATTGATTTAGAACAGCGGTTTGCAGAGGGGCATAGTCCAGAGGGGAAAAGCTGGGAAATACTGGGTGAGGAATAGCTAGAAGAGAAAACACCAGGAGAGAGACAGCTGGAAGATTCACTGTCCTTGGAAAGCATTCCTGACCCCTTTCACCTAAGACTAGACAGGCTCTGAGCGTGATAGAACAGAAAGTGCAATGGCAACAAACTCAGATTACCGTATTTTCCGTCCCATAGGATGCTCCGTCCCATAGGACGCACCTAGTTTTTTGGGGGGGAAATAAAGGGAAAAAAATTTCCCTTTATTTCCCTCCCAAAAGCAGGTCGGGGAAACTGAACCAGGTCGAGGAACAGCGGGATGGCGGCGCTGCACCTCCCTGCTGTCCCCCGAACTTGTGGGGCTGGCCAATGTCTGCCCGGCACGAGGGGCGCCCTGCAGGATGCTATCCACAGCGTGGGGAGCCCTGCGGGGAACTCCTGCAGGGCTCCACATGCTGCGGATGTCTGTCCGGCGCGCGGGGCGCTCTGCTTCAGGGCGCCCCGCCCGCCGGGCGGCAGGCTGCTATCCGCAGCCTAGACATCCCTGGGGGACCTCCTGCAGGGCTGCCTAGGCTGCAGATGTGTTCCCGAAGCGCCGGGAGCTCTGCTTTCAGCGCGCCCGGCGCTCCGGGAAGCAGGCTACTATCCGCAGCCTAGACAGCCCTGCGGGAACTCCCGCAGGGCTGCCTAGGCTGCGGATGTCTTCCTGAAGCCTGGAGAGCGAGAGGGATCGGTGCGCACCGACCCCTCTCGCTCTCCAAGCTTCAGCGAAAACCTGCATTCGCCCCATAGGACACACCCAGATTTCCCCTTCATTTTTGGAGGGGAAAAAGTGCGTCCTATAGGGCGAAAAATACGGTACCCAACGTAGGAGTGATGTAGATTAATGGGGGTGGAGGGGGTGAACCTTAACTGGGAGCAACGCCATTTCTAGAGAGAGATGCATTCCTTTGTCTCTCGCTGTGATTATTAAGGAAACTAACTAGTAAGAATGCTCCTTTCGTTTGATCTGCTTATTTACTGCCACCGGGGGAGGGATCTGATTCCTCAAAACATGACTTCTCTTCCCCACCAGAGAAGAAGGGGTGAGTGAAGATCTACATCAGAAACAAGGGGAAAATATTATTATTATTATTATTGGTACTCTGCCCGTCTGACTGGATTGGCCCAGTCACTCTGGGTAGCTTCCAGCATATACAGAGACATAATAGAATTGTAGAGTTAAAAGGGACCCTGGGGGTCATCTAGTCCAACCCCCTGACCAATGTGGAACTCGAACCCACAACCCTGAGATTAAGAGTCTCCTGCTCTACCAGCTGAGAAAAAGACGGCAACTATCCAAGGCAGCGTTCCTTCCAGCTGCTTCAGACTACATGTCATGGACCGGAATAGCAGGGAGAGCCCAGCTGGTAGAGCATCTTAATCTCAGGGTTGTGGGTTTGAGCCCCACATTGGGTGTTCCTGCACTGCAGGGGGTTGGACTAGATGACCCTCAGGGTCCCTTCAAACTCTACAATTCTGTGATTCTATAAATCCCTTTGGTCCCAGTTGGTTGGAGCTGATGGGAGTTGTCATCCAAAACAGCCAGAGGGCACCACGTTGGCAAACAGTGCTGTAAGCAAGGGACATTGCAATGTTAATTCGATTGCATACCGGTTGACTGTGTTCTGCTGCCCTCTAGTGGCTTTTCCGGGTCATAGCTGTTAGGAAACAGGTATCCACAATTCTCTCTCTCTCTCTGCTCCGCTCCAGGCAGTGGGAACACCGTAGCCATCGATCTGATCGTGCAACATGTCCACAGCCAGCTGGAAGAGGTAAGAACTGTCGTGGGACAGGGCAGGAGGAAGGGCTGAACACTGGGTGTGCCGGTTGGGTAGGGGGACTCTTGCAAGCCCCTCCTTTGCTTCCACATCTTCGGGCAAACAGAGCTGCCAGGGTGGGTTTTCCGGTGGGGTCTGCAAGGAGGCCCGGCCTCTTCTCAGAACGTGCCCCAAAGACCCTCAGATTCTGCTGAAAAGGATTCCAGATCAGACTCCATACTTGGCCCATGCTTCCCAGTCGTCTAGCAAAGGGGACGAGGGAACTCTCAAGGCCATCTTCTCCAGCTGGTCAAATTCCAGACATCTTCAGGCCATCTTGGGGAAGTCTGTCCTCATGCAAATTCTCTGGGCAGGACTACGAAAGTCATTTGCCATGTCTTTATCCCGACCTTCCTCCAGCGAACTAAGGCAACCTATCGGGTTCTCTTCCCCGTTTTCCTACCCTCCTTGAGCATTTGATCCTCACCACCTGTGAGATGGGCCACGGGCCCGAGATCGCCCAGAGAGCTCTGCAACTTTGCGGGCAGCGAAATGCTAACCGGCTCAAGTCCTAATCCAACGTACTCTCCCTGGCTTCCTCCAACCTTGCTCCTTCCAGATGTTGATGTGCTACAACAACCCATAAACCCCCAAGCCATTGGCCACGTTGACTGAGGCTGGTGGGCGTTGGAACCCAACAACATCTGTCGGCATCGTTAGGCTGGGGCAACCAAAGCCAGGGCCGTCTTAAGCATATGTGGCGCCGGGGTGAAAAATTCTGCCCCGTGTGCCCCCCCAGGTTGCCCAGAGTTATTGACCTTTTTTAGGGGGAACCCCAAAGTTGTTGACCTTTTTTTAGGAAAGGTTCCACAGACTTGTTGATCCAGTGCAACAAACAAACCAGCCCGAGTTGTTGGCATCGATGTCTGATCAAGGCCGGGCACCTTGTGGTGTAATAGTAATAATAATAATATAATAATAATTTATTATTTATACCCCGCCATCCGGCTGGGCTTCCCCAGCCACTCTCGGCGGCTTCCAACAAAACCCTAAAATACAATAACCTAGTAAACATTAAAAGCTTCCCTAAACAGGGCTGCCTTCAGATGTCTTCTGAAAGTTTGGTAGTTATTTTTCTCTTTGACATCTGGTGGGAGGGCATTCCACAGGGCGGGCGCCACCACCGAGAAGGCCCTCTGCCTGGTTCCCTGGAACTTGGCTTCTCACAGCGAAGGAACCGCCAGAAGGCCCTCAGTGCTGGACCTCAGAACAATGGAGGTGGAGACGCTCCTTCAAGTATACTGGACCAAGGCCGTTTAGGGCTTTAAAGGTCAGCACCAACTGACCTTTGTGCTCGGAATTGTGCTCGGAATTGTGCTCGGAAACGTACTGGGAGCCAGTGTAGGTCTTTCAAGACCGGTGTTATGCGGTCTCGGCGGCCACTCCCAGCCACCAGTCTGGCTGCCGCATTCTGGATTAGTTGCAGTTCCGAGTCACCTTCAAAGGTAGCCCCACGTAGAGCGCATTGCAGTAGTCCAAGCGGGAGATAATTAGAGCATGCACTATGCCAATCCCACACCCCTGCCACCTATGGTTAAGACGGCCCTGACCAAAGCAAAAGGGTGGCATTATTATTACTAATACTATTATTATTACTCTAACCACTATGCGGCACTGCCCAACACAACTGAGGTAGAGTGTGACCACATAGTATTTGATTGGGCAGCAGCTCCAAGCTCACATCAAACTGCTTCTTGGCACTGGATCCGATTCTACGATCCTGTGGTGAGGATCAGCCCCACATCAACTAACTGTGTGGAACAGACCCAACTGCAGAGAGCAATGAGTCGGGCTTGGGGAACCTGCGGCCCTCTAGATACTAGTGGACTCCAACTCCCATCATTCCTTGTCAGCCTGGCCAGTGCTCAGCGCTGATGGGATTTGTAGCCTTGGGGGGGGGGGGAATCTGGAGAGCCACCAGTTCTCTGTCCTTGCAATAAATAATACAAGAAGCCACTGCAGCTGAATTTGAGAAGTACTGGTCTAATTGGGAAATCCCAGGAAAGGGGGAATTTGCTCCTGCTCCACTCCAACCCTTCTGAGAAGTGGAGTGGGGAGTTTTTTGTAGTGGGGGGAGCAGCCCCACCCCCTCCATTTAGGGACCATCAAAAAGGATCAGTAATCTAGAAGACAACCAAGGAGGAACCGAAGAGCCTCTGCCCAACTCTTGAGATGTATATATAGGCGGCAAGTTAATTTTTGTCCTGTCTGAGAAGGTTCTTGGGACCTGCCCCCGAATGACTGGTGGGGGGAGGAGGGGGGGCGAAAGGCGCCAAAGGTGGGGGCAGGTCTCTGGAACTCACTTGCAAACTAACCGCATGAAATCCTCTGTTGCCCACCGGGTTGTCAGTTTGGGTGTTTGGATGTGTTTATTCCAACCGCCCGTCCCCGTTTTCTGTTATTTCTTAAAAAGCTGTTTGCTTGTTCAGCTTCTTTGCTCAGTTTGCAGCTCTCGCAGGGTGGGGAGAAGATTTCAACTCATGGGGGGAGAGAAGGGGGCGGTTTGCAATAAATCTGCAACTTGGGGCTGCTCAGTACCGTATTTTTCGCTCCATAAGGCGCACCGGACCATAAGGTGCACCTAGTTTTTAGAGGGGGAAATCAAGGAAAAAAATATTATCCCCCCCCCCAGCCCCAAAGGGCAGCGGACAGGCTCCATGCAGTCTGTCCACTTCTCCCACAGCTCCTTGGGGCTGCCGGGGAAGCCCGGGTCCCCCCCTCCCAGCCCCAAAGAGCAAAAAAGCCAAGACAGCGAGCGGGATCCATCCCACTCACTGTCTTGGCTTCTTTAGCCGCGCGCAGCCTCTCCAGCCGGGAGAGGCTGCACTCGACTATGGCAACTCCCCCACCTCCCGCAAAAGCCCACAGGAGCCTGCGGGCTTTTCTATGAGGAGGGAGAAGGGACTGATTGGCTGTGTCAGTCCCTTCTCGCTCCTGGGGAAAAGCCCGCAAGAGCCCCGTGGAGCTTGTGTGCGGCTCTTGGGGGCTTGTCCTGCCTGCCTCCCCCCTGCATTCGCTCCATAAGACGCACACACATTTCCCCTTACTTTTTAGGAGGGAAAAAGTGTGTCTTATGGAGCGAAAAATACGGTATCTGGAGCAAACAATGAACAAAAAACCTTGTGGTCAAATATCTGAAAGGTGCTCTCAGTTGATTACACTGCAGTTTTAAAAAATCGTAATTTTTAATTCAAGGACTAAACCATACTAGCAGGGAGGATATGACAAAACCATTTGTCTCCCATGCCCGGGAGGGCATAGCTTCTGTACTAAAACACCTGTGGCACTCAACTGCACCCCCTAAAATAGCCCCCCCCAGCATGGGGCCTTCCAGATGTTTTTGAACTACAACTCCCAGTGCACGCAACAGCCAGGGATGATGGGAGTTATAGTTCAAAATATCTAGAGGCCAACAGCTTCAGGAAGGCTGCTCAAAAACCACTCGCTTTTCTTCCTCAGAGATAATATTTATGCAAACGTCTTGTGTGTAAAGCGCAATTTCGTACCTGCTGCCGGCTGGTGGAAACACCACAGAGCAGTTTAAAGGAAAGCACCAGGAAACCAGTTTAAACAGTGACAGAATTTGAACAAAGAGCATGAAAGAACCAGGAAGAGCAGGCTTAAAACCTTCAGTGCTGAATTTCAAAGAGTTGAAGTAAAATAAAACTTTTCTGCCTGCCTGAGAGTCACCAGGGTTGGGGCCAGAGCAGTATACCTAAGGACGAAACCCCATAACTTGGGGGGCTGCCACAGAACTTAGGCAGATCTGCTGGATTCTGAATCTGAACGGCAGGTGGACATTTCCAGTGGCTTCAGCTGACTCAAGATGTCTTTATTTGGTCATTGGCCCATGGGCTTGCACACCATGTGGGTGTTCAGAGCGAGAATTCAACGGATCCCTGCAACATGCGCCATTCAGACTGCGCGCGCGCACACACACACCCCAGTCTCTCCCTCCTTACAGTTATTTTTAAATGCTAATTTTAAATTCTAGGGCTAAATCATACCAGGCAATTCTGAAGCTGCTCTTACCAGTTTGGAGTTCAGGTGTATTTATCCCCTTCTGTTTTCTCCCCACCACATACACTTTGTTTTTTAAAAAAAACCTTTAAATCTCGCAGAGACACCATAGGTAATATTAGATTTGAGCGAAATCCTAAACCCGATTAAATATGTATGCTTCTTTTGGGGGGGGGGAACCTGCCAGACGTGGCGTTATTTGGGAAACGTAGTTGCGTGGTTAGTTGTGGCAGCTTTGCAAAGCGGCCTCCCGCCCCCCAAGAGAGCTGCCCCCTGAGCAAAGCTGAAATCGCAGCGGGTGCTTTTTAAAAATAATAATAATAATAATAAAGATGCTAACTGCTCCAAGTGCTGTGAATCCCGGGAAAACGTGTCTCCCTGTGTTTTTATTTCCCTTTTTGCCTCTTAACGCCCTGCTGGTGTTTCCACTGTTTTAATACGGGGGTTTGCTCGCTGTTCTTTGTGTTGCCACGGCAGAGAGAACTCAGCGTCAGGTAAGGGCTCCTCCTAACTGTCTCCCTCTCTGTGTGTCCTCCTTTTACTGTCTGCAAGGACAAAAATGCATCTTAATAACTGGTGCTGCTAAGCCAACTGTTTGCTGAGGCTGTGTGTTTGTGTGTGTGTGCATATTTGTGTGTTTAAACATTCAAATTCCTGCAGAATTGTCACCGGATACATGCGCAGAGATCTGATGGTCAGGGGGCAAGGGCCATCACTTATCTGCGTTATCACAGAATCACAGAGTTGGGAGGAAACCTGAGGCTCATCTAGACCAACCCCGCCTCTCCCCCCAGCAATGCAGGGATATGCAGCCATCCCTTACAGGAATCGCTGCCCCCTGTCCCTGCATGACAAGGCCCTCAGATTCTGTGCTGAAGTGCTCTTGCGGTCCATTTGGTGACGATGGTTGGTCCTGTGATAAGAATTTTAAGGTTCCCGCCTGGCTTGACCCAGCCAACCTCCCAAAACAGAAAGGAGCCTTCTCAGGGGAGTATCGGGGAGCGCAGGTAATAATAATAGTAATACAGTGGTGCCCCACAAGACGAATGCCTCGCAAGACGGAAAACCCGCTAGACAAAAGGGTTTTCCGTTTTGGAGGTGCTTCGCAAAACGAATTTCCTATGGGCTTGCTTCGCAAGACGAAAATGTCTTGCAAGTTCCTGCGGGGTTTTTTTCCTCCCCCCCCCCTTTTTCCCAAGCCGCTAAGCCGCTTATCAGCTGATCCGCTAAGCCGCTAAGCCGCTTAACAGCTGATCGCTAAGCCGCTTATCAGCTGATCTGCTAAACCGCTTAACAGCTGATCCGTTAAGCCACTAAGCCGCTTATCAGCTGATCCGCTAAGCCGCTTAACAGCTGATCCGTTAAGCCACTAAGCCGCTTATCAGCTGATCTGCTAAGCCGCTTAACAGCTGATCTGCTAAGCCACTATGCCGCTTATCAGCTGATCCGCTAAGCCCGCTAAGCTGCTAATAGCGCTAATCCGCTAAACCGCTAATGGGCTTGCTTCGCAAGACGAAAAAACCGCAAGACGAAGAGACTCACGGAACGGATTCTTTTCGTCTTGCGAGGCACCACTGTAGTAGTAGTAGTAGTAGTAGTAATAATAGTTTATTCTCTATACCCCTCCCATCTGACTGTGTTTTCCCAGCCACTCTGGGCGGCTCCCAACAGAATAAACACGATAAAAGATCAAACATTAAAAACTTCCCTGAAGTTGTCTTCTAAAAGTCAGGTGGTTGTTTATTTCCTTGACATCTGGTGGGAGGGCATTCCACAGGGCGGATGTCACTACCGAGAAGGCCCTCTGCCTGGTTATTTAATCATAATCATAATAATTTATTATTTATACCCCCAGCCACTCTGGGCAGCTCCCAATTGTGTGTTAAATACAATACAGCATTAAATATTAAAAACTTCCCTAAACAGGGCTGCCTTCAGATGTCTTTTAAAGATAAGATAGCTGCTTATTTCCTTCACATCTGAAGGGAGGGCGTTCCACAGGGTGAGTGCCACTACTGAGAAGGCCCTCTGTCTGGTTCCCTGTAACCTCACTTCTTGCAATGAGGGAACTGCCAGAAGGCTTTCGGCGCTGGATCTCAGTGTCCGGGCTGAACAATGGAGGTGGAGACGCTCCTTCATACAGGACCGAGGCCATTTGGGGCTTTAAAGGTCAGCACCAACACTTTGAATTGTGCTCAGAAACGTACTGGGAGCCAGTGTAGGTGTTTCAGGACCGGTGTTATATGGTCTCGGCGGTCACTCCCAGTCACCAGTCTGGCTGCCACATTCTTCACACCTTCAAAGGTAGCCCCACGTAGAGCGCATTGCAGTAGTCCAAGCTTGGGGCTTCAGCTTGCTACCTCAAATATGGGAAGCTGTACTGAGTCAGACCAATTCTCCTTCTAATTTAGCACTGCCTATGCCAGCTAGCAAGGGACATGGGTGACGCTGTGGGTTAAACCACAGAGCCTAGGACTTGCTGATCAGAAGGTCGGCAGTTCGAATCCCCGCGACGGGGTGAGCTCCCGTTGCTCGGTCCCTGCTCCTGCCCACCTAGCAGTTCGAAAGCACGTCAAAGTGCAAATAGATAAATAGTTACCGCTCCGGCGGGAAGGTAAACGGCGTTTCCGTGCGCTGCTCTGGCTCGCCAGAAGCGGCTTAGTCATGCTGGCCACATGACCCGGAAGCTGTACGCCGGCTCCCTCGGCCAGTAAAGCGAGATGAGTGCCGCAACCCCAGAGTCAGTCACAACTGGACCTAATGGCCAGGGGTCCCTTTACCTTTACCTATGCCAGCTAGCAACAACCCTCAAGGGTTTCAGTCAGGGGTCTTTCTCAGCCCCCCATGGAGACATGGCTGGGGTCGAGTTTGGGACCTTCCCTTGAGCCACCCCCCCCAGCCCTGCCTGAAAACCCTCCCGTCTTTCGGCCCCCACTGCCCCTCATATCCCCCAGTCTCTCCACAAACCTGAGCCTGCAGTCACCCATGGGCCATTTGAGGCTGTTTGAGTTACCAGCTATTTAGGGAGGTCCAGAACATCTCCGTTCCCGACGAAGAATAGAATTGGGGGAGGGAGCAGTTCAAAAGCCTTTAAATAATTGGAGCCCAGCCGAATAGAAGATACAACTTCTCTTTCTGCTTTCTCCACACACACACACACACATTTTTCTATATGTCTGGAAATGCTTTTTGGAAGAAGAAAAAGTTTTTAGGAGACGGCGTTCCAGAAATAGATCCCTCCGTGTGGATCTGCCACGCCTTACCTCAGCTCCCAGCCTTGATCCCCTCAAGGCGCCCTCCTTATGGGCGCCTGGGGGCACAATAGCCCCCACATCTTGGAAATGTCAAGCCACTTCAAGGCTGCCCTCCTCCCCGTTTGAAAACCCTCATCTGGGCTGTGCTCCTTCCTCTCCCTTCCTCTGTCTTCTCGCTTTTTCTCTTGTCTGCTTCCTGTTTGATTCTGCGAGAGCGCAATGAAAGGAACCGGTGACATTTACCGCCCCGCCTGCTTTTTTTGTGGGGATTTGTGTGTGTCTTTTGAGCTGGTCACCCGGCCTTTTTGAAGGGTTTTTGTTCTCCGGGGAAGAAGGCTGAGGAGGAGGAGGAGGGGCAGAAGATTTGGTTTCCAAATGCGAGACTTAATTTTTTAAAAAATAGATGAACGAGGAAAGGAAAAAGACCAAAAAAAGAAAGACACCATCCGCTTAAGGCTGCTTATCAGTTTTTTCCACTACCGGTCAGACACAGCAAAGAGGTGGCAGGAAGCGCCGAGTACCTGTGTAAAATTCAGGGGCGAAAGGAAGGCGACCGCTTTAGGCATGATAGAAGTCCTTAAGATAACGCACGGAAAAGGGAAAGAGGAAAGACTTTCTCTCTCATAACGCCAGGCCTCCCTCGACCTCCAATAAAGCTGTATGTTGGAAGAGTCAGGGCAGATAAAACAACGCTGTCCAGGGCTCGTCAAGACTGCGGAGAGAATAACTGGGTGCACTCTTCCCACCTTGGATCAAATCTATGCTTCCAGGTGCCATAAGAAAGCTGCAGAGATAGCGCAGGACAGTGCGCACCCCGGAAATGATCTCTTCCAACTTCTGCCTTCTGGAAGAAGGTCCAGGGTTATAAAGACCAGGACTAGCCGCCTGGGAAACAGCTTCTACCCAAACACGATTTTGGTTTTAAATGCAGTGCAAGGAGTCTGTATGGGAGTATGTTGTATTTTAAAACGGGGTGTCAGAGTTTTTAGGGGGCCAACCAGGCTGGGATAGCTGGGATAGCAGGCTTGTTGGGTTTTGAATGTCCTTTGTAGATTTTTCAATTTCGTTGTTCTGTATGGGACAGTGACAATAAAGATTATCGTATCGTAAAAGAAAGCGCTTCTTCACACAGTTAAACTGTGGGACTCCCTGCCACAGGAGGGCAGTGATGGCCACTAACTTGGATGGCGTTAAGAAAGGACAGATTCATGGATGAGGGGGTTGTTGGTGGCTACAAGCCATGGTGGCCGTGTTCTGTTTCTGTGGTCAGAGGCAGCAATTCTTCTGAGAAACAGTTACTGGGGAACACAGGACAGGGAGAGGGCTAGAAACCTGCTTGTTGGTTTCCCACAAGCATCTGGTTGGCTGCTTTTGAGAACAGGATGCTGGACTAAATAATAATAATAATAATAATAATAATAATAATAATAATTTATTATTTATACCCCGTGCATCTGGCTGGGTTTCCCCAGCCACTCTGGGCAGCTTCCAACTGAATATTAAAAACAATACAGCATCAGACATTAAAATCTTCGCTAAATGGGGGCGCCTTCAGTTGTCTTTTAAAAGTAAAATACCGTATTTTTCGCTCTATAACACGCACCCGACCATAACACGCAAGTAGTTTTTAGAGGAGGAAAATCCGTAGGCATGCCACCCGTAGGCATTCCCTCCATAACACGCACAGACATTTCCCCTTACTTTCTAGGAGGAAAAAAATGAGTGTTATGGTGCAAAAAATACGGTAGTTGTTTATTGCCTTGACATCTGCTGGGAGGGTGTTCCACAGGGCAGGCGCTACTACCGAGAAGGCCCTCTGCCTGTGACCTCACTTCTTGCAGGGAGGGAACCGCCAGAAGGCCCTCAGCGCTGGACCTCAGTGTGCGGGCTGAACAATGGGGGTGGAGACGCTCCTTCAAGTCTACTGGGCCGAGGCCATTTAGGGCTTTAAAGGTCAGCACCAACACTTTGAATTGTGCTCGAAAACGTACTGGGAGCCAGTGAAGATCTTTCAGGACCGGTGTTACATGGTCTCGGCGGCCGCTCCCAGTCACCAGCTTAGCTGCCGCATTCTGGATTAGTTTCTAAGTCACCTTCAAAGGTAGCCCCATGTAGAGCGCATTGCAGTAGTCCAAGCAGGAGATAACTACATGGGCCACTGGCTTGATCCTGAAGGCTCTTCTTGGGTTCTGAACATTCTTTCCGTTTTAACACACTTGCTACTGGGTTATTTTAATAAAGCAGACCTCCAAATGCGATGTTATTTTGGCAGTAATGGCCCTGAATTGTCGAGAAGGCGCTTGATACACTTGAGAGGTTCTTATGGGAGAATTCCCCGAGTTACAGCTTCTCCCAACTCTTGCAGAAGTTGACATCTCTGCCCTGTGCAATCCTTCAGAGGCTGTGCCAGAAAACACTCTGTGAGACTAAGTTGGTGTGGGAGCGGGCAAAGTTTGGTAAGGACCAGCCTGAGGGCCACACGACCTTGCAGGCAACCTCCCAGGGGCCGCATGTAACAAATTCCATGCCAAAGCTAGGCGTTCCTACTCCTCTCCACCCAGCCATACAAATGATTTTGTTACAGGTCAAGGATTCTGCATCCAGGCAAAAGAGATGCAAGATGCTTTTCCAGGGCAAATCCCCCACCCCTTTCTAAAAATTAAGTGCTCTTATTTCCCTGCTTTATTTTCTTTTCCCTCCCTCTTTGGTTATCCGTGTCTCTCTGTGCGTTTGGTTGTCTGTTACCTGCTTGGCTCATCCCTGAACTACAATTCCCATCTGATGAACAGAGGAAACTCCGCTGGGATATGTGAGGATCAAATTGCACCCTCCAACTTACTATTTTCTTTTTTTCTTTTGTTTTGGTTTGAATACTAAATCGAGTGTCATGCTTTTGCCAAAGTCTAGGTCTAGGCCTGCATGATGAGGAATCTACCGTGTGGGTCGGCGCACCCCCTATAGCGGGGGTATCTTTTTAATTAAGAAAGTTATATACCTCCACCACCACCCCAACTATAAGCCACTGGGAGGTTTATAGCATAATGAGCAACTTAACATACGAGAGAGCTGGGGAGTCCCATAGTACCCAGGATATAAGGCGTGGGGCAGAAATTCAGTCTGGGTCACATGTCAATGCAAACCCATCCCAATTTGTGCTTCCCCAAACAATCTATGAACTGGAGCACAGCCTTCCTTTGAACTTCTCCCAATTTTGCCAGGAGGGTGTATTATTATCGATTTGCTAATTGCCTCCTAAACAACCATCTCAGGGCAATGTACAACAAAGACAATTAAGAACAGATGAGAACACAAAAACAGCAGAAACAACAACAACAAAACAGTCTTGAGGGATCAAGCAGCTGTCGCTCATTAAGCTGAATCAAGCCCCCCCCCGCTCCCCCCAAGCTGTTTTATGACTGTTTTATCCCAATGCAATTGGCATTGGGACCATGGCATGGATGGAGGGAGTATTTCACAGAATAATTGAAATGTTATATTGGAAGGGATCCTGAGCATCGTCCAGTCTAACCCCTTGCAATGGAGGAATGAATCTTTAAACCCCCCCTCTTTTACTATGGTCCTAGTAAATACCCCCCAACAGTTACTTGTTCTGGAAGGGAAGCTTCTGTTGGCTTCTATTTGGGGATTAAAAAAATATTAATCAGGGGCATTGAGGGATAAACTGTTCCTCTACCTCCCAATACGGTCCCAATGCAGATCAGGGTCTCCCACGGTTGCTATTTTAAAAATCCTTTAGTAGAAACAAATTAACACACACACACACACACACACAAAAGCAAGTAAGTAATGAAGGAGTTGACAACATGGCGCCCCTGGGCACAAGGGCTCCCTTGAGATCTTCCGCCAGAACCCTTGAAAAGTCCATAGATCTGACACTCTTTCTAGCTCCTTGCTAAGCATTCGTACAGTTCTGGACCATCTCCCTGACTCCTGGTTAACCCTCTTCCATTCGACTGGCTTGTGGTTGGTTCTCTGTGTGTTTGCATGTGCGCCTCTTTCTGCCAGACCCAAAACTGGCGAGGCACAAACCTTTAACCAGCTTCTTTTTTGCGTGTGCATGTTTTAATGTTCCTCTTTTTCCCCGCTCGCCCTGAATTAAGGCTCGCGTGTGTGATTCCGCGAGCGGAAAGGATCTCCACAAGGCCCTTTGTCCATCCTAACCAACCACACAGACACAGGGGACACAAAAAGCCTGGCTCTGAACAAATAAAGGGTGTCCTAATTAGAACCTCCTTCCTCTTCCTCCTCCAAGCTGCTAGCTAAGCTGCCGGCCGCTCCTCAAAACCACCAGTTTGTCATTCAGATGTGACTCATCCTGACCCTTTTATTCCTCCATCGACTAAGGAAGCTGGGCCCCAGTTTTCATTTTGGCAACGAGGCTTTGTCCTTCGCCCCACCACCCGCAGGAGACAGAACTCCACCCGTTAGGCTGTTTTGAAATAATAATAATAATAATAATAATAATAATAATAATAATAATTTATTATTTATACCCTGCCCATCTGCCTGGGTTTCCCCAACAGAATATTAAAATACAATAGTCTATTAAACATTAAAAGCTTCCCTAAACAGGGCTGCTTTCAGATGTCTTCTAAAAGTCTGGTAGTTGTTGTTCTCTTTGATATCTGGTGGGAGGGTGTCCCACAGGTGCCACTACCGAGAAGGCCCTCTGCCTGGTTTCCTGTAACTTGGCTTCTCGCAGCGAGGGAACCACCAGAAGGCCCTCGGAGCTAGACCTCAGTGTCCGGGCAGAACAATGGAGGTGGAGACGCTCCTTCAGATATACTGGACCGAGGCCGTTTAGGGCTTTGAAGGTCAGCACCAACACTTTGAATTGTGCTCAGAAACGTACTGGGAGCCAATGTAGGTCTTTCAAGACCGGTGTTATGTGGTCGTGGTGGCTGCTCCCAGTCACCTGTCTTGTTATCTATCTGTCATCCATCTATCTATCTAATTTATATCCCGCCCCTCGTCCCAAAGGATGCCAGTGCCCTGACCCCACAGTCGGAGACAGCAATATTCTGAAACCCAGTTGCTGGAAACCAAAGGAGGGGAGAGTCAGTCCTGTGCTCCGATCCCTGGGCAGGATTCCCAGAGGCATCTGGCTGGCCAATGTGAGATCAGGATCCTGGACCAGATGGTCCCTGGCCCTGATCCGGCAGGCTCTCCTTGGTTCCGCCCTGCCCAACCTCCTGTGTCAAGTTCAGCCACGGCTCCCTGCTAAGCGCTGCCGATAACTTACTCAAGTGAGGTGGCCGGGAGTGAGATTCATGGGGATGATTAGGGAGGCAGGAGAGGATATATTATTTCATGATATCCTTCCCAACTTGCGCCAGCAAGTTCCATATTCTAGCAGAGTTCCAAACATCCCCCCTTTTAAATTACGCAGCGATCAGCTTGTTGCTGACTCATCTGAGTCTTCCTATTAAAAGATTCCTTCCTGGTAAAATCCCTCTTAAAAAGAATAAACACAAGAATCTGATTAACATTAATATAAATGTAATTTACTCACAGATCCATTCAGGTTCACAGACCTATCCCTGAAGGCAGGCTTAGGTTACATAACAACTAGAACTACAGTCATACCTCATGTTACGTCTACTTCATGTTACGTTCTTTCAGGTTATGTCCCGCAGCAGCCCGGAAGTACCGGAAAGGGTTACTTCCGGGTTTCGCCGCTCGCACAAAAACAGAAGCGCAAAATGGCATCACACGCATGCGCAGAAGTGGTGAATCGCAACCTGCACATGCATAAACGCACTGCTGTGGGTTGCGCTCTTTTCATGTTGCGAATGGGCCTCTGGAATGGATCCCGTTCGCAATCAGAGGTACCACTGTGTTCCATAAATAAGTTAGTCCCAAGTGACTGCGACTAGACAGTCACTTCTCCAAACACACAGCAACATACAAAATGGAGAACACACACTGATCAGAACATGGAGGCCATGTGGTCCTCCATGCTAGTACAACAGACCACCCCCTCTTCAAGTCACATGTAGTGAAAGTCTGTCCCAGCTCAGGAGGAAACAGGAACTCTTCTCCTGAGTGGTACAAAACATCCCCTAACATGTCCACTGTAGGAATGTTGTACTGGGCTGCAGTTTTACATCCCACAAGATTCCCTTGCCCATTGAGCCTGTCCATGAGGCGTTTTAGCCATGGCGAAAGGTCTGTGTGGTTTGTTCAGATGAGGAAAGCCATGGGATCTTTGGGGTGGCTTTTCTGGCTGGGGGAGGGAGCCGGACTTCCCCAAGAAGCCTTCAACTTGACTTTAATTCTCCTCTTTTTCTTCAGGGCAGCACTGGCCTCGGCCCACCAATGCCACCCTCTCCCCAAGACTCTCAGTGTGCTGAAGAACACCCCGCAAGTGAAAGGCATGCACACAATCATCCGGTGAGTTGGGTGCCTTGTTCTAAGTTCTTTTCAGCACCACGGAGAGCTCCTGGCGAGCCGCTTACTCCATTGAGAGCAGGAAGCAAACTGTTGCCTGTTGAGCATCCGCCTCCAGACCCCCCTTTCCTGTGCTCTGCCACACAAGTGACAAGAAAGGAGATTCAGACTCAACATCAGGAAGAACTTTCTGACAGTAAGAGCAGTTTGACAGGGGAACCGTCTCCCTCGGGAGGTTGTAGACTCCCCTTCCTTGGAGGCTTTTAAGCAGAGGTTGGGTGGCCATCTGTCAGGGATGCTTTAGCTGTGATTCCAGCATCGCAGGGGTTTGGACTAGATGACCCTCGTGTCCCTTCGAACTCTTATAATTCTATGAACCTAATGCCTTCCTTCTCTCCTCTTCGTTACCCTTTCAGGGACAAGGAGACAAGTCGGGATGAGTTTATCTTCTACTCCAAACGGCTGATGCGTCTCCTGATTGAACATGCACTGTCCTTCCTGCCTTTCCAGGTAGGCTGATCAAAGCGTTCTTCCAAACCACGGGTAGGCAAACTAAGGCCCAGAGGCAGGATCTGGCCCAATCGCCTTCTAAATCCGGCCTGCAGACAGTCCGGGAATCAGCGTGTTTTTACATGAGTAGAATGTGTGCTTTTATTTAAAATGCATCTCTGGGTTATTTGTGGGGCATAGGAATTCGTTCACTCCCCCCCAAAAAAATATAGACCGGCCCCCCACAAGGTCTGAGGGACAGTGGACCGGCCCCCTGCTGAAAAAGTCTGCTGACCCCTGTTCCAAACCATGGCTGAGCTGAAAGGGATCAGGACTCTTTTGAAAGAGGATCCTGTCTCTTTGGGTGATTTGTCACAGCATCATTGGGAGGGAGCAGGCAGCGTGCTCATTTTGCATCCTCTTGATTGGTTGGGGTCACCCATGTGGCCTCTAGAAGAGGCATTGCCCTCACTCAAAATGGCGCCCATCTGCCAGCCGCCAAATCTGATTGGTCGCATTATATTGCAATGTTGCCTCTGGTGCATAATCTCCAATGGCTTGGGATCACTTGAATGAAATGCAGGGGAAATGACTGATTTGGCACCAGATTGCAAGGCAGGGAGGTGATTTGTGAACAGCGTTAAACAGCTGAGAAAAGCAGAGTTTGGAGGCTTTTGGGGAGTGAGGTTTGCCCCACCTGAAATCGTGGGTTTCAAGCGAGAAGGTGGACCTGGAAAACGTTCTGTTCAGCCCTAAATCTAAGAAGAAAATTCGAGGGCAGGCGATGCCACAAAAGGAGTGGCGTTCAAGTCCAGAGAGGAGTTTTCTTCTCTCGCTGAACACAGTTTAAAGAAGCAATACAGTGGTACCTCAGGTTAAGTACTTAATTCATTCTGGAGGTCCGTTCTTAACCTGAAACTGTTCTTAACCCGAAGCACCACTTTAGCTAATGGGGCCTACTGCTGCTGCCACGCCGCCGGAGCGCGATTTCTGTTCTCATCCTGAAGCAAAGTTCTTAATCTGAAGCACTATTTCTGGGTTAGCGGATTCTGTAACCTGAAGCGTATGTAACCTGAAGCGTATGTAACCTGAAGCGTATGTAACCTGAGGTAACACTGTATCAGGCTAAACTTAATTATGCCCCCAAAGTGACCTTCCTTGCTCGTAAAATCCTCTGGAACCTCACCCCTGCTCTCTGCACCCTTTTTGTGGCCTGGGAAGAGAGCTGGATAGAAATGGTTTCAGCGATGGGCGCTTGCATTCTGCCCTAAGGAAACCTGGATTTGCAGCCTGCATAAGTTGTTTTTTAAAAATGCACATGTCTGTTTGTTTTGCGTAATTTATTCTGCTTTTCTGCCACTGATGAGCTCTGTACTTCTCACTTGGACTCTGTCCCTCCCCAAATTCCATATTAATTCCTGTGTGCCGTTGCCTTTCCAGACTTGCACAGTTCAGACCCCGCAAGGGCAGGACTATGAAGGCCGAAATTACAGTGGGAAGCAAGTAAGTGTCGCTGGCAGAGGATTCTCAAAGCAGAGTCCGGAGAAAACCAGGGGTGTGTGAAACCTGCTCCTCTTTTGATCCATAGTTCCAGCTTTCTGCATGTGGCATCTTCTATTTGGGACAAATCTTAACACGCTCTTTTTGCATTGTGGTGTTTTGAGGGGATATTTGCTGAAGCCTTTGACAGGTGCTGTGCTGGCAGTCACTCCTGCACCTGTCGGTGTCACAACAGTGACCCCTGGGTTTCTATATCTGCACATTCAGTAGTTTTCAATAACTCGGACCTTTTGGACAGCTTTCTCCTAAAAATAGCACACATCTGGGTCTGAGCATCCTTGAGTCTGATGCATCTGGAGAGTGTTGGGACCGTGGGATGGAAAGCCAGCTGGCTTGGCCCCAGCCGGATCGTGTCCCTTCTCAGCCTTGCCATTTCGGAGATCCATCAGTCATCCTCCTAAGACGTGCGTCTGTGACTCATTCTGCTGTGCATGGCAAGAGCACACATTACTCAGCAGAGTAAACACACAACAGATCAGGCTCGAGGCGTGGATACTATACTAAACTACGCATTTATGATACATAAATCAGGCAAAGAAAAACATGGCTTCTCTCCTTGTCGTTCTTCTCTGAGAGAGACAAAACAAAAGCAATACAGAGCGGATGTTCCGCTCACGGGACTCCAGCAATCTGTGCTGGAATGTGAACAGACATGTGACATGTAACAATCCCACATATCTGCAGCAAAGGGTGGAATGGAATTCCCAACTAAACCTGACGCAAACCCCAAAAGGAAAGAACAGGCCCAGTTTCTGTTGAGAAGAACCCACCAACAGCTGAAGGAAGCAAGAGGAGAATGTAGCAAGAGAAAGGTTTTCTGCTGTTTAAAAGGTTTTTTTCTAATTGATGAATTGCCTAGCTTCACTCGGTTTAAAATTAATTAACTGATTCAATTCAAATGCATTTGGTAATACCTTAATAAAGGCTCTTTTTCCAGGATCCTGAAGTAGAGGGATAATTTATCGGAGAACAGCTGGGCAGGATGACAAACTCCCACCAAGTCTTCCTGAAAAACATTGGTGTTGGGTTGTTGTGTTTTGTTTTGTTTTTTAAAAAGAATAATTCTCGAGAATGCTTAGAGTGAAGCGGTGGGGAGATTTCAGCGTTTGATCAAGTATTCTTAGAGAAAACACACACACAAATCCACACTAGTGTCAGGGAAGAGTAAAAGGTAAAGGACCCCTGGACTGTTAAGTCCAGTCAAAGGTGACTATGGGGTTGTGGCGCTCATCTTGTTTTCAGGCTGAGGGAGCCGGCGTTTGTCCACAGACAGCTTTCCGGGACTAAACTGCTACTGGTGCACAGAGGACCGTAACGAGTGCCAGAGCGCATGGAAACACCGTTTACCTTCCTGCCGCAGCGGTACCTATTTATCTACTTGCACTGGTGTGCTTTCGAACTGCTAGGTTGGCAGGAGCTGGGACAGAGCAACGGGAGCTCACCCCTTCGCGGGGATTCGAACCGCCAACCTTCCAATCGGCAAGCCCAAGAGGATCAGTGGTCTAGACCACAGCGCCAACCACGTCCCTTAACAAACCCACACTACCAGAGGGTGAAGCATGCACTGACAATTCTTGCCAGGGATCATGGGACTGCCGTTTCCACTGCCTCCCAACTCAATGTAGAAGGCAGAGTAACTCCAAGTACCAATCTTGCCGGCAGGAAATGACTGTCCTGGGGAAATTGTACTATCCTGCAGCCTGATTTCCACTTAACAACTGAATGGAAAGAGCTCTCCTGTCTCTGGCAAGCCCACCTCCCCATCAGCTACCCCCTCCCTTCTCAAAGGAAAGAAGCTTTCTACTTGGAAAGGGTTTGGAACTTGCAATGAGAGATGGATGACGTTACAGATGAACCCCTTTTCGAACTGAACCCCGTCTGGGCACCACTTTGAAATGGAGTGGAGCTTTTTCAGCTCACTCATTTGTCTAAGGCAGACATGAACACAACTCCACAGAACTTCGCCTGAAAACGGAAGAACAAGGCAGCGACTCCTTTGTATTCATTTATGGCAACGACACAGCCTGATCACCAGGAGGTGATTCTTTTTACTTAGCCCAGCCACGTTCTAAGAAATGCAGAATGGTGAGATAGAAGAAGAAGAGGAAGAAGAGTTTGGATTTGATATCCTGCTTTACCACTACCATAAGGAGTCTCAAGGGGATGCGGGTGGCACTGTGGGTTAAACCACAGAGCCTAGGACTTGCTGATCGAAAGGTCAGTGGTTCGAATCCCCACGGTGGGGTGAGCTCTCGTTGCTCGGTCCCTGCTCCTGCCAACCTAGCAGTTCGAAAGCACGTCAAAGTGCAAGTAGATAAATAGGTACTGCTCTGGCGGGAAGGTAAATGGCATTTCCATGCGCTGCTCTGGTTCGCCAGAAGCGGCTTAGTCATGCTGGCCACATGACCCGGAAGCTGTACGCCGGCTCCCTCGGCCAGTAAAGTGAGATGAGCACCGCAACCCCAGAGTCAGCCACGACTGGACCTAATGGTTAGGGGCCCCTTTACCTTTAAGGAGTCTCAAAGCGGCTAACAATCTCCTTTTCCCTTCCTCCCCCACAACAAACACTCTGGGAGGTGAATGGGGCTGAGAGACTTCAGAGAAGTGTGACTATCCCAAGGTCACCCAGCAGCCGCATGTGGAGGAGCAGGGAATCGAACCCAGTTCACCAGATTACGAGTCCACCGCTCTTAACCACTACACCACACTGGTAGTAGAGAGCTGGAGGAATTATACTTGTAGGTTTTCACCTTGTCCTCTGTCTTCCAGATTACTGGCGTGTCCATTTTGAGGGCTGGGGAGACCATGGAGCCAGCGCTGCGGGCCGTCTGTAAGGATGTCCGGATTGGCACCATCCTCATCCAGACCAACCGGTATACAGGGGAGCCAGAGGTAAATATCCAGGCCTGGTATGGGGCAAGGGCTTAGTAGTGGCCTGAGCTACTTGGCCACCTATCTAGCGGTATCCCAAACACCTCAAAACTCAAGGCATTGTTGCTCCACACTGTGGTCCTGTTAATATGGTTATTGGTCAGTTTTGTGGCTTGTTATTTTATGATTTTAATGAGACTGAGTTTGGGGCGGTATCCGGCTAACGTGTCCTTCCAGCACAAGGATCTGTGCTCCTGCAAGAGAACTTCCCCTCCTTTCCCCCTTGCACCCCCTAAATCTGTTCCAGGGGCTCCCCCAACCCATCCAGAGCAGATTTGGGAAGGGCTCTGGGTGCGCATAGGGTGAAAGTTCTGTTGTGCAAGCATTACACTGATATTATTTGGATACCATCGTCAGTCTTTAATTCTGATATTTTTGTAACCCGTCCTGGGTTTTTGGTCAAGGGCTAGCTAGAAGTGGGTTGCGGCCAACTAAATTTTGGGTCTGCACCCATTGAAACGGATGTTTCCATTAATTTCAATGGGTCTACTCTGAGCATGACTTGCATTTGATACAACCCATTATCATCATCATCATTATTATTATTATTATTATTATTATTATTATTATTATACAGCATCTTGTTCTTTGACAGCATAGTTCACGCTACTTTAAGAGGGCTGATGATGGAGAAGCAGAGTGATAACAAAGATATTTAAGCAGTTTTGCTCGATAGATACAGGCCAGTCCAATGTCCTGTCCGGCTAGATCAAAGAGATCAGGTGGATATTGAAGGAGTCCGTTAATTTTGTGTAGTCCATCCTTTGCCCTCTGAGTGTCCTTCAAATCTTTTGGACTACAATTCCCGTCAGCCCAGCCACAATGGGCAGTGGGGCAGAGTGGGCATGATTAAAACTTAATATTGCCGACAGTGCAATGCTTTGCAGCTTTCTTTCCCCCCTTTTTTTTAAATGATGTTTATTGAGAAATTTAAAGTTACAAAGAAAGAAGAAAGAAAAGACAAGAGAAGGAGAAAAAGAGAGAAAGAAGTAGATAAACATAACAATTAAACAATACAGATCAATAAAAACCAAAGTCATAAAAAATAACAAAACACACAATACATCTAAATCAAAAAACAAGAATAAACAAACAATTAAAAAACAAATCTAATATTCCCAAATCCTTAACTTTCATTAACTTATTTCAACGACCTCCTCACACCTCCCTTTTTTGTATTCTAGTTGTTAATTATCTCAGCAAATCCTTTCCATCTTTCACAATATTCTGTCATTTTAATTACCTTAATCTGTTTTAACCTTATCTTACCTAAAAAGCCCTAAAACTTAAAACTTATATATACCAAATTCTTTTAACCATAACATATTCTTTCATAATTCTTTTTGACATTTCTGCTAGAGCCAAATAATTTCATTCCAACATTTTTCTAATACTTATTAATTTTACAATACTTTTCTAAATAAATTTTGAAACTTTCTTCCAATCTTCATCCATCATCTCTTCTTCCTGATCTCGGGTTTTGTCAGTCCTTTCTCGTCTATCTAATCCATCAACCTGCTGCTCTTATGTCCGAGGCTCTTAAATCTTTTCCATGTCCCTTCTGCAGGTCTTCTTCTTGTTTATACCTGCCCTTTACTTTATCTTTTGTTGATCTTTTTCTTATTTCCTTTCCTTTCTCATTGGGGGGGTAGGTCTCGGGAGGACTCCAATCCAAAAGTATCTCCATCTCTCCTCAGCAGATCAGCCCATTCCCCACAGTCCCATTCCCCACAGTCAACACTTTAATCCAGAAAGTATTTAAAAGCATGTTTCAAAGTCTTTCCAAAATTAAGAGCCCTCACAACTCCAGACCCCCCCTGGTCCACTCCAGATTCGAACTTCAAGAACAGCGGCTTATACTCCTGCAAGGCCTCAGGTCTCTCCATTTGTGTTATTTGAGGTTCAACAACAACCTCCTCCATTTTCTTCTGCCCTTGCGCTTGCCCTATCAAAACAGATTCCTGGGCTGGTTCCTGAATGGTTTCTATATGGGTATTCGCCGTTTGTCCAAAGTTTTTTACTGCGACAGTCATCAAATCCATCTTCTCATGCATCTGCTCCAGCAAAGCACTTGTCTTGCAAAGAGCAAGCACCAAGACTTCTTGTAAACACATTTTTTCCCCCCAAGGTTAGAGTCTGGTCTCACGATCCTAATCATACAGCTGTGAGGTCCCCAGATCAGCTCCGGCAACAAATTAACAAGCTCCCTCTAGAGGAGACAATTTCTATTTGTATCCATCTTTTAAAAGCAGGACCAACAAGGAAAAATTACTTTCACTTTTCAAATACTTTGTTTCTTTTGATTGCAAGAAGCAACATTTGAATCAATATATTTCTCTCTCTCTTTTTTTTTTTTTTAACTATCTGTCAAAAGACGTTCCGTTCACAGTCGATGAACTTTCCCCATAAATTTCTGTCTCTGACACCCTGTTCCCAGGTTTGAGACGGTGGAAAATTTTTCTTTCTTTACTCTCTCTCCTGCAGGCTTAAACAGTCAAAAATCCCCTCGTTTCTCCTGCTTCCAAGAGGGGTTTTGGTGGTGATGAATGAAGGAAATTTAGAACTTTATGTACGACTTTCCAGACTTTAGCTTACAAAGTTTTTGCTTCCATCTATTTACAAAAAACGGGAGGCGGACTTCCTGTTTAGAACCTTCCCGTTTCGGTGCCAAATTAAAATATTTCTTAATACTTAATCCAATTTTCCATTCTACTCACGGGTACTTGTTTAGAGTCCAATTGTCCACAGGAAAAGGTCAGCGCTCTCCGGCAACGGCTGTGCGGCTTCACTCCGTAAAAGTAGCGGTTGATTCAAAACACCGCGCCACTCACCCCACGTCGCTTCGGACCCCCGAAAAAGGGTTTCCCTGCGAGTAGGGGAGGCGCTCCTGGTGTCAGCCGAATCCCACGTTCCCAGGCTTCCTCCGCCTGGGATTTTTAAAGGGTCTCCGCCTTCGCCGCGGCGGCAAGACCCGATTTTCACGGAGCGGGTTCCTCTCTGTCAGAGGAACTCCGCCATTGCCGATGGCGCTGTCCCGGAAGTCCTGCTTTGCAGCTTTCTCTGACCTAGAGCTTTCCAGAAGTTGTTGGCCAAAACACCTGGAGGACACTAGGTTGGGGAAGACTGGCCTAGTCTATATCCACCTCTGGGCTCACTTGATGGTACTTGCCAACTTTTGTCTTGGGGGATGTGGGTGGCCACAATGTGGGTGGCCCTATGCAAGGAATGAGCAGGGCAGTCCTGCTGGAGACACTTCACTCCCAGCTTGCCATCTCCGAACGCTCCCTTCCTCCTTCTTCCTTCTCCAGCTGCATTATCTGAGGCTTCCGAAGGACATCAGTGAAGATCACGTGATCCTCATGGACTGTACGGTCTCTACAGGAGCGGCAGCCATGATGGCTGTGAGGGTGTTGCTGGTAAGGGAGGCAGGTGGCGTGGGACCACTTTGCCTTAGCTGTTGGGAGAGAAGGAAAGAGGCTGTTGGGAGGGAAGGGAAGAGGCTGTTGGGAGGGAAGGAAAGAGGCTGTTGGGAGGGAAGGAAAGAGGCTGTTGGGAGGGAAGGAAAGAGGCTGTTGGGAGGGAGGGAAAGAGGCTGTTGGGAGAGAAGGAAAGAGGCTGTTGGGAGGGAAAGGAAGAGGCAGTTGGGAGGGAAAGGAAGAGGCTGTTGGGAGGGAGGGAAAGAGGCAGTTGGGAGGGAAGGGAAGAGGCTGTTGGGAGGGAACGGAAGAGGCAGTTGGGAAGGAAGGATAAAGGCCTTTGGGAGGGAGGGAAAGAGGCTGTTGGGAGGGAGGGAAAGAGGCAGTTGGGAAGGAAGGATAAAGGCCTTTGGGAGGGAGGGAAAGAGGCTGTTGGGAGGGAGGGAAAGAGGCAGTTGGGAGGGAAGGAAAGAGGCCATTGGGAGGGAAGGGAAGAGGTAACAGCACTCCCCTCTGAACATTAGAAATGAAGGGAACAATGCTGAGTATTTCATCTGACTGTCCGCCTGAAGCATAAGCTGGGTGTGGGAAAACCAGATGTTGCTGAACTACAATTCCCACCAGCCCTAGCAGGCACAGCCAGTGACCAGGGTTGTTGGGAGTTGTAGTTCCGTAACACCCAGAGGGCCAGAGGGCAAGCTGGGGAGTGAAACTAAATGGCCAAAACCCTCTTCTTTCTCGTAGGACCATGACGTCCCAGAGGACAAGATATTCCTCCTCTCCCTGCTGATGGCCGAGATGGGCGTCCACTCTGTCGCTTACGCCTTCCCGCAGGTGAAGATCATCACGACCGCCGTGGACAAGAAAGTGAATGATCTCTTCCGCATCATCCCTGGTATTGGTGAGTGGCCAGGGTTAGGAGGTCCTGCCCCTGGTCTTGAGCCAGCGAAGCGTCTGAATGCCCGTTACTGGAAACCTCAAGAGGGGAGAGTTTCTCTCATGCTCAGATCCCAGTTGTGTGTTTCCACTGTGAGAACAGGATGCTGGACTGAAGTGGCCATTGGTCTGATCCAGCAACCAGCTCTTCCCTATGTTCTCACGGTTGTCAGATCCCTGGAAAAGCTTTTGAGTTTTTCATTCTCTCATGGCTCAGAGCTGCTTGCAAGCAATAATATAATTCCTAACCACTACCACTGATGTAGAAAATAAGGGGTCGTTTCTTAGCATTGTGGTTTTTCCCCCCCTAGCTGCAGAGAGTTTGAATAAGGCAGGCATAGGTAAATTCAGCCCTCCATATGTTTTTTGAGACTACAACTCCCATCATCCCTGACCACTGGTCCTGTTAGCTAGGGATGATGGGAGTTGTAGTCCCAAAACATCTGGAGGGCCGAGTTTGGGGATGCCTGGAATAAGCCATCTGAAGCCAGCCCTGTATAGGAAAGCTTTTTAATGTTTGATGTTTTACTGTGGTCTTACAATTGTTGGAAGCCACCCAGAGTGGCTGCGGTAACCCAGTCAGATGGGTGGCATAGAAATGTAATAATAATATTAATAATAATAATGGTAAAAACAAGAAAAATAATTCCAACCAGGGCAAACCAGTGGGTCCCACAAAGCAGACTTCTTTTCAGCGTATGACAAAAGCCGGACAATGGAGATTCATCTCTGTGGGGAGTTTCATAATTTAGGGTCTGCCTCAGAGAAAGCCCTCTCCTTGGCCAGCTTTCCAAACACTTCCGAGGTTGCTGGAAATACCCAAGAGAGTCTCCTCTGCCAGATTTAACACCCGAGAAGTGGGCAAGGCTTCAAGCACGCTCCTGCCACCACCTCGATTTGTGAAGGTGGCAAATTTCTAGGATTTGCTGAACGCGCATGAAACGGGTTGCAAGAATGAGAATCTAGCAGAAGGATTTGGGGTTTTTTGCCAGACGGGAACGTTCTGGGCACATCTCTGAATAGCACAGACACAGCTCAACGTACTTCCTACGTGCACAAGGGTTTCTCGTAGCTCTTCCTAATTCCCGTTCCCTCCTGCCTCCCTCTAGGAAATTTTGGAGACCGATACTTTGGCACGGATGCGCCTCCCGACTGGAGTGACGAAGAAGACCTCCTGGACTCGTAGCAAGCTCCTCTTTTGTAAAGGAACCACTCTGGAGGGAAAGAGGTTTCTGCACTGCACCTTAACCCCCCAAAACGCCCCCCCCCCCAACATTTGCAAAGAGACTATCGCACTGCACCACAGTTTTTTCTTACTCATCTTCCATCAGAGGCCGTGGCTGAGAGCCTATTTTTTTGGAAATGGAGAGGATGACGAGAGATGCTTGCTGCCTTTTTTTACGTGCTCAAGAGCGTTTCTGAGCCTAGAGGCAATGTATTTTAATTTAAAGATTTACTACAACTTATTTTATTAAAAAAAGAGAGAATGTTTCAGCTATGTTTCAAGTGTCTTGTTGACGACTGGTGTCACTCATGCCTGACTAACCCATCAGTTCAACCATCTTTTGTGTTAATGCGGCCACAGACCCAACTTTCGTCTCCTGGTGAGGCAGTAAAGGCAGCTAATGCGCCTTGTGGCTAAGTGGAGATTTGAACCCTGGACTCCCAGGTCCCAGTCCAACACTTTTAGCCACCACACCAGCTCAACTGTTTTTAAAACGGTCTTATCCAGATGGGGTAGCCCTTAGAGAAAAAGAAGCATTGTGTCGTATGAGCCTTGCAGCTGCAATAGTTTATACAGGATATAGAATACAGTCATACCTTGGAAGCCAAACGCCTTGGCACTCGCACGTTTTGGCTCCCAAACTCCGCAAACTCAGAAGTTAGTGTTCCGGTTTGCGAACGTTCTTTGGAACCTGAACATCCAGCGCGACTTTGGCGGCTTCTGATTGGCCGCAGGAGCTTCCTGCAGCCAATCGGAAGCCACGCCTTGGTTTCCAAATGTTTTGGAAGTCGAACGGACTTCCGGAACGGATTCCGTTCGACTTCCGAGGTACGGCTGTACTGGAAATCGAAAGGTATTCCTCAGTTGAGAGAATGGCTTTTATGTACAGAAGAGTTAGCAGGAATAAAGCTGCGGAGGAATGGAGAAGCTTTAGGGAATTTTGGAATGCAGAGAAAAAACTCTAATTAAGAGCAACACCTTCCACTTAACCATAATCCTTTATAGGAGTGTTTTTGATATTATATGACCCATTTTCCAGAATACCATGATTTGTAATTGGGCTGTTTATTCTATTGTTCATTGCAGTTTCGATGCATTTAGTGAAAAAAAAAGTTTTTTAAGTGCACTCATCCACCAGTTCAGCTTCTGGCCAGACTGTTTGCAGCGGTGGTAGCTGTACATGGGAGCTGGTGCATCGAGTTTAAAAAGCAACAACATTTTCAGTGAGACTCCAGGCCATGTGAAACTTGATTTGGGTATGTTTTCACATTGTTTGTGCCTTCCGCATCTCCTGCAAATGGGCTCTGTGATTCACACTCTGAAATATAAACAACCTGGAGGATGAAGCGATCTCAGGAGTTGTTGTCTTAGGAGAAATGTCAAAGCAGATGAATCCCAACACCTCTCACAACATGGGTACCTTGCTAAGGAAATGAAAGTGGTAGATAATTCAGGGGTAGGGAACTTGTCTCCCCTCTGCCAGATATTTTTGGATTCCAACTCCCACCGGCTCTATTCATCAAGGCCAATAATGAGGTATGATGGGAGTCATAATCTAGCAATGTCTGCAGGACTAATCAGTTGGGTACAAAACAAGGCTAGCTAGGTTGCTTGCCTCCATTTTGATGTGAAATGGGCACCTATATTCTGTGAGAGGAGACCTACTCAAGATGGCTGTTGGGGCTGAGTGACATGCCGTGCTGCCATCTTGGATGTGGCCAGTGGGCTAATGAACAGCACATGACAAGTCACGTGATGCTCCAAGATGGCTGCATTCATGAGAACTCTCTGGCACCATCCTGTTTCTTGCTTGGCAAGAGGCTCAAATAGGCCAAATTTGAGAAGGGCTTTCTGGAGAAGGAGCCCTAGAAAACAGGAACCAGAACCATCTCTCTGATTATAGCAAGTCCCGAACCAGTATTTCCACGCAATTTGGCTTGGCTTCCATGCGATGATGAGATTAGTCAAGGGACAAAAAGTACCTGCGAAGAAGTCTTGCTCTGAGCCAGGAAACTGTTCCACCAAAGCCAGTGCTGCCTGTTCTGGCCGGCAGGGGCTCTTTGGGGTCTCGGGTAGGGATCCTGCCTTGTCCTTATATGCTGAGTGCACTACTAGGTTTCCATGTGTTTGTTAAATTCATGTCATCCAAATTTATATTAACCAAATGGGGCTCAAGATGGCTAGCAGGAGAAACATAAAAATAGCAATTTAAAAAATGTGAAAGCAAGCTACCTTTGAAGATGACTTGGAAACTACAACTAATCCAGAATGCAGTGACTGGGAGCGGCTGCCTGGACCATATAACACCGGTCCTAAAAGATCTACATTGGATCCCAGTACATTTCTAAGCCCAGTTCAAAGTGTTGGTGCTGGCCTTTAAAGCCCCAAACGGCCTCGGTCCTGTATACCTGAAGGAGCATCACCACCCCCATCGTTCAGCCTGGACACTGAGGTCCAGCGCCGAGGGCCTTCTGGCGGTTCCCTCCCTGCGAGAAGCGAAGTTACAGGGAACCAGGCAGAGGGCCTTCTCAGCAGTAGCACCCACCCGGTGGAACAGGCTCCCAGCAGATGTCAAGGAAATAAACAACTATCTGATAAACAAATACGCAACTTTTAGAAGAATGTGAAGGCAGTTCTGTTCTGTTGAGGGAAGTTTTTAATGTCTGACATTTTACTGTGGTTTTATAAATTGTTGGAAGCCACCCAGAGTGGCTGGGGCAATCCAATTGGATGGGTGGAGTATATATAATCAATTGTTGTTGTTGTTTTATTACTAGCATAAGCTGGGTTTACATAACCATGCTATAGTCTTGTTCATTGTTGAAATTAATCAGGCAAAATCGCTCCGCCACCTATGAATGGCAATGCTCCATCATTCCCAGTATCAAGAAAGAGCTATCAGCCTGTCAGTCCTTTCCATGCCCGTTGAGTTTCTAGTCCAGGAATTTTTCACTCTTTTTTTAATAATAATTTTTATTGAGTTTTCCATATTTAATTACATTTCATTACAGAAATCTATAACATAAAACATTGCTCAGACAGAGCATCGACCTCCTTCCCTCCCTCTTTCTGACTTCCAAACATCTTTTAATAAATTCACATCTCTATAGCCACTTTTTTACCTTATATCTTCTTTTAAGAATCACCTCCTTATATGTAAAAGAGCTCCTTATTTTTACATTAAAAAACATTTCAACTCAAACCTACAAACCTTTTCAAATGTTTACAATTTTCTTTCATATAAAGTATAAATTTGCTCCAGTCCTTTTGAAACAGTTCATCACGCTGATTCCGGATCTTCCCCATCAGCTTTGCCAGCTCTACGTATTCTACCATCTTTATCTGCCATTCTTCCAATGTAGGACGTTCCTGCTGCTTCCATTTCTGGGCCAGAAATATTCTTACAGCCATTGTGGCATACATGAACAAATTTACATCTTTTTTCTGGATTTCCTCTCCAATTAACCCTAACAAAAATGCCTCTGGTTTTTTGTTGAAGCTATATTTAAAAACCTTTTTCAATTCATTGTATATTATATCCCAGAAGGCTTTCACCTTAGTACAAGTCCACCACATATGAAGGAAATTCCCCTCCTTCTCCTTGCATATCCAACTGTTTTTATCTTGGTTTCTATACATTTTAGCAAGTTTAGTCAGCGTAATGTACCAACGATACATCATCTTCATTAAGTTCTCTTTAAGTGACACACATGCTGTGAATTTAATTGTTCTTGTCCACAATTTTCCCCACCTTTCAAAGTCAATATTATGTCCCAAAACCTGGGCCCATCTAATCATAACACTTTTCCCCTCTTCATCCTTTGTATTCCACTCTAATAATATCTTATACATTTTCGACAGTATTTTCCATTTACTTCCCAGCAATTCTGTCTCAAGGAATTTCTCGCTCTTTCTGGCTGGAACTTCCTTGAGGTCTCAGGTGGGTTGTCCATTCTTCAGCTTCTCAACCCAATACCTCTTTTTCCGCTGGTAATGCCAGGGATTAAATTGGGGACCGTCTGCCTGCAGTGCCTGCACTCTACCACTAAGCAAAGCTCTTCAGCTTGCAAACTTTCCGGTGCAATTTTAAATTTGCTGCCTCGCTCGTCTCCTGACCAAGCCTGCCTTAAAAGGCTGACCTTTGAAAGCATCCTGCTGGTTGTGGCAGCTGCCCCACCACACTGGAAAAAGCGTGTGGGCGTCCTTGCGAACCCAGTCCCCGATTATGATCATAATCAGCCCCTTCCTTGGCAAGTGACCAGAAAACCCAGATTTGTGCTGATAGTGAAAACAGCAACAGATACAGATCTCAAAGAGGCCAAGCCGTCAAGCTCTTCCATATATAGCTCAGAGAGAGTCTATTCTTTCCAGCGGAAGCATCCATTATGGTCAATATCCTATACAGAGACTGTGTGCAGGTAGGGGGAAATTTTACAGGCCCTCTTATATATTGCAGGGTTTTGGATTAGATAACCTTCCAACTATACAGGAGCTCCAAACCCGCAGAAAAGATTACACAGGTATAGTCCAAAAGGTGTAATAATTAGAAGGGTGGCTCTCTGTTATTTCAGAAGTAAAGCCCTTAGAAATCAACTGCTCTCTAATCTTGGTATCGCGAACCTGAGATGGTCTCCCCCAGCACCTATGAGGCCTCTGCAATTCCTCCCACATTTTTTTTAATCTCCTTTGGAAGTGGGGAGAAATAGAAAATAATAATATTAACCACGACCTATCTATGCTTCAAATATCATCTTACTTTCTCTGTATTTACAGGGTTGTGGAAAATAAAATATCCGTTATATTATATATATATATTATTTTTAAAAATGCTGATGATTGTGGTTTTTTTTTAAAAAAAAAGGGAAAGGAAGTGGGGAGGTTCTGACCACAGCCATAAAAAGAACAGAGAGGAAGTGAAATGGGCGTCACTCTTTCCTACTTCCACCCTGTGAACTTTGCCAGCCTGGCTTTGGCACCCGGGTAGCCAGGCAGGAAAGAGGGAAAATGCCTGGAGAAAACGTGTTAGAGGGCAAAGAGGGAGGGACAGAAAAAATGTTATTCTGTGAGGAACAGCAGCAGTCACTAGGACTAATTTAGGACTAATTTGTTTTTTCTTTCTCTTCTGGGTTTCCCTCTTTGTTTCTGGGGCTGGGTTGATGTTTATCACTCTGTTGAGCTGGGTTTGGGTCTCCTAGAACTGCGTCCATTTACCTTCCGTCAGGTTTTTGTGACGGGTAGCCATTTTGTGAATAGCTACGCCCTCCATGGCAGCCATTTTGTGACAGCGCCCACAGCGCTCTGTACTCCCACAAATCCCAAACGATTGACAATAAATACGCTTCTCTGGAGCTATAGCAAAGTGAGGCCAGAAAAATCACTGGTCTGAGCACCAGCATGTCTGTTTACATTTTAATCCTACCTTTTTCTTCAAGATGCCATTTGTATGGTTGGTTCCATCCCATTCCCCGTTTTATTTTCCACAACGACCCTGTGAGGTAGGTCATGCCAAGATCTTGTGTGTTATGTACCGAAGTTCTCACCCTGGGCCAGCAGGGGGATACTGTAGATAGTTTTCACTCAGGTCCACATATGCAAATAAGGGATTGAAAGTGACGTTCAGTGATTGGATAGTTACAGAAAATGGTTACTGTTGCGTTCTAGTGGAGCTCTATATAAGCAGGCTGGCTGAACCCTTCAGTTCAGTTCTGTTCTGGCCTGTGAATAAACAAGAGTGTCGTCTGATATGTTCACCCACAACTTAACATTGTGATTGTCCCAATGAGGTCACCAAATGAGCTTTATGGATGACCAAGGATTTGTGCCTTTGTAAGTCCAATATTCTGGCCACGGCATGTCACTATTGGCTTTCAGGGAGTGGAAGGAGAAATTATCATTAGCCATTACATCTAGGGACGGTTTATCTTTAGTCTATTTCACTTTTGCATTCGTTCATGTTTATTTGTAAGTCTGTTCCACCTTGCTTCCTAGTTAATCTGTGGCGTTTCTCATTCTGCACGAAAATTCACATTTAAATACATAATTTGAAGCATATACCATCCCTAGTTGATTTCGCTCCGGTAGCTGGGATTCAGAAACAACCTAACTTCAAACATCTCCGTCTTTAATAATAATTAGGGATGCTTGAAGAATTTGATCCTTGCAAATTCAGAAACAGACCCACACAGCACCTCCCAGACTTACATGTGGACCAGAATGTTGATATCTATTACTTTATTTGGAATTAAAGGCAACCACCCATTTACATGGGGATCACGTCATAAGGATAATTATATTACAGTGGTACCTTGGGTTACAGATGCTACAGCGAACAGACTCCGCTAACCCAGAAATAGTACCTCGGGTTAAGAACTTTGCTTCAGGATGAGAACAGAAATTGTGCGGTGGCAGCAGGAGGCCCCATTAGCTAAAGTGGTACCTCAGGTTAAGAACAATTTCAGGTTAAGAATGGACCTCCAGAATGAATTAAGTTCTTAACCTGAGGTACCACTGTATTTCTATCCCACACATCTTACTGGGTTGCCTCAGCCACTCTGGGCAACTTCCAACATGTATAAAAACAAAACAGTAAACATTTTTTTAAAAAACTTCCCTATACAGGATTGCCTTCAGGTGGCTTGGGGGTCAGATAACTCCATCCCCTCCAATATTTCTCCAATGAAAATAGGGATGTCCTAAGGAAAAGTGGGACATTCCGAAATCAAATCAGAAACCGGGACAGCTTCTCTAAATCAGGGATGTCCCTGGAAAATAGGAAGACTTGGAGGGTCTGCCACTGTTCACGGCTTCGGGCACAATCCAGCGAGCAACATGAGAACGGGGCCTTTTCTGCAGTGGCTCCGCGTCTGTGGAACACTCTCCCCAGGGAAGTTCGCCTGGAACCTTCATTATACACCATTAGGCGCCAGGCGAAAACGGTCCTTTTTAACCAGGCCTTTGGTTGATCTTATTGACATCCTATGCCCTTTTAAAATGTGTTTTTTTGGGGGTGGGGGGTGAGTATTTGGGTTGTTGTTTTTATTTTGACTGTGTATTTTGTGGTTTTATACTTTGATTTTATTCTGTGAACAGCCTTGGGACCTCCAGGCATGGGGCAGTTTATAAATTCAATAAATAAATACATAAAATAATAATAAATAAATTGGGGAAAATGAGACGCTAACAGAAACTGAATTGGGAAGATCTGATCCTCCCTGTTGCCCACCCCCTCTGATTGCCCCCTCTTTCTCTACCCAAGAAGGAAGAAAGCCAGGCAGCCTGCCAACTGTTTCAGCCGGGTTAATTTGAGAGCAGAAAGGGGGACAGGATGGGTCTTTGGTCTGACAGCTCATTCGGAAGAGCATGAGACTTAATCTCATGGTTGTGGGTTCAAGCCTCACGGTGGGCAAAATATTCCTGTACTTCTTCCAGCTCTACAGTTCTATGATTCTCCGATGAAAATAGGGGTGTCCTAAGGAAAAGTGGGACATTCTGAGATCAAATCAGAAACCGGGACAGCTTCTCTAAATCAGGGATGTCCCTGGAAAACAGGGACACTTGGAGGGTCTGCCACTGTTCACGGCTTTGGGCACAATCCAGCAAACAACACGAGAACGGGGCCTTTTCTGCAGTGGCTCCGCGTCTGTGGAACGCTCTCCCCAGGGAAGTTTGCCTGGAGCCTTCATTAAACACCTATAGCAGGGCTCTTCGTGCACAGCTGTGTTATGGAGAGAGGAGGTGGGACGAGAGTAGGGCCGTCTTTAGCATATCCACCGCCGAGGTGCAAAGATCCACCCAGCACCCACAAATTTAGTGCTGCCCATGTCTACACCCAAGATATACCTCTCTGCAGTTGCAGGCGAGGCCATGGCGGTGGCGTCCTGCTCTTCCGAGTCTCGCTGCCGTCGCCCCTCAAGAACCAGGTGCCCAAGCTCCGCAAAGGCACGCAGCTTCACAGCCAGGCGCTTTCAAAAGCTCCCCAGGAGTAGAAGAGGGACGCAGCAGCTGCGCTGACGACGGGCAAGAGAGCAACGCCTCTCCATGCAAGGCGGGACTCCGGGGAGGAGAAAGGGGCTAGAGTGGAGGCAGCGGCGGCGGCCGGCTTTGAATGTCAGCTTGATCAAAATTATTTTTTATTTCATAACAGGTAGATAGTTAAGAGCTTAGGCGGCTTCAGCGACGGGCGACTGGCGCCCCCCAGAATTTGGCGCCCGGGTGCCCCGCACCCCTTGTACCCCCAGGTAAAGACGGCCCTGGACGAGAGAATATTATGGGACATTAACCCCCCCCTCCAAATTTATTTTGGTTGAAACAAGCAAACCAGACGCAACTAACAGAAATGCGATTTCAAAAGGCCTACTGACATAGCCTCTGTTCAGGTTCCAGCTTGTGAAGGGAAGGAAGTTAGAAGCATTGTTGCAAGTGGGTCATTATCTGCGTGCGCCCCTGCCCCCCCCCCCGGACGCTTCTCTAGGTGACAGTATGTGAAAGAATCGTGTGTGGGAGTAGCGTAAGTGGAGAAGGTGTGAGAAAAGCACATCACACATGAAAGGGGAAATGGACACTCGCAAACCTCTGAACACACAAACACATTTCTACCTGCAGACCTAAACATCCAATTTATATTCTGCATCATGAAGAAAAAAGGGGGGGAAGGGGAGAGAGCCAGTTGGAAAAACTTCGTTAAATTTACAAGTTTGCAGAATGACTGCAGTGCTACATATCGAAGATACTAGTACTATCGTGTATGTTTTTAAATCTCATTATATTTTAAACTGCAATTTATATATTTGTGCACGTGGCTTGGAGCATTTTTGAAAAAGTGACAGATACAACATTACAAATGTACGTACGCTTGCACTTCAGCAGCTCTGAAGTCATCTAAAGGGCTTCAGAAAGGAATGAAAAAGAGTTTGGGCATTGGAAGGGGGCTGAAGCTAAACCGCTGGCATCTCATATTCAAAATATCTCAGGTAGGAGAGATTGGGGAAAAGCAAAATCTCCTTGCCAAAGCTCTAGGCAAACTGCCACCAGGGGCAATGAATGAATGGGTGAGGAGCAGGGCTGGCCCAACCGGGAAGCAGGGTGAGGCAGCAGCCTCCGGCGGCAGAAGCGGCACCAAAATTTCATGAGATCTCATCAAAACCTCATGAGATCTCATGGAGCACACTATACAGGGAGACCACAGCAGCTTCTGTGCCGAAACCAGGCCTAAACCTTGATTGAAATGGCTCCAGAAAATTGGTTTCTTCCAAAAGCACCTGGATCTGGTCTGCAGCCACTTGCTCCAGAATCTTGCCCAGGAAAGGGAGGTTAGCAACTGTCTGGTAGTTAGTTAAAAGGTAAAGGGGCCCCTGACCATTAAGGCCAGTCGTGACCGACTCTGGGGTTGCGGCACTCATCTCGCTTTATTGGCCGAGGGAGCCGGCGTACAGCTTCCGGGTCATGTGGTCAGCATGACTAAGCCGCTTCTGGCGAACCAGAGCAGCGCATGGAAACGCCGTTTACCTTCCCGCCGGAGCGGTACCTATTTATCTACTTGCACTTTGACGTGCTTTCGAACTGCTAGGTGGGCAGGAGCAGGGACCGAGCAACGGGAGCTCACCCCGTCATGGGGATTCGAACCGCCAACTTTCTGATCAGCAAGTCCTAGGCTCTGTGGTTTAACCCACAGCGCCACCCACATCCCTTAGGTAGGTAGTTAGTTAGGTTTTCCGAATTCTGGGAAGGTTTCTTAAGGAGTGGTTTTACCACTGCCTCCTTCAAACAGGCAGAGACCATCCTCTCTTGTAAAGAGGCATTGATCACCTCCCTGGCCCAGCCAGCTGTTCCCTCCCTGCTAGTTTCTATCAGTCAAGAGGGGCAAGGGCCTAGAGTGCCCTGATTGATCCAAGCACCTTGTTCACATCCTCAAGCCTTTCCAACTGAAACTCATCCAACACAACAGGACTAGACTAGACTGTGCTCTGGACACCCCGTGAGATTCATCTGCTATAACAGCAGAGTCAAGATCTTGGTGGATGCAAGCAATTTCATCCTCAAAATGCTTTGCAAACAAGTCACAGCGAACTACCGTTGGTTCTACCACCTCCTTTGGGCCAGCCTGTAAAAGGCCCTGTACAACCCAGAAAAGCTCTGCCAAACGACATAATCAGGATGCAATGGATGCAACAAAGTACAGTGGTACCTCTGGTTGCGAACAGGATCCATTCCGGAGGCCCGTTCGCAACATGAGCAGAATGTTGGGAATCTGAATACGTGCAACTACTCACACAGAGTCAGTTAGGGTTTGGCAGACAGCCAAGGCAATGTGAAGGAGTAAGTCTGCCTGATGATACAGAGGCATGGAGACAGCTCCATGATTGGTCAAGCTGTCTCACAGGAATAATGATTAATAGCCTGCTAACTGGAATGTGTTAGTACGAGTTTGAGTGTAGGAGTTGTGAGTCGTGTATGAGAGAGCTAGTATAAAGATCCGTGTACTGTTCTGTTCCTGTAAATAGTCCACTGTATATAATAAACACCTAACTATAAGTTCCTGATTCCTGTTTCATCCATCCTGTCTGCAGCCAAGTTGACAATTGCTTTCGTGAACTCTGCGTTTACTCTGCTAGGTCTGGCTAAGGTCCTGCAACTAGTCAGAAAGTTGTGAAACACCAATAGGTTTTGCAACCCGTGTCTGCGCGTGCGTGGGTCGCGATTCACCGCTTCGGCGCATGAGCATGACGTCATTTTGCATGTCTGCGCATGCGTGAGCAGCGAAACCCTGAAGTAACCCTTTCCAGTACTTCTGGGTCGCTGCAGGACGCAACCTGAAAACGCGCAACCTGAAGCAAATGTAACATGAGGTATGACTGTATGGCTTCTTTGTTGCCCTCACTACCACTAGGTAGGCTAGTGGCAGTGTTTGTTTGGTTACATTCATTCAGATGGTTCCTCCACTTGTGTTCAAGGCGTCTCCCAGCTTGTTTCCTCTCCCTCAGCTCTGGAGAATAACAGGGGGCCAAAACGGGCTCCATGAAGTGGGAAAGGGTCTCAGGGCTTGAGCCATTCAGGTGTTCCAGAGGTCGACCAGGGCTTTGACAGGGGCACCAGTCATATCAGTGGGAAAAACCCCCAGACCCCACTGGATCCATCAGCCTCTGAGGGCAGACCTTCTGAATAGGTCCCCTGCCTTTGTGGAGGGGAAAATGCGCTGGCAGCCTAAATCTCAATAGAGAGTGATCTGACCATGACAAGGGACCGATGTCAATGTCCCCACCTTCAGATCACCCTCTTCCTGCCCAGTTGAGAAAAGGCTCATGTGCATTCAAAGCACCACAGCTAGGAGATATTCTCCACACAGAAGTACAGAGATGGGGAAAACCTCTGCCGCACAGGAGCGTTGCTGGCAGTCCTCCTAGGGCCAAAGGTATTCATAGATTCATAGAGCTGGAAGGTACCCCTGAGCGTCATCTAGTCCAACCCCCTTCAATGCAGGAATCTCAGCTAAAGCATCTATGACAGGTGGCCATCTGATCTCTGCTTAAAAACCTCCAAGGAAGGAGAGTCCACAGCCTCCCAAGGGAGACTGATGCACTGTCAAACCGCTCTTGCTTTCAGAAAGTTATTCTTGAAGCCATTGGTTCGAGTCCTGCCCTGCGGAGCACAAGAAAACAAGCTTGTTCCGGAGGGTAGGACTCGATCTCATGGCTTCAAGTTGCAAGAAAGGACTCTCTGCCTCTGAGACCTGCCCCCCCCTCCAATGAGCCCACCTTGCTTCTGATCAAATGTCTGTCTATTTTGATAGCGACACCTTCCGCCCCTGTCTTTGAAGGCAAGGCAACCATCGCTTGTTTCACCCCACAGAAAGAACAATCATTGCTGGGGGTGGGGGGAGAGAGTGGCGAGGGACGAAGAACGTGAAGCTTCGCCTCAACTGTAAAAACTCAGACTGACGTGCCTGTCAAACAAAAGAGCAGCAAGGTGGCCAAACTTGCTCTCGGGTTTAATATCTGTGGCTTAGGACCTGCCTATTTTTAGCTGCCAAGGGGCCCTCATTCGAGAGCACCTGATTGTGGCACTTGTGGCTCGATTTCTTTGTGTCCGGGCAGGAAGTTGGTCTAAAATTTCCAGCAGAGCATTGCAGAAGAAGGAAAGCGTAGTGGGGCGGAGGAAGGGAGGGAAGCCTTGGGCCCCATAGAGCGCGGGTGCGGCTGTGTAGCTGCATCCTCACAAAGTGTGCAAACAGGCACATTCCTTGAGGGTGTGTGTGTGTGTGTGTGTGTGTGTGTGTGTCTGTGTGTGTTTCGGGAAGGGGGTTAAAGTAAGGTAAACCCAACAAACCTCCAGCAGCTCCTCTTTATCAAAGCGAAGTTGCTCAGCATTTGCAAAGGATGGGTAGCCAGGCCCCCTGCCCCAAGGAGCTTA